GAGAGAGCCCGGTTTGTATGAGAAGTTGTAACCAGTGAGTGAGCGCCGATGTGCGTACGCAGCTGCATGTGACGAATGCTCCTGTCCCACCCTGCTGTGAGAGCGCCGCGACAAGGATGCGTTGGGGACTCCATCTGGTGGCCTAGATGAAGTGCCGAATTCCAGCGATCGCACGGTCCCCTGCTCCGCGACCATTCGTCCGGACCGAGCTGCATCGTGGGCCCTCCCACCCCAGTCGTAAAACTGTGGAGCACAGTTCACTAGTTCCTCAACGGTCTCGGAAAATTCTGCGATGCCTTTCGCTAGAACTGGCAGTGGGAAGCCCGTCCTCGTGCGGCGGCGCATAAGCACATCGACCGTTCCGCTAGTGTCTTCCGAGTCTAGCGCCAGGAGTCGCTGCAAGGCTTTTTGCGGTTTCTCTGTCGCAAGACACTGTCCCACACAAAGAAACTCGTCGCCTACCCTCCATCCGAATCGTTCTGCCACTGTCGGAAGTCGACCGCGGTGCACGTTATCTCGTCCTTGCTGGCCTCGCCCGTTTGTTCCATCCGCAGGCGCTTGATGTTCCGCACGCGAAGACAACTGCGTCACTTCCAGCGTGGATCCGTGCCGTAGTTGAATGGTCGCGCCAAGGTCGCTCTCTCGCTTGCGTCCATGATGCCGTCGCAAGCATAGCTGGACAAATTGAGGAACGCACTCGTGCCTCAGGAACGCCAGCCGCGTGCTATTTTGATCCACTATTTCCGCCCGCGCAGTACCGGACTCTACAACAATCGCTGATGAAGCAGCCTCGTCTGGCTCCAACTGACCTTCCCTCTCTGTTATTCCTCTCTGGGTCGTGTCCGTCTGACCAGGCTCCTTGTTCTCCCTTGATGCTGAAGACCCCTTCTGCAAAACAGCCTGAAGAAGTAATGCACCGGGATCCAGGGGGGCGCCGGGCATTGTGGGGTTGGTGGAAGGTACTGGGAAACCAAAAGATTCGGCAAAATGTGACAGGGCCCGACAGAGAGTCCTTCCGTTGATGCCAAGTAGCAAGTCACCCGGCACCGGCACCGTTCTATGCTCGCCCATGGCGTCCCCGGAATGTTCATTTCTCGGGGTTGCAGAAGACACTTTGTGAACGCGATCGTCCTCTCTAAAAGGTAGTGTACCTCCGTAACTTTTCTCATTAGACCTTTTACCCTAAATTCGTCTTAGACAACAGAGCACCGCATCTTCATTTTCCCTCTTTCCCCTTGATGAAACCATACCCGAGATACTTCTGAAAGCATACGAAAGATGCTTCCTCTTAACTAAGATGAGTTTATGCTTTTCGTGGTGGAAGCCATAATCTGTGAGCGTGGCAACGAAAAACCGGAGGTCACAACAACGTTCGGATAGCCGCTCCAGTCCAAGCCGAATCCGAGCCGACGCTTCAACTCGCGGTCGTCGCGCTGTTTACAATTCTTAGCAGTGCCACCTCCGGGAAGGATAGGCGTTTGCGAAGGCCCACCAACAGCGCCTGACCCTGACTCGGGCAGCGAAAAGACAAATATTCCCAGTTGAGGGAATCGAGGAGCACCCATTTTGATTAGGTTCTGCAACAGAAACGGGCGCCGGTGATGATGTTGATCCCGACTGCGAAGATTCCGATTGCCAGAGGCTTGCTCAACAGTCGACACAGGTGCCGAGGACTCTCCAGCACTTCTACCACCAGCTGCCTCCAGTCTCAGCTTCCGCTTGGCCTCGACTCGTTCTAACAGGTAGATGGCTCTTTCAAGCAACGACAAGACCTGCTCTTCGTTCGTCCCCGCGCGTCGGCTAAGCGCCTCTAGATTATCCGCAATCTTCCCGACCGTCTCCGGGAGTCCTGTCGCTTCTATCCATGCGGCAACTTTGCGCTTCTCAAGAAGCTCCCACGCCTTCCCGCCACCCAGTGCGGGATAGCTAATTTCGATGCTTTCCCTTCCTGCACCACCAGCACCTCCATACAACGCCAAAGGTCTGTCGTGTTTTTAGAGGTGGGTCGGGGTCCTACTTGATGAATAAATATTTTCATGTATTTTTGCTGTATTTCATTTTTTGTCATCCACAAGGACAACAACCGATATAACAAGTTCTTGTTGTTGTCCAAAAATTATTCTGAAATGTTTCCACGCTTAACTTTGTTCCTCCTGGAGAATTTGACGCAATGGTAGGCTACGCAACGCTTTTACAATATTCTGATGGAACTCGTGTCCTGCTAAACATCCAAACGCGCCCGCATCAACAACCGGGCCACGCTTATTTCCCGACATTTTTAGAGGAGCTCTGCCTCGTCTAGCACTCTCAAGCATGCTCATGACATGCCGTGCTCATCGGCTCAGATGAGATAATTCCTAGAAGTACGGAAGTTCATTTTGTTTTCGTGTGATACAAGAAGTCTGCGACAATCATCGTCTAGTGAAACAGTAAAATTGAACTCACTAAAGATACACTTACGCGCCAGTAAATGCGAAAGATTCAGATGATGCAAAACTAGTACATCATAGTTGTAACCAAGCAGAGCACGGCTACTTAACTTAAGTTTCCGGGGAGCTGGACAAAAACTGTTGGATTCGTCGACGGAACCGGGAGGAAAAACAGCATGATCTTCAGCTGCGGCTGTTGTTCCACGCTGGTCCTGCTTGGTGGCTTGACGACTTGCGGGATCCCCAAGTTGAGTATTAGATAAGAAATAGAACTTCTCGGCTTCATCAGAATCCAATATTCCAACAATCATTCAAATCCAAAGATGAATAGTGGAAGCAAACTGTATGCAAATCATGTCATGTTGAACAGAACTAGTAGCACCAAAGAGACATTATTTATTTTATTACCGAGAAGTTATGGAAGAAGGTTTTTCTATTTCTTATTCTATCTTTGAAAAAGAGGCTGAGCCTTAAGAATGCCTCGTGTGGTCCCAAGGTGCTTCGCCGGCTCTCCAGTGGTAGGTTCTGCGCCTGAGCGACGGCGGACCCAACCAGAGTAAGTAGCCGAGGAGCTATCTCCTGTTGTATGCTGATCTTGAACTTTTTTGCGTTCTTTGTCGTTCGTAGCACGGTTCCGCCTCTCCGCCTCCAGCAGCTGGTTCTCAGCATGAGCATGCTGCCCGCCCCCACGACGTCCGTACAGCATCAATGCAGCCAGGTCCATCAGTATTGCTGGATCTAACCTTGTACTTGATTTTGCAAAAGTGCCTCCACCGCGAGCATGATTAGATCGTTGCTTGAGAGACGAACGCGGAGTGCTATACTTTTTTTGCTTTTGCGATGCGGCCGTCATACAAATTACGTAAATTAAATGATGGCTAGCATTGCCACCCACTCCTGTACTCGTGTGTTGAAGGTAGTAGTAACCACTGTATTACAGGTGTTGGCTAAACGTACAAATAAAGGGCTCATCGAAGAACTGATGCTTAGCATTATTTAGCTCTAAATGTAGTTCATGAAATGTTGTAGTTCTAGTGGTAGTTTACAGTAATACCAACTTGTAAGTGGTTCTAGTTCACTTGCTGCACCAAGCTAGCACTGGCGTGATGGATTTTGGGATAGCAAACTGCGATGACTAATTGGACGAAAGCTTTCACATCATGGTATAATGCTGTCCTAACACCAGAGTGATCCTCTAGCACTTCCTTGAGCAATCCTGCTCGCCGAAAGTCCTCTACTGAAACGTGCAGCAGTGCTGGCGCCGCCGCCCGCAACCGCTTCCAGAGTTTTCTCTCATCACGACCTTTGCTCGCCGGACCTCGGCTTTGGCTTCGAGGGCGAAGCATTGCCTCGTGCAAAGAGTATTGATATTGTTCGTGATTCTGGAAGACCTGCTCGACCAGCAACGGTTCAGGCTTGCCCGGTTCGTCTGCCGTGATCTCGGCGTCGTAAGCCACTATTTACACCACACAACTGCTCTCCGCATTTCTCAAGATCATCATGAATAACGACTCTCCTGCTCCTAAGAAATAAGATCACGATAGAGGACAAAGTAGATAATAAGGATCGACAATAATGATGCACCATGCTACAGCCACGTCTACATAGGCCTCTTAAGAATGGGAAAATCTTCATTATGCTGTACTATAGGTCCTATATATTGTGTATATCTACATTTACACGGGTTTTCAGATCTTGTTCGAGGGAGATGAATCAAACCAGAAACCATAAACCTCCACCAGTTTTTCCAGCAGGAACGGAGGTAACTCATACCTAAGCCAAAAAAGCAGACACTAGGAGGGAGAGCTGAATGATGGAGAGGAGAGTGGGTGACAGAAAAACGAAGACGAGTGCGGAAGGGCAACAGCTTCTGAATTATTGCCGATACAACGAGCAACAGATTCAATGTGGTCATTTTCGACGGTTGTCGTTGTTGAAATCTCAAATTCAAGTATCATGTCGGTGTTCCTGTTCAAAATTGTGAGTAGATATTCGCTGTTGAGGCATTTCAGACTGAATTGCTGATGGCACCGACGAAGATGTCTGCGTGTCCACCATCTAGAATAACCTACTAGGTAGACAAGAAGAGCCTTCTAACCGGAATCAGTAGTTGCAGTAAAGGAGCCATATCTTGACGAAAGAATCAACTTTGATGCTACTCTTCGTCTTTTCTTTTCATAGATAACCGAACAACGAAACACACTTCTACTTCCAATAGGAAAAGAAATTTCGCCAAGGCATTCCTTAATTTTGTGCTCCTGTCATGTAATATTGACGTTGGATTTCTATAGCATCATTCGTAGGGTGAATGCCTTGTCCCCTGAGGAAGTCTTGTTCGGACGTCTCTACAGACGAACGCGTTGTTTCTCGGAAATTCATCCAATCTATACGCAACAGCAGTCTTCACCAGTGTATTCGACCTGCACATGCCAAACCAAGCCAGTCGCACAAGACGAATAGATGAACAAAGAAGTAGCAAGGATCGATGGAAGGAACTGTGTTCAAAAAATATCAACTTAAAGGCGGCTGCTCTTATCAAATTACAACATCAACTTCTCTCCTCGCGGTCGCGCATCTACATGTTGTCCTGCGTACTACCTGTGCGCCTTGATTCATGATCTATTCAATCCTTTATCGGGACAGAGGCAGTAGCAGGAGTAGGTGAAGTATAAATGAATCAATGTAGAACTATCAAACACAACCCATCGATCATGCCTCTATGTATATTGAGCTTTACATTAAAGAGCAATGATAGGAAATCGAAGTGCATCAAAATCCATTGTCAAGGCAGGAGCCTCGGTTTAATTCCATAGCACTTCTAGCAGTCGTAGTCGAAATCGAATGTTGCAGTCTAATCATGCTAGCCTTGTTCTCGTTGCTTAATTGCAATTGTTCCTTCTTCTCGTAGTTGCGGATGAAAGCTTCATATGTATCGTTTTGCTCCTCAACATGAACTTCTTCTAAGCACCATCAAGCTGAAATACCTCTTCCGAGAACATCATAAAGTGCCAATCTTATGTATCCGAAACACAAATCAAGAACCTCAAAATTTCCTCAAAGAAAAAACTACAAGAGTCAGCATAAATAGAAATTTGAATTTATTCATATTCGCCATCATCTACGTATATCTATGGATATAAACAAAAAACATCAGTCAGTGCCGACAACCAAAGCTCTTCCGCTAGAATTTAGTAGGGCTACGCCACAAGGGAGTATCCAACAAAAATAGCTGAGGTTCGTTGTCGTCATCCGACGTCACAAGGTATCTTCACGATGAGAATCTTCTTCAAGATACTTGTAGTTCTACTTCAATAAGTGCTGGAGGATTTAAAAGTAAGCCTGTTCTCGTGTAGATATTATCCGACGACATCGACTTGCGCTTGAACTTGATAAAGAATCATACGTTTTCAATATCAAGTATGCTTTTTTCATGTTGGGATTGACGACCCGGAACAATTGTTGTCCAGGACGAGATGTGTGAACAATAAACTTGCACATCTTCTCCCCCGCACGACTCAACATCTTCACGTATCGGTATCTCCAAATGACTGGTTGTTCGCTCTCCAAAAGCGGCAAGAGTTGACCGGAGAGGAGGAAACCATACATCAGTTAAAAGATAGTAGGCGGCCGTCTAAACAGACCCAATCAAACATTTTCGGCTTCCGCCTGCGGCTAAGCGCTCTTGGGCCGCTCGGGAGGAGGGGCCTCGAGAAGTAACGTAGAGCAACTGTTTCCCTGCAAGCGCCCTTTTACCTTCGCTCCATTTGCCTGCCTCCCAAAGTACAAACGACGTGTCGGCCCATCACGCGAACAGGCAACGGAAGAGCTGCCGCGTGAAAACCTGCAAAATTTTCAAAAAAGAGTATCAGACGTCAAGGTCAACAGCATCACGATCCACGAATAAAAAGGACGATGATAACGTTGCGTCGCCAACAAACGGAATCGGAACTAGTTACGTGATATGATTGCACTTGTAGGATGGCGCCTCTTACAACACTGTTGTAAAACCAACCTCAACGTTCTGGTTGTAGCAATCTTAATCAACAAAAGTTGGAAGAAGTACCTGATGCTTTCTGTCTCTCCCTCTCCACCCGATGCTGTACTTGGCGTGCATCCATCGAGCGAAAGAACGTCATTTTCCTTTTCGTCTTCCTCCAGGAACTCCTTCAAACTTTGTACGATCCTCTTCTCCTTAGAACTCGCATCTGAAGGCTTCTTGAAAATTAGAAGTCAAGTATAAAAAACAACTACTTACAATGAGCTTGGATTGTAAGGACGATGGCATTGTTGTTCTTGCCCGGTGCTCAATCTAATAAAAAGACGGAGGGATGCAACTACTGCTAGTGTTCAGTAGACAATTTAGAAGGAAAATATTAAGAAGGGACAAGTTATTCATCAGTCAGTGCCAGTGGATGTACGGGTAGGAGTAGCCTTAAAAAGTGTCGGTCCACCAGTGGCTCCTCGGCCTCGCCTTCTGCATGAACCGGTGGAAATGGGAACTCGGGTCGCCTACGCCCATTTGACGCCGCCACAAAGCCGCTCCCAGCTTGCACCATGTCGCCGTTTGCTACTTTGTCGGGTATACAAGCTTTATTCGTTCTTGAAGCAGAAGACGAGTCTCCAGCGCCGCCTTTCGGTGACGAAGATGACGTAATCGTCTTGTTCCTCGCTCCTGTGCTGCTGCTCGCGGATCCGCCTCGTCCATCTCCGGAATAAGGAATCTTTCCGTCCTCCTGATCAGCGCCCGTGAAGGCCAAACCGATCCCGGCCAGACCAGCCGGGACCACCGCACATAAAACTCAGACCATTTCCAACCTACGCCTTTATCTGTGATTGAAGACGGTGATCATTTAGATTTTTGCCAAATATTGTCTCCGTCTACTTGCTTATTCTAGTTGCTTCAAGTCATTTTCTATTTCACTTCCGATGAATGAGTCGTACTCGTACAACAGTGAGTGACCGAAGAAAATCGGAGGGTGATTACAAATATAACAATGAGTGTTGAATTCAACTATTGTTCTTTTGTCATATGCATATACATAGATACCTGATAATATGTTGCACTTCCTTGTAATCTACCTAGTTCAAGAATACTTCAAGTAACATCTACTTATACATCAATCAAAATCGCATGAAATAATGGTGGGAGCAGATGGAGACATAGATCGGGGAAAGGGGTGCTCGAAAACAGACTCCTGTTGTGTGATCAATGGGTAAAGGTGCTCTGCACACTCATACAGATATCATAAATTCAAAAGACACAGCAATGCTTGGACTGGAGTACCGACACCGACACTTGACCGAAAGTCTACTTGCCTAGAGTCTTGTTAGTGTCTCCTACTGGACAAGAACAGAATTGACCTGCTCAAAGGGTTCTCTGGCCGTCAGAAAGCCTTCCTCTGAAACTCAACCACTAGATAAATCTCTCTGGTTATTGAGCAGAACAGTTTTATATCTTCCTCTCAGTGACCACAAAAAAAGAATGCTATGTATATGAACGAAAGACGACGGCTGTTGAATGATTGTCATCTTTCATCAACAAAAATAAGAATGAAGAGTAGTAACGTTTTGCCACAGAAAATCAGAATGTAAAAGTAGAAAGCGCAAACGCAGAATCTAATCGAGTCTGAAGCGCTATGGGTTTTCTTGTTGTTGTTTTGCTTTCACAAGGTTGTTACTCATACAAAGGAAAACAAGTCATTTAAACCCGTCCCAGAGTTACTTCTACGTCAGCCAGCTGCTGACGTTTGCCACAAAAATAATTTGATTTCTGATTGTGATTCCTCATCTTATTCACGAGAAATGCAATTGATTTCTCCACGAGGAATGCAATTGATTTCTCACATCAAGACTCGAACGAGTCACTTTTGAGTTTGTAATTGGTACGGAACACGACATGGTCGAAATAATTTCTTCAATCACAAACTTACTAGCTCGGTGAAGCAATTTCGTCAAATACATTTTGGACTTAAACTTAGCAATCATAATCACCTACTTCTTCTTAATCAAAGTCTCAAAAGTAGCAAGAGCTTCTCACAGTTCTCATCATTTCTACTTCTTGTTCGAATCATCATCATGATCTTGATCTACAACGAAAAAAACGGCTACTTACATAGTTGATTCTCATTCTTTTTCTTCCTAAAAACCCGTCGCTTCTGTTGTCTCTACAACACTTCTCGAAAAGCTGATGACTCTTCAAAAAGATACTTCAGAAGCGCAATGCTTTTCAGTCAGAGGACACGCATCGTTTCGGCAATAAAAAGTTGTGACTGTAGTTAACAGCTTCAGAAATATTCGGCAGTTCTTGTAAGTATGGAAATTGGATTCAGCTCCTCCAATTCCATGGGGGTTGCCTGTTTCTCAACCCGGACGGAGTCCCATATTTTTTTTTCGTTAGGCCTAGATGCGGCCGCCGCACTAATCACACAATTAAATAATTAGATACTGGGAGAGCATAGGACCGTAAGCAAACAAGCTAACGGCCATATCTCTAGCTACAACTATTGGAGAAGTTGCTTACATGAGACATGCTCTATAATTTAAAAGAGTAACGACACGAGCAGAGGGAAAACCCCAGGAAAAGAATGCCTCAAATTATAAACGGGAAACAACACTGCGGGCGAGAAGAATGCGCCGGGGTCACCTTTATGCACTAAGACGGACCCAGGTGCGAGGGATCAAACGCCACACACCCCGCAAGCGATCGAAAGACATTCGACGACGCAAGTCTTAAGATACATCGTGACGCAACACATGAAACCAAAGCAAAATGAATCTTACAGCACGACTCCTCGCTTACGAGATTCCATCGGAGACAGAGTAGCCATTTGCTTGAGTGTCATACTTGATAGAGCCTCTTCGAGGTTGGAAAAGTGGAGACAGTGGAGATGTGGTCCTTGACTCATGAAAGGAATGCGGAAGAGAGCTACTTTCCTCGAGCTATTACAAACAATGAGACTCGCGTGCCCGGCGTCGACCTGAACTGGATGAGCCGAGTTACTTTGAATTTATCGATATCCAGCGAGTATCGTGCTGGTTCCTAGTTCTGGTGTGTCGAGCTACAAGCAGAAGCGCAGGCTATGCGTATGAAATGTGTGGTTGATATCTTGTAGTAGTTAGAGCTAGGATAACCTCAAGACGTACAAACAAGCAGTGTCACTAGGAGACTGAACTCTTTATCGCAACATTTCCAAGAATACGCTCAAAGCAGGTGATGTAGCTTTACTGGTAGCTGCAACATACATCCACCAGAAGTTGCAGTTAGTTCGGCATCTATGACGGTCAATATGATTCCAATACGAATTACCCAGAGCCTAGCACTGCTCTGTCTCATCTCTCAATGTCCATCATGTTCGTTCTTGGCCTCTCGGAACATTCTGAGAAAGCCTGTACGCCGACGCCTCCACTGAACATTGCAACGAACAAGCTCGGTCCAGACAAGCACGGGTCTGATACGGGACCCGTCTAGCATCACCGACCTGCATACGCCAACATTGTCAGGCTACCGCATCAGCTGCATGCACGTGTCAATCGTAAACAATATGAATAAACATGTATCTATAAACTCACCCGCATGCGCCTGCCTTGTTCTTTCGGACACTCATGGAAATCTTTTGCCTCACCACCCTTATTTAGGTTGAATTCGATCCACTCAAGAACATAGATCCCAAATTAGTGTCCTAAAAATGTCGCCATGTCATGTTTGTTCGTGGTAAACGGTAAATGGTCACCTAGAATAGTCTACCTTCACGGCAGAGCACTCATATAAAGGGGAACAAAACACGCTGGCTTACGCAAAGGTATGACGCAGCCTCCAGGAAAGACGCGTGCAAATCCAGACACACCCTTTCCTCTCGTGCACTGTACAACCTCCACCAGGCAGACAAAGGTGTACCCCAAAACTGACTAGAAAACATGGATTTCTGATTCTGGTGGAGGACCCTGATGACGTCGGTGCGACTTCGTGTTAGCGCCTGCAGCACGTGCTTAATTACTGATACGCCTCGATACGAAAATTCACAGCTCGCAATGAAGCCGATCCATGCGAAAGTTCCGCATGATTTCTCGTTCGCACTTTTTTCATGTTTATCCTTCCTACAGCCGAAACACTTTGCCTGGCGTCTCCTCCACGTTCGATGCGAGAGCGCTTCTGTCACCAGGGAGGCCGCCTGCGTGCTCAGGCAGCGAGCGCTCGTGCCATCCGACCGCAAGCGTTAATACGTTTTTCAAAGGCATTCAGCAGTTCTTGCAAGCACGTTGCACCAAAAAGCACTTTTTGGCTCCTGTATACTTGACGCCAACTTCTGCTACTCGACGAAGCTAGTTTTAGCGGTACTAGTTTTGCATCATCCCGGCCTCAGTAATGCCTTGAACCTCCCGCCTAAAAATGAATCGTCCCTGGTCTAAGTCTATTGACTTCTCGTCCTCCACTGAGATATCACTCAGGACACATAGTGGCCCAGTCAGAAGTAGGATGATAGAGAATGTAGCCTTAACAACTGGGTACTGTCGCGCGAGGACAATGGACCATCGCCGTCCCATGGCAGACTTTGCTCTGCGTCCGGAGCGTGAAGAAGGGTCCTCTGTTCATTCTGCAGAATATGATGAGCAACGACATCATCCTCACGACCACGACGTCCACTACCATGAGCCGTGGTCTCTTCTTGCTGTCCAGGATGCGGCTGCGGGCATACGAGTGGCGCGGTCGGAAGTGTGAATGGCGCGTCAAGGTTCAGCGAAGGAGTACCAAACCAGCCGCTCCTAGACGGGTTCAATATGAAAAAGATTAAGGTTTTTCACATGCTCAGAGGAGTTGGGGTACTAGCCAGACTCTTCAAGCTTGGCAGAAGTGTGAAGAATCTTATCTACATGATTGGTCCAGTTGGTGTGGTTCTTGAGCAGATCTATAATACAAATCCCACAATTCTTGAGCAGACCCCAAAATTCTAGAGTATGATTGCAATTATTTCCTTCCCACGCATAATCGAAGCTGTGACTCTCGCTGTCGTCATGGCATCTTCGTCTTTTTCTCGTGATCGTGTTGCATTGGCTGCTGTAGTTGTGTCTTCGTCTCTTAGAAAGTGCCAAAGATCTTGGACTATGCCGTCCGCGAGACTCCGGTCGTACATCGCGAAGGAAGGCCCGCCATTAGCTTCCAAAGCGTACACTTTTCCAGCGGAATCGATCAGAAAGTCGAACCATAAGTTAGACCTCCCAACTAAGTATTCGATAAACTGAAATAAGTAAATAACCGATCCGCATAACCAAGATACTGAACAAGGAAGAGTAGCCGTGTCACTGCTACCTCCCTTATTTCAGTCAGCAACTCGCTTATTTCAAGACTTCGAATACAACAAGAAGAACGAATAGAACCTTCTTAATTCGTTCCATCTAGTCCAGAAACAAATGGTACAACTACCAATTTATTGCTCCTATCTACTAGGAGTACATGTCGTGAAAACGAAAATAAACGTGCTTACACTCCTACTTCTATTACTTATCCTGTCGGGGCACAGATAACCTTTGTTCCTGAGTACGAGGATGGCCTGTGCCTGCCTCCTGAAAAATACGACACACTACAAAACATTAAGATGAAATGATCACATCAACTACACAGAAGGTAAAGGACCTCTACTAGATGATGTCTTTTCAGCACAGGTTGGGTTCGCGTTGATATTTACGGATAAGTATTCATTGTATTCGATGAAAATATGAAGAGAGGACGAAGGAAGAGCTAAGGTCATGTCAGGAAGAGCTGAGCGGCCACTTTTCTGTACATACACAGATAAAGTAGTAACACCGCAGATAAAGTAGTCGTCCAGTGGACGACTACTTTATACTCAGATAAAGTAGCAGATACTCAGATAAAGTAGTCGTCCAGTGGAAGCAGTAACACCAGTAAAGTCGTTCCTTTCTTAACAAAGAGCTCAAACATGTGCGGAAGCGGACAAAACAGAAGCGGCCTTTTCTCGTATGCTCGAAAAATAACTGCAAGTTGTTCCTCAATCTGTCGAATCACATCTGCCAAAGATATTTCTACTTGTCCTTGATATGCAGTTGTACGAGCAACACCATTAGTTGTAGAAGGTGTGCTAGTTTCCAAAGTACTAGTATCAGCACTGCTAGTGGTCGCCGGCCCAGTAGCAGAGGTGCATGCTGTAGAAGAAGTGCCAGTAGAAATTCCTCGCGAGGTCCTAGGAGACGTTGCTGTTGAAGTCTCATTAATGCTCGTAACGCCGAGCACCTCTTCGAGCAAAACCGCCGACCTGTTGCTGATGCAGTGGTTTGTCAAATGGACTTCATTCGTCGAGTCATCTGCAGCCGGCGCGAAATTCTGAAAGAGGACAGCCCACGATTTTTGAGAATGCAAGGGCCCTTGATGCGTGGGACGACAGATGAGCAGAGAATGCAATGATGTTGCAAGTAGGAGATGCACCAGAGACCCAGGGTATCTGTCCTCAGCTTCTTTCTCAAGGATCTCAAGAGTATGTAGATAGCAGCATACAAGCTTTGCTCTCCGAGGCTTTCCACAAACTCCCTCTCTCCTTGTTATAGTGTCCTGCTGGTTCAAAGTCGATATATTGCCGTACGACAGGAAAATCAACACAACTCCTTTCTCTAATACCACGGTTCTGGATAATCTACTCCCTGGTGATTAAGTATAGTAGGTCAGTGCGCCGTAACCGGCCACACCGCTACCCCCTGCAAGGTCCGCGAAAGTCTTATTGGCAAAGAGGCAAACTAGTGACGGGCGATGCAAACACACGCTCCATTTTCCACTGGCAGTATCGCCGAGCACCAACACCAACGCTCGAATATGAAACTTCCGATTCTTATAGACATGGGTTATAGAGTCTAAAATCCATTTCCATAAATCGCGCTTTTATGAGTGTTGACATTGATTCTGTCACAGCTCTAGGTATATCTATGGTATACTAAAATCACGACAAGGACTGGAGCAGGTACTAGTCGGGCGCGTCAAGACATGGTCATGGATTTTTGACTGCTTTTACATACATAACTTTCGAACGCAGGCAATAGAAGAGGCTGGACGTACTGCTGCACAACGTAATCCTGTGCTACGGGGTCGCTGGGTTCGTCCTCGCCCTTCAGATTCTTGGATTTTGAATGCAACATTAACATTTGCAGACATGTCACTACATCGGAAGGCCGGTTAAAAAAATGGATGTCTTCACCCCGATTGCCCTGCGACGGCTTCACCACGTAGCCCGCGTCATACCATTAGAGCTTGTGCTTGTTGTTAAGCAGCATTTCAGATGCAGTGTGGAGATGAGCAGTTATTTAACGCCGTAGGTTAGGTTAGGTTAAGTTAGGTTAGAGATCCTTCACACGCCGTAGAAGAAAAAAAACGAATACATAAACACACGCGGAAGAAATTCGGATTATGATCGTGAGGCGTAACACAATGACCCGGTGCGACTGAGCTTCTCCTTTAAGAGGCGCGAATCCTCAACCGGGTCCCAGTCCGCATCGAGAGTCACCACCCAGGATTTCGGTACCACCACTACCTGAAAAAAATTTAGATTCATCACACTGCTCGTGCTCCTACTATTTATTATAGAAGTTGGTGAATGTAGTTGAAGGTCTCTTGGTGGCGATAAAGGATTCGTCTGTTTACAATACAAGTAACAACATGTAACATCTGCGATTACACAAACTATCAGCATACGTCCTTCCCAACGTCTTTAGCGTTTTGTAAAACGGTCACGAAGACACTCTTCTGCAACAGGCCGGTTCGGACGTAAATGCAACTGCTCCGCTCCTCCCCACGCAATACCCTGTCCCAATTCACGAGAGAGAGAATTAGCGCCGGAGCTGGTTTTCTGTCACTCTCCCAGTAAAAGTAGATGGTTCCTCATAGCGCTAAGGTGGCGCCCAAGCCAGAAAATGATCAGCAAATCTGCAAAATCAGCTAAAAGCCACTTGAAAATCCTACCGCATTTAATTATAGAGTGACCGATACAAAACTCCGCGCATAAGAAAGGAGCCCAAACGTCAGGGATAGGCGTCGAATGACATCGTGAATACCTCACAAGCGCTCTTCCAAAAGCCGGATTGCTCGCAAATTTCAGCAACAAGCGCTTTTCTTCGATAGAAAACACCGAAGAACGTCCTTCCCTCTCCTCCTCCTGCACCATAGAAATGCGATCCTTCCTTTCTTCCGGCTCCACATTTGTTGTTCTTGCCAACATTAGACGAGAATACTCGATATAGAGGAGAGACTCGTCGGCGACGCATTCTGATTTCTACTTCATCTAGCTTTAATCTATTACGGAGCTAGCATTACAATATGTATCTTACCAGATTGATTTTTTATTCCAAAGAATACCATGTCGAAACTCTGGCACAACATCCTGGGATCTTTATCTCCCCAACGTTCTGTGAAAATCGAAATCACAAATGTTCAAAGGAGCCTTAACAGCATATCAGAATGATTCTGTTGACAAACCTCACCACCACGCAGGGGTATTCCATTGCCTTGTTTATGCAGCTCCAGTTCATCATTCTTCTCCTCGCATGCTGCCACCATCATCGCGCTGTCGGATCGATCTAGATGTAAGCGCTCTGATAAAACAAGAGCAAAACAAAGACTTGAACTCATAGACACGAGTCAGGCGAGCACGCTCACACGCTGTCGTCGTCGACCGATCGTTTCATAATTTTTTTGGATACGTAAGTATGCAGCTAGTATGTAAGTTGGTACATCAACTACTACCCCTAGTATTAATGAAGTGATCGCGGCTCTTCAAAACGACATCATGGATGAGGTCCACGTAGAAGGCCTAAATCAATGAATATACACGTGCGCTAAATTACTTGTTCTAATCAACATTGTTGGAATTCTTTGAAATGATACAAGAACCGCTCCAAGCTCATATTTTCGTCGCCACTCGCGAGAGAAATAAACACTGCCCTCATCCCTCGTCAGTACCTACTGCTTGTCGGGTTGAACGCACTCTCTCTCGACGACCTGTTCATGTCCAAGAATTCCTGTTCATCTCCAACCTCGTAAACATAATTGTAGTTGTTCTCCCAGCAGTCCATATTGTAGTACTACTAGTTGTGCTTTGTTGTTGAGTGTCGCCGTGTACATGAAGATAAGCTGCTCTACTCCTACCGGATACGAAATTCAGAGGTTGTTGTACTAGTCAGCGTACTTTTATCATCTTGTATAAACGTTGTATTTTTTTTTCAAACTTTCAACATGGCGATATTTTCACTACAGTCAGGCATTGTCATCGTCTCCATATTATATATTATAATAGGAAAGTTTACTCCCTCTCCAGAATTGGATCGGTGGGCACGCTTGGCACGCTGGGCCGTCTGCGAAAGATGTCGCCCACCGTGCGCCCACCGTGAGACTTGGGGCCAAAAATCGGGGCGCCCTTCGGGCGCCCATTTCTGTAAGCGCGCGCGTGGAATAAAACGATCGCACAACATAATTGTGGTTGAACAGACTTCAACCGATCGTGAACCCAGGCTTGAAACACACAACACGGAAACGCGTGAGCTTTAAGTAACAGAGCATGAGAGCCTTTGAATGAAAGAACACGCAGGCGGATGCATTTTAATCATTTTTCACAAGTTACGTTGTACAGCAGACACCAATGCGGCAGGCAGGCACAAAGAGGAATTTATCATGTAGTTCTTGGTCATCAGCATCACCATTTTTTTTACCTCTTCCTCACGACAATTACGGATACTGATTTTCGTTGTCACTGTAGTAATTGCGGACGCGAAAACCAGTTTCGCTTTCATACAGAGTACTTACTCTTCAATTGTCCAGCACGTCGAACGCGCATGAGAGAGAAATCCTTTATGATCCATCCTTGTTGAGATACGCAGTCACGCTTCACATCTTCCAATTGAAATACGCAGTCACGCCTCACATCTTCCAAGGGTGGCTGAAAGCCTGTAATCTTGGATTCTCAGAATAATGCGTCTTTCGATAAGGATATATAAATATAGGCGTGATGTCAACATGAAGATAAGGAATTTGTTTTCGCACTTGCCTAGTACCCAACATTGGAAAACTACTTAAGCGCGTCTCGACGGATTTTCCACACTGGATGTGGATGACTTCTAGGAATAGAATCACCTCCAAGAACCCATTACCCCAACAAGAAAACTCAAGACGTCGTTCCATTGCATGTTGAAGCGCTTGAGATTCTGAGTATATACCTTAGACTAGAACCTTCCGAAGATCCTCCACACACTGCCGCAGAAAAAGACGGCGCGGCTGCCATATCTCCTCATCCACGGCCTTGTCAAGCTCAAGCAAAATACTCGCTGAGGTAACCGCGGCATAGTATTAGAAAAAAATGAGGGCGTGTCAACATTTGCTTTTCTCACTCTCAGGATTCAGATTCTAATCCTGCTATATAATACTGGAAGTGGAACTGGAAAGTGCCGAAATAGAAACAAAAAGGCGATAATGGTATACAGAGATCAATATATGGCATTGAACGAACATTACATTGCCGTACATCAAGAAAATCAATCTAGAAAACGTACACAACGTAGTACGAACATCTACATCATTGACTATTTTTCAATGATTCCATAATTGGCGCGCTGCGGATCTGAAGCTGCGTCTGCTTGTTGCTTCTCCAACTGCGCTTTGTATTAGAGGTTGTCAACTCAAAATTCCAGTTAACATGATCAGACACAAGATGGACGAGATTCGGATTTTGTTTTCATTCACTTGTTTTGCTACCTTGATGAACCATGTTCTACTGATTCATGATGATCATCATATGGACTACTATCCATGTCCTTCTACATCTACAAGTACAATTTCCCTGTGGGCGGCAGAGTGTAGGAAAAGAGTGCGCCACCTCCTGCATCATAGTGGGTGCCATAATTTTTTCTAGCAACCCAGTTTGATCTGCTTTCTTCACGAGCCCGCGTGTATTCCTCAAGACAGATATCAAGATACCTTAGAAGAAGTTTGATGTTTCCTGATAGTAATCGTACAAGGCGTTGTGATGGCAGTGGCAGCCAGAGGCGAGCATCTTCTCATGTAGTTCATTGACTCTTACGAAATACAACATAGTTTCTAGTAAAATAACTAAAAGGAATGAAAATACAGCAGTCATGAAACCAATCTAGGATATCGGTTAGCTACGAACAATGATAATAGCTAAGCAACATTCACACCTACCTTCTACGTTCACGTCTACAGAAAGAGAATGAGCCAGTGGCAGTGCCGGCTCTACTATCCACGAAGTTAAGCTTTGTTGAAGCAGAGAACTCAGTGCGTGAACATGCTCTAGCTGTACACCTATCAAATCCGCTTACCTCACGCTTCCCGCACTTACTGTCAACACCAACAGCCAACTAGGAGGGAAAAATAAGTAAAACCAGCTAAGTTGCGTGTAGGGATACACGTAGGCTATGAGGGAGATAGAGATTAATGAAGATCGCCAGGAACACCTTACCTCATGCGTAGAAAAGGAGCATAAGCTCAAAGCAGTACTATTCAAGAAATTAAGTAAAATCTTGACACGACAAGCCATAACATTTGATTAAATTCCTCGTCCGTTTTTTCATCCAGAGGACATTTTCCGACAATCTCTTCCAGCTGTTCGTCTGTCGTTAGAACCAAGTAAGGTCCATCTTCAGCGGCATCCTGTTGGGTCTCCTTTTCGTCCCTTCAAAAAAAAACGGGAGGACCAAGATGCCTCTGAAAATGGGAGATTTCTTGTAGCCTTAATGTCAGCACCTGTGAACTTGTCTCCACGAGCTTGTCAAACAGAGCTAGACACACGCCCGGATATTAGACGAGGGCCGCGTCGTGCGGACGCGGCGGCGGTGGTGGTGGAAATGGAAGTACACAACGAACTCATATCGAAATTTTCTTAACCCTAGCTGTACCTGTAGATGTAAGGCGAGAGTGTATTAAACATGGAATGTACAACGACAGAAGAATATTCATTTTCGTTCTAGTGTTGAACAATGCCCATCAATAATGACGAACAGAGTTAGTGGCTGTGGCAGCTCTAAAGATACAAGACAGAGGACAAGCATAACGGCTACAAAGATTTTGCGACTCTGTAGTCGCGTGTCGCCATGCTTCAGAAAATGACACAAGAAATGAAACGCCTTAATTGTAATCTTGGAGCCGACCGCCGACCTGTTGCTCTACCTCTGATAAAACTCCTTTATTCGCATTCTGCAACCGCTTTACCTTCTGCTCCGAATCCGCAAGCTGTTTTGATGATACAAGAGAGGCGTAAGATTTACAGGTGCGTAACGACACAGCTCCGTGTGAAAGTCAAAGTGCGTTGGATCCGTACCAAACAAGTAGACTTAAACAAGTCGACTGATTATAGCAGTTAAAGAAGCTGGAGGGAATGGTAGACGCACTGACAATCCACACTACTATCTTTACATACAGTATCTTGATGTTGAATTTTACCTCTGCTCGAAGTTTTTCTATCTCCTCGCTTTGCTGTGCCACACGCGCTGTCTGTTTCGCTAATTGTTCGGAAACTTGGGCTTTTTCTGCCCTCGCTGCAATCAAGTGGTCGTTTCTGCGGCCCCGCTCTGCTTCACCTTGTGGTCAGTAATCTGGAATCTTCTGGGAAGAAGATATAAATATGTTCTTCTTATTTTCTAGCTATGTTCCTGCCTGAGAAGACTGACAGCAGCTACTCGTCATAAAACAGCGTAACATTGACCATTTGATTTACCGTCATAGGGTGTCGTGTTCCACTTTGCACTACGTAACGTCGACATCCAGCTAAGTAAAAACGTGGGCGTGGCACAATCTTCCAGCCTCTATGCATTAGAATTAGATCTAGATGCTGAAGTCGAACAACGATATATAAGTAGCTACAGATAAATACAGAATTCGGATTTTTCCTTCTCCAATTTCTGAAGAAATCGTAGTTTCTCCTTGCCCAAGTCCCGCGCTTCGAGGCTTTCGACACGTTGGCTCAACTCCCAACACTTCAGGACCGCTTCTTCAAAAGCGCTACGTTGTGCCTTAAACGCTTTGTTAAAGAGGGAGTCATATTGGTGCTATACGAGTAGTACGTGCCTCAAATGTCGTGTTGTCAGGACGCCTCAAATATCTTCATATACATGATAGTACGTTGATAATATTTAATAAATGAGACGACCGAGAAGTCATGTCTTGTCTTCATGTCATGGTAGTACGCCATTCTCAGGATACAACTGCTTGTTTTTCGCTATTCAGGACACTACGATCGCAATTCAGGACTATATAGGACATGAACCTTACAGTTCTCCAGAGGAAGTCGACCACTTGTTGCTTAGCCTTAGTGACATCTTAGAGCAGCTCATCATAATTCATTTCCTATTTGTAGGGCGTGATATCTTCTCGACGTTTCCTTGAGAAACATCAACATGTAGCAGTGCAAAGTTGCGAGAATTCGAACAAAGACAAACTGTATATACACCCTCGAACTGGTTTGAATAAAACGTTTCGGAGAGGAAAAAATAGTGGGTGAGGGGTGTGAAACTGGAAATGAATTATATCAAGAGTCGTAAATATCAAGCTCTTGCTTTTCACGAGCCCAGTTCTCCTGTAAGACAAGCAACCGTTCGCACACCCAATCGCGTTCGTTGCGGAGTTTTTTCACGTAACGCATCTTACAGGTAGCATTTCATCATCAAGCGTGATTCGGTACCGCTGAGGGTGAGGCGTCCCCATTTACTTTTAGTAAAAGTAGATCCCCCATAACCGACTACAAGAACGAAAAACTCATCACGACTGAGCGTGTCTAAGAATCATAATCACGACACCGGATAATGAAATACTAGCCTTAAGCATCACTAAATTTCCGTGCTTGAGCCACTGTTCGCCTAGATCCATCGTCGTTGATGCGCTGGTATCGATAAAAGCGGCAGCTCCTGCTGCACCCCCTAGACTGACGTCAACCATGATTTTGTTTGTAATTGTCCGAAGAAGTCGACGTGTTGCTGTGCGAACAACTAATTTCAAAAGTAGATACTTAGTTTCTTCTCACTATACGCTTATCAGTTACTACTAGATGATATGAAGTTGAATACTTACAACATATTAGTGTCAGCGCTCGTCAACTACCACACACGGCAACTAATAGATATGAATATGTATAGCTTAGCCAAGAAGCTGCTGGTTGTTGCCGCTCTACAGGTTACCATCCCCTTTTTTGTCTCAATACAGAGGGCAGGTCAGAAACAACATTAGGATGAGTTGTTTGCTCCTCTGATTCATAATGAGCGAAAACAAGGTGTTTGAAAGGGCGAGTTAACAATTGAAATACTAGGTGCACTGAGTTGTACATTTGACTTATCTTTTTTTTTTTCCGCACAAAAAAGTAATTCTCGCTGTTTCACTTGCACCATTTCTTCGAGGACACGACCGACTTTGCATCCTAAAAAAGAATCGTCGTCATTATATAGCCTCGTCCAATACTATCATCCACTCAGGTGTTGTAATAGGAAACCGAGCGAACTGACAGAAGTGACAGAACATTTTATCTATCACGTTCCCTTTCTCGCACAGCACTACGTTCCGCACAGAGTTCTCGCACGCGTAAATTTCGCCGCTAATTCGTGATTGTGACAACCGCAGAGGAAATGCACAGAAAGCTAAGCTGACCTTCTGGAATGGGGTGCAGTAGAACAGGAGTAGAAGGTGAATAGACTTCACTCAGTTTTTGCTTTACGTGAATCGTCTATGCCTAGTCGCGTGTTATATTCATGCGATTTCCCTTGCGCGTCGTCCATATTCTTATCTGTTTTCGATATAATCACCACTGGTAGGGGGTCCTCGTGTCCTTAGAAGTACAGCTAAGATGTGGAGGGGGAACATCCATGTACGTGATCCGCGTCGACCATAAAATAAATGGGCGTAAAGACAAGTCAGAAGATGCAGTAAGAAAAAAGCGTGTGATCATTGTGCATCCCTGGAAGAACAGACAATGAAGTGTACTTTCAGCATCTAGATGACAAGCAGCTCGCTGTTCGTCTCATGGATCCCTTGCGCTTTCATCTGAGATAGACGGCTCTTTCCATAGCGTGTTGAAGTCGGATATCTTGAAACTCCGCAGATATCGTGCATATTCATACTTAGTTGCATGATTGACCACTTTGATTATGCCAGGCTTTTGGTCAAATAGTAGGCTGAAGCGGGTTCCAGTTTGGCGTAGTAGTTTTCCACGGTTTTTTGCGTGGTGAAACCGTATTTTTTGTAGAATTCAAGGGCCACTTCGTTCGACGTCTGCACGTGCAGGGCCACCGTTTTCACACCCTCCTTCTTTGCGGCTTCTAGGAACCAGTTGAGCAGACTGGTCGCGATGCCACCTCGTCGATACGCCGGCAGGAGCGACAGGGCCATAATGTACACGATCTTGTCAGAATAGTCCACTTTCGCGTCGCTATCTGCATTTGAAGTCGAAGCTGCTGCTGTGCCATTTACGCTTGTGGAGGTTGTAGTAGTGCTGCTATTCACAACAGTTGTAGTTGCTTCCCCTGTGGAAGTACAGCCGTCATCGAATTTTTCACTCGCCCGATGTTAGAGCTAATCCATAGTCCATCCCTGTCTGACTGTGAAGCACATCCGATAAACTGTTAAGGGAATTCCAGTTTTTCATCTTACCAGCCGCGGAAACTCTAGGTGGGTAGATGAAATAACCAAAAATTTTGATCATTTCATCTTTCATTCTAAGTACCTCCCCTTATCAATTATAGACACTGTAATGTATTAGATGAAGTCTAATTCTCTCAAAAAAGACGAGATAAAGAAACCAACGTGGATTTTTGGATCAACATGTAATTGGCCTTAATGTTCGTTGACAGTTGCGAGCTGGACACGGGTGCAAATACTGCCGACTACCACATCGGCTACGAACGCGTACCGACAAAGCTTGCTGTTCGCCAGAACATCTTGGTAGAATCGTTCACCATATTTGATCGGAAAAGTGGCCTGTGTGAGCTTTCGCAAAACGCCGATGTTCCTGTCGTTCACCTCACCCAGCTCGTGCTTCAGCGGATCTGGACGCTTCTCCGTCCGCACCTTCGGATCAGGCAGCACGTGAAACTCCTTCAAACATTTCGTCATTTTGGTACTAGAAGACGAGAGTTAAAAAAGAAGAAAAGACCGAAATAAAGAAACGAAGCAATCAGATCTCCTGTACTGAGATAATATCTTGATTGCAACGGGTGATGGTCATGCACGTGCTGTTGTGCTACTACTGCTACTTCCTTGCTGCTCTAGTTATAATCTTGTTCCAGCAACAGCTCGAGGTTGTGCGCTGACATAAAGCATGCAAAGTAAACTTATTTTAGGAGCCCGGATCAGGCTGATTGACACCGCAACACCAACAAGAGAGGGAAATTCACAATTCTAATCAATTTCAGCTTGATAGAGAATCTATATATAATTCCATTATTCACTTTCAACCATTCTTTCTGCTTTCATCTTCGTCAGAAAATTAGTGTCTCATGATGAATCAAATATACTTTCAAGATGAATCACTACTTGATTTCGAAGATCCTTGGACTTCCTTTTTCTCTGGATCATTCGCAAGATAACGACCTCGGTACGTGACCGAGTTGTTGTACACACCAGATGGGTTTCAACACGGTTTTTCTTTTTCTTTTCGTGGACCAATTGTGATGATCGGAAGATTTAACAGGTTCAGTGACGATAAGAACTTTTGTCCTGCTGTAGTTGCATGATGGTATTCGCCACTGATCATGCTGATCGACACACTGAATCAAGTTCAAGTAGACTGTAACGAGAAGGATGAAGTCGAGAGAGTACATACGGTGGAGAACATCGTAGAAAAGGTTACCCTACATTTCAGATTCCGAGCAACGTCGCTCCACGTTGATTGCAAATCGACTTATTCGATTTCGAGAGTAGCTTCTAGGTCATCTGTAATTCAAATGTGCTATCATCCACCACCAGCTAGGGCAGTGGGTTTTCTTTGCAGTGTCTAACACATACACAAAAATGTCTCATAATGGACCGAAATGGATAAAGATCATCGAGTCCAAGTAGGAACAGCAAATATTGGATTGATGATCTTTATCCTAAAATACATAGAGTCGTTGTTGTAAAGGATTGATCTTCGAAGACTCTTTTGCTTTTCTTGCTACCTCCAGGAGGTAGTTTTTGTTTTACTTATCACTACCTAAAGTGGTTTTCAATCTTTGTTTCTATTCAGAAGGATCCAGGTAGTTGTCGTTGGTTTGTTCTTTATACAAGGCGAATACAGAAGTCACGCTAACATCCCACGCCTAGGTTTCGTAAATGAATGATGCCAGCAGTGTGAGACAATGGAGATAATTGCCAGCACGACAACAGTGCGTTGTGAATCCACAGTTAATTTACCCGCCAGAGCATACTCTACTTCTTCAAAAGCTGGACGCATATGCTCATGTTGATGTCATGCTCTTTTCACGTAGAGGATGGTCTTCGAAATACGAGAAGGTGAAGGATGAAGACGAGCTACTTAACACTTATTTGCTCGAACGCAGTGGCCGCCTACGGAAAGAATGTCGAATGTATGGACCTAGTTCTAGTTGCGCATAATGGAATGAGTTCAGAAGATATCGTATGTAGCATTAGTAAGACCAGAGAATGTAGTAGGAAATACTTATCTCAATAAGTAGGTTCAGGCTAATCACCGTACAATGTAGCAAAGAAGTAGTTTTTCTCATTGTAGTTCATGTGAATTTCTTGTTGTATGATCAGCGACTATTAAAGTCTTTTTTCCATTTACTTCAGACAGCGTGTAGATAATTTGAAGTTATGGAGGACAAAGGTATCTACTTGTCTTTTTGTGTTTTCCCAGTTGCGTTCCCTCCACCAGCAGGAGCTTGGTTGTCTCCTATAACAGCTAGTGGCGCTTTTCCTCTAGTACTACTGCCAGCATCGGTCTGTCCCAACTCCAATCGCTTGGTTTCAGAGACAAACCACGTCCAGACCTTGTTATCCGCGCGATAGCTGCCGTTCGACAACCAAGTTTCGACTTCGCAGTTGTTTCGCGGGTCCGGATCTCCCTGGATGCCGTTCCCGAGAGGGTACATGGACAAAAAATGGTGCTCCACATGGTGGACACCGTAATCCACCACACTCATCGACCAAGGCAGAGTTAGAGGGAAAGCTCTCCTCTGGAATAGTCGTGTAAAAAATCTGTATAATCAGTTCTTAAGTTGACTCAGAGGACACACAGTCTCAACATCAACGAGGCTCTACTTTTTCATCAACGTCATCGTGTCTCCTGTAGTAGAACTAGTCGTCCCATTATGCTGATCTACGTAGACTTTGGGAACTGCGAAGATGAGGGTCAAAAACTGTGGGCGTTAGCTTGGAAATGAAGCAAATTGTGAACCTTAAAAGAACGCCAGGCACGTACTGATGTCCCACTATGTCCCTCACTATCGTCTTCGTCCATCGAAAAAAGGCGTACGGCGGACACGCAAACGAGTCGAAATGCCCGAAAAAATGCCGCAAAAGACCAAATATTAGCGATAGAAGTGGGAGACAAGAGAGGTACCTCGACCTCCTATAAGTACACTTATGGTAAAAATGGTCATTGACTTCCCCGACTTTTTTCAGTATTCTGAATACACTGGCACTTACTTTGCGTTGTTCGTTGTAGTTCAACTGCCGGGGCATCTTATTTGATGATTACCATATTGACTACTTCTACCGGAATCGTTTAGTTCTTTCACTTGCTTCTCAAAAACTTAAACAAAATTTTGACAATGTATTAAATATAAATTAATTGCCTCCATATTATTCTCCATAACTCTAGTGGCCCATTGTCTGCTACTGCGATAAATCCCACTGGCAACGCGTCGTGGTGCGGTCCATGCAGGTAGCTAAACCCGATTTTACTGAAGTGACCCAGCCAGTGGTCTCGAATGTACCAGTCGTTCAGGTCGTTCCGTTCGAAGTCCTGCAAGAGCCGCTGCTCAAATACGAAAAATCGCAGTGCCCAGCTACCGAACGCGACTAGAATGAGGCATGGGTTCAGACGCGTGCTACTCTGGAATTCGAACACGTTCGACAGAAGATTGGTCGTAAGGTGGTCATTTCCGATGATGCTATTCATCTTCATGGTGTCTATTGTGCTTGCGTTCGTCTCTGCGCTGTTTGTTGTTGATGTCTCAAGATTATCTGCACCGGGGTCGCAACATGCGTTATGGGTCGTCGCGAGCATCCAAAACCACGGAATAATCGTCACCACCTGCGTCCACACGCCCGTCACGAGCGCATGCGTCAAGCCCGTTATGTGGTCAAGAAACTTCGAGGATTGTGCAACAACGTCCGGCGAAAACTGCAGCGTCTTCTTCCAACCTGTGCCCTTGAGAAATTCGAAGACATGATCGTGCTGCCGCACGTGATCCAAATAGGAAACCACGCGAAACACCGAGACAAATCCGAAATTCACGTAAAACATTCCTAGGGTGGCGAACCAGAAAATGTTCTGCAGTGCGGCGGTCCCACTAGCGCCAAAAAACGCATGTGCGCCTGGTGGTGGGAAGTAGATGAAGTAGGTGAGGGGTTGTACTACGCGTGAACAAATAGATCATTCTTCGGAATCGATGTTGAGTCGTAAATTTTCTTCTGTACTAGAACAATGAAATCAATAGGAAGAGACAGAGTTCGTTGTGACGCGTACGCGAAATGCAATTGTAAATACCAGTGATAACACAAACCTACATTTGCACTCCACTTCTATTCGTATACAAATTTAAAAAAAAAAACCTTGTGCAACGCTTGAATTGTTGAGGAATTGCAAAAGCGATATTTCTGCTGCGAAGAGGGCTACTTGTCCGTAGTAGGCTGGCCGCATGTTTGCTATTTTGTATCTAACCCATGCCAGCACCAAGTGCGGCTGCAGCACTGCTGGCAGGGACAGCGTGAGACCGCCACCTCCACGCAAAACGCCGTGTCTTGCCATGAAAACCAGTGCGAGAAATATCGTCGATCCTACAGCAACGCGTGAAAACAGATGCTCTCTGCCATACACTGCTAGGCACGATGCGAGGGAGAGCAATAGCATCGCCATGTAGTCGCAAAAGTCTCGATTGTTATACACCATCTTTGGTCGTGGCGCTTCCGCTTGCAGGGAGAACATCCAGTCCTTCCGTTCTTTTGAAAAATAGGCCATCTTCGTACTGTCCATCTCATCTACAGGCTTCTTCTGCTTATCTTCTCCTGAGCCTGACACTCCAGCATCATCATTCCCTAGAGAGCCCTCTCGCGATTTCCCCCCTCCAGCTTCTCTAGCCTTACGCTGTCTCAAGGTGTAGACACCGGCGACTGTGGTGACGCAACCGAGACACGGAAAGACGAACATTTTCTTCTATTCAATATTTCTCTAGTACTCGTTTTAGTGGCTTATGGTCGCTATTCTTAATACGACTTGGCGATGGCGCATTTTATCCTCCAGCATGTACTTATATATCAGGCTGCATACATTTACTCAAAAGTCGAAATCAGTCACAACGGATGAAACAAGTTCCTTGATGTACTTTCGGCTAAACAACTGTAGTTTCTACACAAGTGCGCTAATCAATATCATGTCGGAGCTCAACTGCACACACACGCGACCAGGACGCTTACTCGATCCGGTCACCAAGTCTCGGGACACATCACTACATTCGGTTCGATTGCCACGACGTCAGTGCCAGGGGAAACGGATTATGATGTAAATGAATATGAAAGTGAAACAACAAGAGGATAAGATTATTCGATTCTGAAGGTGAAACGGGAGAGCAAGAGCCTATCAGTGTAAGGTCCGTTGGTGAATTGTTTTCTAGATCATGAAGATCAGATTTGAAGCAAAGCGAAAAGATCGCAATTCCAGTCATTCATTCCACTTTTGTTATGATATACTCAACATAGAAGCCATAAAGGGATGCATGGGGCATACGAGTAAAAGTAGGCGTTTCCTGACTTCATCATTTTTATCATTTCAATAGATTGTTATAATATATTGGTACTTCTAGTATTTATCTACCTTCCACTTCTTCGTTGGAAAATGGTTGCAAATTTGAAAGAAAGCGCCGTAGCTAGACAATCATACATCAGTGGACATATATGTAGTCGTGTTTTAATGCAAGACAGGGATTCACATCCGACATCAAGCAAGGCAGCAAATAAAAAATTAATTCTTCGGCAACAAAGAAACGAAAAGGAAGAAAACTCAAAACAAAAATCGTCCGCGTGGGTTAATAATAGTTAGATCTCACTCGAAAAAAACATAGGAACGCAGTCGCGACATTGAACACGTTGCTGAAAACGTGGAACGTATCTGTTGTTCTTCGTTCTTCTTCTTTTTACTCGCAATCTCAATCTCTACTCGGTCCCTCACAGTCACGCATTGGTTGTCATGACAACACAACTGTAACAGGTGGTATCCACCTCGGTAATGCTTCAACTGGATGCACTGCAAGAAGATACATTATCTGTTCGTGTTGTTTATCCTCGTTCATAACATCCACCCCCTCTATAATCTAGTATTCGACATCAAATCCTACTCTCTGATCATGATTTCCATTTCTCCTACCATCCTTAGCCTAATGAACCGGGGAAAGGAACAGATCACCTAGAACATCAACCCAGACACTGCTATTGCGCATGCACACCATCAAACATTCCAATCAATTGGATGTTTCTGTCTGTACGACAGTATCCTCGTCACATTCAAAATTGTTCACTAGAGGGGGGTTCCCTGTGAGCGTGTTATATCCTTTAGCGCGGGTATGGGGAAGTAGAGACAGGGCCGCGGGGCAAAACCATATGGGGGAGTTAGAGCTGGACGAGGACTAGATCTCATTTGAATGGAAAAATAAACCAAAGTGAAGTTTCAACATGTGTCTGGTGTACAAGGACGTGACGCAGAAAAAGGCGACAACTATGGAAGGGATCGACAGGATTTGAGAGCCTATGAAAATTATGAGAATGACTGCTCTTGGAAAATGAGGTATGGCAGAGGCATTGAAATTCAGTAACGTCGAAGTTGTGCCCCTAGCACAAAACTCCGAGGACGTTCTTTCAGGTGGAGCCTCTGATATCACATTGTATGAATACCTTGTTGAGCCTCTGATACTACGAACGTCACGATCTGCCGTTAGGCAAAAGGAGAAGTCAGTGGGGAGACCACTCCTGTCACTTACGACAAGGATATCGAAGATGATTATCTTTTGCGTTTTTTTGCACGATCTTTGTCGTCATCCTCTCGATCTCGTCTACGCCTAGTTCGACTATCTTTTCGCTTCCTGTCACGATCGCGACTGCGTTCTCGGTCTCGACTCCGCTCCCTTGCCACCTCTGATTTTTTTTGCCGCCTTCGCGACCGGTCTCGCGTATGCTTGCCAGAGCTTTCCCTACTCAACCCTGGAGACGCTCCCCGAGGAGAAGGACTCCGCTGCTGGTGATGGCCACTCATCGTGCTAGTACTGTTGTAGTTATCATCAACACTATTGATGCTATGAAGATGGTTCTGGTTAAAGCCGGAGATGCTAGAGGTACTGCTCGGTACATGATGATTTGCATGCGACGAGGAAGAAGATGAAGCTCCTCCCGCAGATGCGTGATGATGTTGACCGTGTGCTGAAGTAGAGGATCCGTGTGCTGCTGAAGCAGCTGAGGAAGCTGCGTTCGCTTTCAAAGCGTCGAAGAGCAAGTCTTTTCGGTACTCTTCTACCCGGTAGTCGATATTTCGCTCGTTATCCCCTTCCAACTTATCCCGGTACTCCTCTGCCTCCAGCTCAATTCGTCGCCGCGTCTCGTGGCTCAAGTCCCTCAGATCGTATCTGCCGCCTCCTGATGCCGGTGAACCTGAGGACCAATTCCTATGAGGCGCAGGACTGCTGCCGTACGAATGGCCTCGGCCGGCGTCGCTGTGGTGGGAGCCCATCGAGGAAGCATGCTGCGGTGATGGAAACGCTCCATGATGGTCTACATTAGCATGGTGATGAATATTCTCTGCTCCACCATGGCTTAGATTGTTCCGACTCGGAGGACCTTGATCCTCACTGTCGCTGCGGTCCCAGTGGTCATCGTCATACATCTTACTCTTCGCTGTCATGGGAACACCATCCAAGTCAGCAGACGCGAATCCCCCAGCCTATGTATAATAGTAGGTACACGTACATATTAAGTGCTCAACTGTGTATCAGAAAATGCAAAACCAGGGTTGTTGTCGACACAAGAGGATCAAAAATATTGCAGGGAGGAGCTCTGAAAAAAATTCGGTCTTCGAGGACAGTGTAGCAAAGTACTTCCGAGTTGTGAATCAAAAGATCAAAATGTAGCATGATAGTCATCGTCATGAATCCGTTTACTAGTGCTTACCACATCCAGGTCTTCTTCGAAGTTTCGCAAGTCGCGGTCTTTCTCTTCTTGTTGTTCTCGTGCTCTGGCGTTGTTGAGCCGGACTAGTGTGCTCATCGGCATCACCTGCTCCGACTCCTTCACCTCGCTCCACGATGAAGTTCTCGACCCATTATTCGAAGACGAGTTGCCCATAGAAGCTATCGTTATCGGAGAAACTCCGGATGAATGTGCGGCGTTTGCGACGGCAGCGAACTTGCCCAGCAGCGGTCGGGCATCCACGTCTCGAAGATCGTGGAACAGCATGCCTTCGAGCCAAACCCAATCGTCCAATTCCCCAAGCGACAAAGGCACATGCTCCAAGTCGGCAGCATCCAAAGGTCGACCGTCAAAATCCGAGTCGAATTTGTCCAATTTCCAGGGCGACTGCGAATCCGTCTCGTGTTTGGACCAATACAGCTCGTAATTGACCTAAAAACATTTGGATTTACATAGATGATGACGTCCTGTCAGGTTTCCCAAAGTTGAGACAAATACACTTCTGATATAGACACACACCAAGTAAATCAGGATTCATAAGTTATAACACGGCATTATAATATGGTAACTCTCAGATCAGAATTCAGAAAAGCGTATGCCCATTTTCAACTTCAAAGCCAAGCTCAAACTAGGGTGGATATGACTTTACCAAACGGTCGACTAGCCAGGCGTGCCTGACCCTTTCAATCTGTTCTCCTCTGCTTTCGAGTTGCGCCGACGAGGGTATCCAAGGTAGGCCGTGCGAGCGACATTCTTTCTCTAACTGCGAAAAGTGCTGGGATTCCCAGCTTCGCACTTTGCTGTGCAACCAGTTGGGCAGACCGCCATTTCTTGAACTCCTGTCCTTGTACGACCGGATCCGTTCCGTGGTGAAGACGCTACACTCCAAGCCCTTGGTGACCGCGCGACCGTAGATGGCGTCGAGGGCGCGTAGCAACGCGGTCACCTTGCCTCGGACCAGCGGCACACTCAGGGCTGAAGTCAAGTCTCCTCCAGAATTCGCCGCGTCTTGGTCCCCATTGGTGCTGTGTTGTGCCTCCCAGTCCCCTAAACAGAGTCCGAAGTGCTCAAAAACACTGGGGAGTGCGCGCTCGAACTCGCGGCGCAACGCAAACCCGAACTTCAAGGCTGGTGAGGCCGCGTTGTGCAGAATGTCGTTCACCAAATACAAGCGCGCCAGTTTCGCACCGCAGTTCGTCTCGCGCAGAGAGAGAGCGTCGGTTATGATGTCGCAGATCTCATTCGCGGCCGCGTCACTTTTGTAATCAGCGAGCAAGTCTACGACGTGCACCATCCCATCTAGGATGCTCTTGCGACTCAAGGTCAACTTCCGCACGCGCCCCTCCAGCTCTTTGCGGTCACGCTCACCTAGGACGCCACTGCGCTTCCCGCCGATAGCGGACGATAAGCCAGAAGCCACGCTGCTACTTCGTTCCTGTAGTAATCAAAATGTCGGTTTATTGATATTTGCGTGAGTACAAAAAATGTATGACCCATTGGAATATGCTCGAGTACGCTTCTCACGTATTGTTCGGAATCCAATCTGCAGGCCGGTTGAACAACGATGAGACGGCATGAACATTTCCATCATGTTTCGCAGTACATAGAAAAACGATAGGTGCCGCAATTCTGAAAATCTACTCGTGAAGATAATCACCAGTAAGTGTAGCACTGTCGGTAACGCGTTCTAGCAGCGGACATGCTGTTGATCATGTCAATAAAAGAAGCAAAATTGCAAATACCAGTGTCTTTTCGTCTACGCTTGCGCGCTCTGCCTGCTGACGACGCTTACGCTCTTCGTATTCACAAGCTGGCGGAATCCATATTCTGCCACCAACGTATATTTGGAATGGCTGCGTTCGCCATATCTTCAAGCTGTCACCCTGAGACAAAGAGAAAACCCGCCAACGGTAGTACAGATTTTCTGCAGTGTCATGCTCAAATAAGAAATCAAACCTGCAGAAAAGTTTCATAAATTGATATTGATGTGTTGATGATTTTGCATAAGAAAAGTGAGTTGTCAAAGCTTGCAGCTGCATCTACCGCTCATTGCCACTAGAGAAATGATTGTACTACATTATATGAGACTCAACACCAAAAGCCCAACGATCTCGCTTTCTACTCATCATAACATGCAATTTCGCGCTAGAACCCTCACTTTGGTCACTTTAGCTCAATATGCACACGCGAGAAGCAAAGAGGAAGCTTTTTCTACTTTTATCTAATATCGAAATCAGAGTACTAAGTAGTGGTAGAGTTGTAGTTCCAGGCAAAATGAAGTCTTATATTAAAGTACGCATGTGGAAATGGTGGCGGAGCTGGCAGCATGTGTTCTGGAACGCCCAGCGTAAGCTGCTCCATCCGCCACTGCTGTAGCTGCTCGTTGCGATGCGCATCCCGTTTCGACATCACTTTCTCCATACAGGCTTGTTCGACGCCATGCCCGTCTTCCCACACAATCTTCGCTAAACGATCGATCCTATTGCGCGCTCGTCGACTCTTCGGCACTTGAACGTGAACCTTTATTAATTATGTTTGCCAAAAAATAAAAGGTGATGTACTATCTATGCTATAATTAGCGATTCGCTAAAATAGGTTGTTGGAAGGGCTAAAATAGGTAAATTTTCGTGTTTCTACGTACAGGGGAAGATACAAGAGTTTGAATTCCCACTCCTTGGCATGTGAAGGTCTATGTTGTAGCATAACTACTTAAAAAAAGGCGTTATTATACCTACAAGTTAAATGGAAGAGCCACCTTCTATCCAAATGACTCAAGTACTTTTTCGAGATTGGCCATGTCTTCTGGTGATATGAGGAAGGACTCGGAATTCAGAGTTTGCTCCACTAGCGCTTTAGGAATCGCTTTGCCCCAGCCTATGCGCATGACAACTTCACCCCAGAGCTGCCCATCCATCGCTTCCTTCGCCCTTTCGGCTTCCACTCTGGTGCAAAAAGCCACAAAGCCGGAGAGCAGATTGGATCGATCGCCGCGCGAATCCGCGGTCGTGTTTTGGGTGCGAGGGTACATCAACTGAAGTAGAGAAGGACAAAAAAAAACAAAACAATAAGGAGGTGTTGAAGCTGCAGCAGCTACAAATGTAGTCGTCGTGGGTGGATTTTTCCTTGCACGAGGATCATAGGGCAAAGAGACTACTCAACTGTGAAGATATGTGTCGCTCCTGAGCCCATTGAACATAGAAGTCTTATTGACGCAGATTGAACTATTATACTGCTTCTAGGCACAACTACAGGTCGCACTTAGGAAGATTCAGCGCAATACTTCTACATAATTCTACTAGACGACATACAACACCAGCACCATAACACCAATATATATAGTTCAAGCTCTCAAAAATGAATAAGACCGCCTTTATTTGTGCGTCTACGGGTAAATGATGTCGACAACATACGTTGTTGTGCAACCTTAGTATGCATCTGTACTATGCTCTACTTGAGGTAAAAATTGGTAAGTAACCAATTTCTTTCTATTTTTTGCATAAGACCAGGAGTAACAACTTTTTCCATATCATGATAGATGGAGGACTCGAGTACCTTCACGCTCGCGATACGGCCGTATCGCTTAAACGCCGCACATATGGTTTCCTCCGAAGCATCCGAAGGTAATTGCTGAAAAAACAAATTCGTCGTAGGCTCCAGCAGATCGGCTCCACTCCGTCGTTCTCCTATGTTAGGCCCACACTCGTTATAGCCAAACCCTCTGTGATCGTCGAATGTTGTGATCATGTTGAACTTGATACTTTTTTGGAAGTAGAACAAATTCTCATGGAGATAACTCAATGAAGAATAAAAGCAAGATGACACTATATATTAGAGCTATATATAATGAGTAGAAGTAACTTGATAGTCATAGTGTAATGTGAAGCATGTTTCATTTGCTTAAAACATTGATGTGACAGGAGATATAACCTTGGGCATAAGAAGGGATACCTGTCGTCGGTGCTTGGCCTGCCATTTGTGAGTGTGCTGTAGGCCAAGTTTCGGTCTTGAAGGTCTCTGGCGAGCTGCGCTTTTTTCCTGTCATCCGTACAGGTCTCCAATTCTATCCTTAGCTGCTTCCGTTCTTGATCTAGATTCTGTTTCTGCTTGATTTCCTCCAACAGAGAATCCATTTCTTTCTTTGGACCATTTCTGTCTTTATTTTGTCTGGTTGAAGAGGATGTCGAAGGGTGAAAGGAAGCTGACTTTGTTGAAGATGGAGGTCCCCCGACCACGTCCATATGCTGCACTGACTCTTGGTTGTTGTACTGGCCTGGACCTTGTTGAGAACCAGGTCCACTACCCGCCAAGCTGATGTGTACATTATTGTACTGTGATGCTCCACCTGTTGGGAAGGAGGCAAAATTGGGCAACACAGTTGTACTAGCATCGGGCTGTTGCCCGTAAGGTTGGCTCCACATGCCACCGGCGTTGCCTCTCGGCCCACCAACTCGCTGTCTTGTCGCCATGCTTATCTTACTAGATGATGCTGCTTCGCTAGCAGTTGTCGTAAAGAATCTCTCGATCTTTTGTGCCGCTCGAGTTACTTCTACGTACGATTAAGTAAGTAGGTACCAAGAAGAGACGAGTCACCTTGACTGCTAGAAGAGACCACGATCGCTGAATGCGTGTTCTCACATGCGTTCGACCTCCAAACAGATGAAGATACTTGCGTTCGTACACTCGCAAAGTACTTTTTCTGCTGCACGTAATGTCGTTCGAAGACAGCAGCACGAGCCCAAACCAGGAGGAAACTCCGTGTTGACTTGCCACAGCAGTCTCAGGTATGATCCAAGGGTTGTTACATCCAAACGCGGCTCCTGAGTCGAAGTAGTACGCAAATGACTACGGCAGGACAGATAGCACGTAGTGCTGTTCCACGCCTAGGCTGCAGCGTGCGAAAGGAAACTTCTACCAGCTGTCTGACGAGTGACATGAGAGAAGAGACGCCATTGAATATAATTCAGCTCATGACTGGGATACTGCGACCGATGTAACACAGCACTCGCTGCCGCAGCTCCAACGCTCTTGAAAAGCCGGCACACCGACCTTGTCTGTGGGAGCAGCCCTCGTAAAAATACGCGCAGCACCCAACAGGCCGTAGACGGTAGTTTTTAGGGAATAAAAGAGCTGCCACTACAACTTGAGATCGATGCTGTTGCGCCCTCTTTTTCATAATATCGTGATGACAACTATCTTCAATTGCTTTTTAGAGAGAGAAGGTCATGGTTGGTGGGGTGGGTCGTTGTGATCATATGTGCTGTACAGAAAGGACTTCTTCTCTGTGATTGCTGTTAAATGAGAAAATGGACGTCGACAATCGTATTCGTTCAGTGCCTTGTGCTAGATGTGAGTTAGAAACAGAAAGTTTATCATCCTTGGATATCATGATAGTACACCGGAACCAGTGCAGTCTTTCTTAAAACTGCGAGTAGGAGAGAAGCAAGATCCTTTGTTTGAAGACGGCTCTTTTGTTTTAAGATTCAAATTCATCCCACGAGCATCGTCGCAGCAGGGCTTATTTATCGAAAAGCGTAGTTCTCATATCCTCGTACAATTTATTAAGTACCCTCTGTGTAAGTCAACAGCAGAATAGCAATAGCCTCGTGGGAGGACGCTTCGACTAGGATGTGCGAAGCGAGCTAGCTGCAGCTGAGAACTCACTTATCAAGATTATCACGGATACAGAGTGGATGATCAAAATGAAAATTTTGAAGAATTTATGTCGCGTTCTTGTACGTCAAAAAGCAGAAGACCATCTTATGCTTGTATTAATTTATTCTTCCCGAAGCTCCTGAAGATCTCTCCGTCATTATCAGTTGAGATTTGAACCCCTATAGATAGACTGAGCTTATGTAGACTGAGCATGAGGAATCTAGTAAATAGTTGTTCTTTATAGTTCACGTTGTGCGCCTCTTTTTTGGAAGGACGGTAAATTTTTGTTTTGTTTTCGATACCGTCTTCAGGTGAGACACACACTAATTTCTAGGATCAAAAGTCATGAGCTGCTCGGACAAGGTACGGACGGCAAAGAACCAATCATCATCGTCGTCACGACAAAGAACCAATTTTAGTCATATCTCAGTGTGGAGCGCCTCTTTTACTCACGAACATTCTCGTCTAGTGTTGACAAGAATCGGGTCGTGTATCACCACTATAGAATTACAAGCTAGAAGAGAGTAGGCATCACTGCAATAAGCAGATAACAAGAATGTGATGATGATCGAAGTCCTGCGCAGCTATGCTAACAACAAAGAGATTTTCGGGATCTTCCTTGTACCTTGTTCTCGGAAATTTGTATTCTCATAGATAAAAAAATCTGAAGCAAGACAGAGTTAGATCAACATAGATGACACAGAGAGTCTGTCAGAGGATAGTACTTCACAGCAAGTGAAGCAAAATCGACAAGAATTCTGGGCAAACTTAGAAAATGCTACGTGTAATTTCACCTTGTTCAACATGTCTACATCTATTGGATCACATTATCATCGGGGGGTGATAAAAGAAACGAAAGTCCGTACTTAACCAAAGAAGGAAGGCATCCTATGAAAGATTTCCTGGTCATAAATCTGGAGAGAGTTGTTGAAGTTTACTTTGTGAAGAAGCTGAAGTGTGGTCGTGGTGCTCATTTATTGCCTCCAATAAATACTACGTGCTTCATGAGTATCACATTTTTCATCACCGAACTTCATTCGAAATCGAAAGTGAAACAAACCTTCTACAACTCATCTAAGCCAACAAAAATCTACATTGATTCCAAATTTGACCAACAATCTTCAATCATCACGGTACAGGTACATATAGTAGATAAGATTGATGAACAAGCGCGGTTGACCAAAAGCTCTATGGATTCACATCATCTCACGTAGCGACGCTTTCTCCCCAAGGAACGAATCAGTGAACAAAATGAAAGTCTGGAAGAACAGCTACCCGAACGTCCGTGTCTGACAGATCTCTTCGAAAGAATCTCTCTCTCAAAAGGACACCTACAACATGGCAGCTTTTGTCACTTTAATATTCATCATTTGTAGGTCTTCTAACATCGAAAACACGTATAACACACGAATTTCATCTTTCCGTTTCTGTGGAGACGCTGGCATGATGCAATATCTGAAGTAAATTAATTGTTGGAAATTTTATCCTGCAATAAGAGCGACGTTGAACTTGAAGACAGCCACGACTAATAGTACTGGGACTTACTCGAAGAACTATGTCATGTCAGTTTAGTCTTTAGCGGACCATGTCCAACAAATCTGTGAAGCCATCGAAGATAATCATCGTCAAGTCAGTGCAGTGCTTGTTCTTGTATTCTGTGGAGACGTTAGTGTAATCCAATGTATAAAGTAAATTCTTTGAAGTTTTATCCTGCAATGGGAGCGTGGAAGACAGCCACGACTTAGGCTCAGCAGCAGAACATCTAATATGACTGGGACTTACTTTTACTTAGAGATATGTGTCAGTTTAATCAAATTCTGAGAGGACGACGTCCAGCTAATTTGTCTTGTACATTCTAACCCATCGAAGCTGATTGCCAGGAATCATATCCGAGCGCATCCATCGATTAGCCCCTCGCCCATCGTGTGTATTTTCTTCTCCTTGTATTCTCGGCGTGGGCCTCTTTCTTCCATAGTTCGCCATTGGGCTCCCACGTAGTGCATGGGCCTCCACTCCATGGCCCCGGCTCCTCTGCCTGTTGGGTCTTCCGCGAGCCAAACCGCTAACCGAATACGGCCGGGGTTAGTCGGCGCGGGGCTGCACCCTGCTGCTGCAACGGAGTAACTAAACCGGGAACACTTCGCGGCGGGCCTTCGCCGCACCCCCTTCCAGCAACTTCCGCGCCCCCGCCCCCGCTCTCCTGCCCCAAAGCCGCCACGCAGCCCAAAACACTGCCAGCCACCAGGAGAAGGAACACCCAACCCGCACAAAGGCAAAAGAAGAGCGCCGCGCCCTCCTCTATGGCCTTCACCGGTTCCTTCTGCTCCACCACTGGAAGCGTTACCGCCCTTTCCGGCTCCTCTCCTTCCGGGTCTTTTTCGTTCGCGAAGCCAATGACAAAGCCCCCCGCGAAGCTCTCCCGCTTTGTCTCCAGCCACAGGCTAAGGGCGTCCGCGGTCTCCTCTTCCTCGTCGGAGGCCTCTCCGTCCGAGTCTGAAATGTCGAATACCTTGAGCTTTGTTGCTGCATCGGGTTCGGGGCCATCGATGGCCCCGATGTTCAGATAATGTGAGCCCGAGGGCAGATGGAACGGCACTCTTTCGGTTAAAAAGATAGACGGCTCGAAGTTAGGATGGATGGATCGATGTAACAAGGTACCAGCCCTTTGCGCGTATGCAGTTTGACTGAAAACGAAAAAAATGAAACCGAAGTAGGTTGTAAAACTGCATTGGGGAAAGACATGCGCGTGAACAAACCTTTTTCAAACTATAAGAACAGAAGCATGCGGGTTAGAATGGGTAAGTGGATGAGAATTTCAATTTCATCTATCAAACACAGTGAGTGCGAGAATTGCGAGAGAGTGCGAGAATTGCGTGATCGTATCTTAAATAAGCATGACCAACCAATAAAAGCGATGCAACTCTTCCAAGAGGCACAGTCTTGGAACTTTACAAACCACTCGATGCCAGACCATATTGCAATCTTGGACTGACTTTTTTCTTGAGAGTCAACTGTAGGATCTGATCGAGATCCATCATAACTCTACTTTTTCAAACCGACAAATGTACTACATAGTTAGAGTTTGGATCATATCCGGCATTGTGGTCATATAACACGCCAAGTTTCTTTTTCATTCTTTCTTCAGCTCGAACACAGAATGACTGAATATCGACCGCTCAAAACAGATGACTTCATGTTACAACTCACTTAAGCGGACACAAAAAGCGAGCATGATTTCGATCATTCATGAACCGCAACCGTCATATCAACCATGACTGCCTCTCATCCGCTCTACAGATTTGTTGCAGACCCAGACATTGATGTTGAACAATTCTCTTATAAGAAGAGCATCCTAGCGAATGCTGATGCTGATGGCGTCCAGAATTAGCTCAATCTTGCTACATTTTGTAAAACTGTTTCAGCCAACATCCACTATGTCGACTTATATGTGTAAAGATTGTGTTTGCATCAACAGTACAGCTTCTTCAGCATTGTACTGTATACAGCCAAAGAAATCCATGCCCTCCCAGTCGGTATGACTATGACATAGTAGGTGCTCTGTAAAAATTCATTAGATGTACAAAAGTGAGTTTTTCGCCTACCAAATCTGAAGGGAATCCGAAAGCAGCCTTGTCTTTGAAGATGTCGTCAACCTGTGCCTTCAATTTTTTTTCGCGTCATTTTCGATGACAGCCGTATGTCCGATGTCTCCTCCACCCATATATTTTGAAAAAGGCTCTTCTCCTCGATTGTGTGTGGCAGCATTCATTCCTTTCTCAATTTGAACCAGCACCCTGGAAGCTCGTGCAATGTCAAGAAAACAGCCACAAAGTTGAAATTCCGACGCAGAAATGAACGGCACCGGTGTCTTTCAGAAACCTAAACCACCACCTCCATGCCGTGGTTGCTGGTACAACGCGGGCACATGATGACGATGGTGTACCCAGCACGACGTCCTTTCATCATTTGTCTTTTTCCTGCATGCCTGCAACGGCAGCTGCACTGTTGGAAAGCAGGGACGCGCTGTTTTCCATTATGTCATCTAAAGTTGGTGCTACCTTCTGCAAATGCGGCTGTAAAAGCGAATATACGCGCTCCGCACCACGAAATTTCCCAGAAAGAAGGTAATAGACGAAACCCACCTTCAACAGGTAATACCTCAAGTTCACGCGGTGAAACATTTTGTGATCATGATTTTTGTAGTTGTAAAATTTCAGCGGACGGGGTGATCATGATTTTTGTAGTTGTAAAAGAGAATTGGTATTATAAAGATCAGGCGTGTTTTTAGAAGGTCATCAAAATCTTTCATCATGATCTACTCGCTCCTACTTTACAAGTAGATGGTGCAAACAAAACTAATGCATATTCATTGTTCAACAATCTTCAGAAAAAAATAAAGCACAAATCACAGAAGCAGTACATTGGTATCCAGAAGAGCAGGAAGTCGGCGAAAACTTCGAGAACTTCGACGATCATGTAGACTACCCAGTATTGCATAAGAAATCGTATTCTTTCGTCATCCTTCGCCTCTAATGCCTTAAAGGACATGTATCCGGGTATGATTCCGCCCACAATCAGCGAAATTGTCGAACTGCCGATACCTGTTGTCGCATGACAATAAACTTCAACAAACTACAAACACGGATCATTATGCACATCAAAAGTAAGTTGGTGAAAATGAATCGGATCCTTGTATTCATCCATTTCGATTTTTCACGGAACCACGAAAAGATAGACGCATCAACCCAGTTCGTTCTATGTACTTAGCTGCCGTGAAGCCGCAGAATAGGATTCGCTATCACTGCCAACCAAAAATATTGACTCACCAAAAAGCAGGAAGGGGACGAAGAAAGCGACGACGACGCAAACGATTAGTGCGGGTTTTACGCCGCACTGCGTTGCAACCTTCTGCAACACTGGTATCTTTTCGCAGTACGCGTTAACCTTTTGCAGCACCTGCTCAGCCATTTTTCCTGAATCTGTATTAAAATCGAAAAATAAAGAACCTGTAACCAGAGTCAGGGGAGACACAACTAAGTAGAACTACTAATTTTCAAGTTAAGGTTTACTAGTACTTTGGCTATATACTGGACGTGTAGTTAGGGGACACTAAGAAAGGCAGTCACACTAGTCTTCTAGTCTGCTGCAAAGAGAACGAACATCAAGGGGGATTCCAATACAGAAGGGGACGACTTTCCAGATGCTCCTTAGTTAGTGGAGTAGTCGTCGAAGGATATTCAACGAGACTTCAAAACTGACAACCTGCAGTGACAAGTAAGAACGGCAAATGACTCAACACTGCAATTATCCAGGAAATTGGAGATGATTTAACAAATAAATTCATTCGTGTCGCAAAATCCACGACGCTCTACGCTTCCAATGCACTTACCACTTGCTTTTTTTACTTTATAGGTTTCCGAATCATGGATGATCTTTTACTCAATGTCAAAAATTACAAAAATAGGTGGCGCTCTCTCAAAACGATTCTTTAATCCATAGAAAGAAGAACTAAAAATAATCACCTGGTGAATGATACTACACAATTTTTGTAAAGCCTTGTCGAGGGTTGGGGTTCGTGGCTGCTCACTTGCTTCCTGAGATTCAGTTTCAAGATGAACGGTATGTCGCAGCTGCTTCCTGAGAATTTGCTCAAAACAGATGCAGAACAAAAATTTAAAGATGAAGAGGGAAGAAAGATCAACTGAATCTTGATCTTCTGAATGATCTTTCTGCACCGTCATCTGTGGCTAGATGACCAAAGGAAGAATCATCTTGAATCATCCCATCTAACCTCTCTGATCAGTCGCTCATTACCACACTGCTTTGATTTTCTCTCGTATAATTCTGTTTCGGAGTTATAGATAGGATAGGATAGGAATTGGCTCGCCTCGGAGAGGTGAGCGTTCACGACTATAGATGCGTATGATAGTACAAGGACTTTTTTACTGCTGTTAAACATCCAAATACAAATTGCAGCAATCGTAAACCTAGGATCTTTGCCGCCAAAATTGGTGTACGAACACTCGTGAAATTATTGCAAATCAAGAAACAAGAGACACGACTCTCGAAGATGTTTTGCGCAACAGGAGTCGTCCTGTAGATACCTTTTTTCAACATCCTTCATCCACCAACATTCATGGTGCCCGTTTCCCCACGCAGCATTTAGCCTGTTGGGGTTGGGTAAGGCCCTCTCCGCAAATGTAATGTACTTTTGGGTGGGGATTTTCCAATATTGGAAACACTACTTTATCTATCAAAATAGATCACACGTGCTATCTGCGATCGTGAAAAACGCGCCGCAAGCTTGTCGCTATCCACCCCAAATGCACTTGTACCAGAGTGGATTAGAGAAATTCTGAATAAGTATATCTTCAACATCGTTTTTTCGTGTGGAATCACTCCTCTTTGTATCTCCCGCAATTTAAAATCTGTATGGATGGACCACTGACTACTTCTTGAATAATATCTCCACTACGAGAGTCCAAGAATGTCCAAGAGGCATACACTTGTTCTAGTTCGTGCTCGTGGACTTTTGGTATATCATACGTACAAGTTAGTAGGTCCTCTACTTCTATAATCTAACAAGTATAATCTCTTACAGTATAAAGTTTTTCCCTCGTTTTGATTTTGATTTCATATTTTGAATTTTGATTTTGAATTTTGAATTTTGATTTTGAATTTTGATTTTGAATTTTGATTTTGAATTTTGATTTTGAATTTTGATTTTGAATTTTGAATTTTGAATTTTGAATTTTGAATTTTGAATTCTGGATTTTGAATTTTGAATTTTGAATTTTGAATTTTGAATCTTGAATTTTGAACTTTAAATTTTGAATTTTAAATCTTGAATTTTGATTTTGAATTCTGGATTTTGAATTTTGACCTTGCATTTCGTCCAGAAGACGAGACTGATGCTATTTCACATTTATTTTGGCGAAGCATCTGTTTGCTTTTCTTGCACATTCACCTGCAGTTCATTGTTCTAGCAAATGTTTTGAAATTCCGTTGACCCCTGCCCCTGGGGAACCACTCCAAAGAGCTAGTAATGTCGTGTTTTCTCCAATTTTTTTCATAAGTATGAAGAGCATGCAAAACGCGGTGGTCCCGAGCAAGACTAGGCTCTCGAAGCGCTTCCGTGTTCCGATTCGGCCAATGAGAGAGTCCATGCGAGGAAACATTGCGTTTATTCCGGCCATTCGCGACCTCAGGTCTCTAAAAACTTCGTTCTGTCGTCCTATGTGTTCTCGATTTGTCAGCGCGTTCTCCATCGCCTCATCTATCAAGATATGACTCGTCTCCAGTTGTCCACGTTCGCGGAGAAGACCTTTGCATAGGTACATGAAGGTTGGTAATGGTGATTGTACCTAGGTGGTAGAGATGTTGAAGAAAACAACAAAACTGAAACGCAAACTTCCTTGCAGGAGGTCGTTGTTCGGCCTTGGTATATGATCATGATTGACGTTACTACTTCTATGTTGAAGTTCTCGACGACGAAAAGAATATAATTTCTTACGACAACTAAATCGTGTTGGCAAAATGGCCAGTAACTGAAAATACCTTCCTCTTCGCTCTTCGCGAGTGCATCGCGGGTGCCAGCAACGAGGCGCAAACTCGATTTTCCCGCTGCCATTTGTCGGTCTCGCGATATCTTCCTCAAATCTGAGTGTAGGTCTCGATACTGATCTCGGAACCTGGGATGTAGTTGAATCACTCAATTATGCCGCCAATGGTCATGTAGAGACGGACGTACCCCGGTACATAAAGTTCTTTTCTAGACGTAAATACAAAGATAGCCAAAGTACTAACCCCAGGAACTTGAAGATTTAGAAAGGACAATTTATTGGAACATCAATTGAAATGATTGCTGACGTCATTGCTTGATCTACCTATGAATGTTGAGTATTTATTAATTTCGGAAACAAGAGTTGTTCTCACCTTCTCAGCTTCATTTGAGTCGTTGTTCGGTGGTCGTGTGCCCACGCCGTCGCTAACCTATCAATCAGGCTCTCAAAATCGCGGAGGCACGTCTCAGTTGCGGTTTCGTATGCTTGAGCCTGTTGCGACATACTGTCTTCACTTGTCGTGTTCCCCGTGCTCTTTCCATACGCTAACGGGCTGTTGTACCCCCCGCCACTTGACGACGAAGCCGCACTGTAGCTCGAGGCTTTTTAGAACTCACCCTAATCCATCCCGGGACTCCTCGTAAAGCTGTCTCCCCCTTAAAGGACAGCTTCAAGTAACTAAGATGCTTCTGGCGATGCGTTAGGGAAAGCCTTAAGCTTTTGATCGCGCCGCCATCTTCCTTAGCTCCTCCATGCGAACCTCTAGGTGCCTATGCATCGCTGTCGCCTCCTTCACGAGCTCTTCTGGTGAAGACGCAAGTGTAGACGTTGACCCTCTCATGGTTCTTGACGTCGACTTCCCTGAAGTACTCGAAGAATTGAACCAGAGCCAATCGCGTGTGAAGAAAAATTCTTGGCTCACACACTGCGCTCGATAGCTTTGTAGTTACATACTATACCTCCTGCTCCGTCAAGTTTAACTATTACAGCTTGAACTTCTGTGGTAAGTAATCGCAATGCTTTTAGTCTTCCTCCTGCAGCCAGAAGTTTTTCAGTATAGTGATAATGATTTTGTCTTGTGATTTTTGCATCTTTGTGACTAAAGCGCCAGAAATTTCCATTTCGCCACTCGGAATATATCATCCCAGCTCAGACACGCTCTTTCTGACACCTGGCGCCGCATTCAACTTCTATGTCAGCTCTATTGTAGAACCGCAACTACCGACCCGCAAGTAGACCAATCCATTCTTCTTGATATCAGCACGTTCCTATACATAGCTATGGACGTTCTGGATCTAATATAAAACTCGAACCGAAGAGTCCTCCTTTGAGTGAAAGGATCAATGCTTTTCTACTCTGTGAATTCAAACCAGATGCCTTGTTGGACGAGAAGTCCACCCCAATGCGCGATCACCGCACTTGTTTCTTCAGCAGTGAGCTGCATAATTCTGGGCTCTTATATTGACCCAGAAGCCAGGGCAAGAGTAATCAGCATTGCCATTGGAGCGGAAAGCGGCAATAACAATCTTCAGTCAGCAGTCATCCCCGTGTGGTTCTCGCTGTGAAAGGGTCGCTTCGCTTGCGCCTTGCTCCTCATCCCCAGGGAAAGAGGATTCGGTGGTTTCTTAAGTTTGTCAATGAGGTTGAGGGCACCATGAAGATGAAAAGCAAGACATTATCTTCAGTGAGGGGACCTTCACGATAGGAGTTTTCAATGCGCCGTGGTCATTGTGTAGTTGCGGGGTCCTGCTCCGGTTGCGAAGGCGAATACTAGTACAGTTCAAAAAGTACTCAAGAGAACAAAAGGAAAAGGATCAGCAGGTCGCAACGGGGGTTCATCACATCTTCGCGCGTGAGCGGACATCAAAAGGGAAGAATCAACAATTACCACTGCTGAGGGATCACAATGATCATATCACAACTTAAGTACTACGATCAACAGGGTATGTAAGGATCTTAAGTTATGTGAAGTGAAGTTACAACTTAGAAAAATATATACATCGTCTTCATTGCAAGCTAAGACGATGAAGATGGCTTATTCAATGAGTTGTACAAAACATGATGTTTGCGAGTTGTTACAAACATTTCAACTGCGAGTTGTTTGCGTCCAACAGCAGCGGCCGCAGGATACGAGACAATGTAGATAAAAAAAAGAACCTTCCTTGCAGCAGGCACTGAGGCGTGGATCGTCACGGTACCTGCTGCAAGAAATAATTCTTGTAGGTGGTGTTGGGTATCCATAACTGATATCCCTAATGATGAAGCATGATCGAAATCAAATGATTCAAGATCTTCCAGAACAAGTACGCAAATCTGACAACGCCACTCATTAGGTCCTTATGTAGATCTTCATGATTCTTCATTATTTCAAATGACATAGACATGTTTGACAAATACGGGTAGGTAAACGAGGAGACGAGGTACCTACCCTTCTAAACACGAGACAATTTGAGAGTTGTGTATGTGGAGTCCTCTCAGTGTGTACATAGTCCACTGTCCTGTTCTACTGCTTCAGGTCGTTCTTCAGGCGGTGGGTCGTATCCATATCATTTTTCGTGCCGTCCTTCCTTGGTCGGAAATACTTTTTTCGAATCAACTACCAAAAAACAAAATAGGTAGAGTTCGTGATAGGTTGAATGAACCATAATAATTAGTGATGATGGAATCGCATACCGAGGCTCAGAAGGAAATTTACATGACTTGCTCGTTCGATTCGAGAGATTACTTCATCTACATACTGTATATTCAAGTTGAACGAGGTCTTAGTCTTACTCTCTTGTACATAACTACTAAAATTTTAATAAATAAGCATGAGCATTTTTGTTTCAAGAAACATTCTCCCGGGAAAGTCGTGCAATAATAACGAATGACATATTTCATCAGGTGTAACCAATCGCTTGTCCATTTCAACGATCATCTTGATCAAGACTTCTATGGATGAATCCAAAAATCATCTAAAAGAAAAAAGGTGTGCTTCAGTGTGCCCTCGTTGCCGACATCGCCGAAAGACCCTGAGATGTGGCCGCCGCCCTCTGCTGCACACTACTCAGATTCGCCATCCTTCTTACTGTTTTTACGACTTTCAGCAGCCCGACCGATCGAATTGTCGAGCGAGCTCCTACCGCTGCTCGAGAGTTCCACCTCTGTCCCACGATTTTGCCCCACCTCTCCATCGGCGCCATCATCCCTGAAAGCCATGTCCGGCACTGCTTGTCCTGCGACGCAAGTCGACGTTGTCCTTGGTTTATCCTTTTGCCCACAATACACACCAAAACCACCGATAGAACAGGAAGTGATGCTGGTGCTGTCCTTATGAAGAGTTTCAGTGGTTGAGGTACAGCTGGAACTACTAGCATTTAGCTTCGCATGGTAGACATGGCGCATACGGCTTGTCCAGTTTGCGGTGAAGCCATTGCCCCACAAGACTATTCCCGCGCCGAAGCAGCGAACGTAATTTTCAAATTGCGCGTCCAGTCGAGAGAGAATTTGCGGTAATGCTATTCCAGGAGTCACGTTTTCTGCCTTGGAATCGATCCACAGAATCGGAGTACTACCAGTATTGCTTCCGGCATAATTGCTACCTTCAGTATTGCTACAGCAACCAGTGCCAGTATATGCATGGCTACTATTCCTGCTCGTTGTTGTACAACTGGCACTGCAGCCGCCAGCTGTATCTTCCCTGCTACTTGAAGACGATGTTCGAATGTTTATGGCACGAAGAAACAAGTAATCGGGAGTCGGTAGAGCAACCTTACCGAATATACACGCTTGAACCTGTAGGAGGAAAGGGGAAAAACAAGATCAAGGTAGAGTGAGTCAAATAAGAGTGGAACAACAGCGAGAACTTTTTAATTTTACCAAATTGCAAAATTGAGGTTCGGTAAATCTTACATACGGACCACTGCGCCACAAGGGCAGGGGCAATAGGAATAGAAAATCAAAGTCACAGATTCATCGCCAGAGTAAAAGCTACCTCTAGCAATTGCGGTTGCGTGACAAAAAATCTTGGAGGCGTCTTCGACGGTTTGGAACATTTCTTACTAGCAACAAACTGCAGTGGATCATCGTCAGCGGATGATCTAGTTCTTGAAGCAGCAGGCACGTCCTTGTACTTTTTTACTTCGTCTGCATTCGTGCTTGTTCGAAATTCATGGTCCCTTGCTGTTGCTTCTGGAACGCCAGTCGCACTGGAAAGTGCATTCTTACATGCACTTTTCGTCCGCTTCTGTTCCTCCTGTGTCTCGTCGATATGTTGACCTGTATGCAAGGACTCTGCTTCACTCTCTTCACTACGCCATAACGGTTCCAAGGCGTGAAGCAATGTGCTCTCGCAGACGTCTTCTGCCGAAGCGCCCTTCTGCGTGGCGTGCTTATCTAAATCACGCTGTGCTTTCAGAATATTCACGACATCAGGGTCGCTCTTGATACACAAACCACAACGCAGCAAGACCTGCATACAACGGAAACCTTGCATGCCAAGTCGAGTCTCGGAAAATTCGTGGAACGCATCCACGCCAGTTCTTAGAAGAGCTCGTGATGATCTCCATACTTATTTCACAACTAATTCCAATTCAACTGATTCTAATTCATTTGTTATGTTTCCCATGGAGGTATGAGACAGTTCTTTTTAACAGGATCTCTTACATTCATAATATGAAGGGAGAACTGAGAAAGCCAAAGCACTTTCTCGTCGTGAATAAAATCCGTTAAATATGGATATTATCGTCAGCCATAACTTTTCGGCCAAAATCTCGGTGGCGGTATGCATTAGTGCCCGGTCGCGCCGCAGAAACATTTGGTTGCGGACCTCCAAATGAACGCGCAAATCCGCATTGATAGCTGTTGAGATTATTTGGCTTAACGTTAAAATGTATTGCCGATCACCAAGAATGAATCTCATAATTGTAGCTTCTACACTTACCTGTACCTTCAGTGTCATGATATTTATGATGTTAACGTAAACAAGAACTACTCAAGAAAAAATCTGATACATCTTAGGGGCGCTCCCGTCCATTCGGGATAGCCGCACAGGCTTCTGAACTCTGATGCGCCGTCTACGTCTGCAGAGTCACATTCAACAGCGTCTGAAGCTTTTTTTGCAGGCCGGACTAAAATCTCCCCGCCTCGGAAAAGTGGCGCAGCCCACTGCTCAAGCTGATGCATAACTTTGAAGCCCACAGCTGGCTTGAAATCGAAAATGGGCTGCAAGAGCGGCCCGATTTCACTCTGTTTTTGTCAGTGATGTGTCATGATGAAATTCAAGATTAAGTATGTAGACTTCTACTTGAAAAACAATGGAATATCATTGGAGCTGCACGCGCAGCAGCAGCAGCAGCATTACCACTGTCACATTTTAGGTTGTAAAATCCTTGTTCATCTGTAGAAGCTCCATAAGCACATTCTAAATAAAGCTCAGTATTTCACAGGCGAGTACCGCACAGTCGACATTGACTTGAAACATCGCCTGCGCTGTATCGAGATAAAGACGCATTTGTTCTCTAAGCGGGAGACCACGATTGTGATCTTGTGCTGCCTTTCGCGCTAAACGGCATTCCGCGAAAAGTGCTGGAAAGCGCATGGCCGGAAAAAACGGAAAGCGTGGTTCCCAGGCAGGCACTTCCCCCATTATCTCGCCTGTCTCTATTAGAGGATCTCGCTCTTTGTCTCTCATTTTCTAACCTATTTCGGCTGAATTCCGATCATGCGAAGGAAAACTGAGAACAAGTACAAGAACAACCTCTCATAGAATAATAAGTGAAAACCAATTATCGCAAATCTTAACTCTAGCTTTTCCCAAAGCGAGGGGGAGCATGATGCCGGCTTTCCGGCTCCTGGAAGCGTTGATAAATCTTCAGTAGAGGACGAGGCCCCAGGTTGGCGTTCTGCTTCCCCTTTCTTTTCAGTAGCGCCACCAGTTTCGACACTATTTGCGTTTCCTAAGAAATCCTCTGCTTGCTTCAATGATGTAGCTGCAGCAGCTTCGCTGGTATCAGCTCCGCACGCCTCAGCAGCTATCGGTTCACCCAGACCGTCATTTTTCTTTCTTAGACCGTCTGCTTGTTGCGCTGCGTCCTTTAGACTTGGAGAAGTCAACGTTGGAAATACACTAGCCACAGAGTCCTCAAGGGGTATTGTCGCGTCACTTGAAGGTCTTCTTCTAGGTTCCTCTGCTCCGCTCTGAGGTGTTTCGGGAAAAATTTCGGTCTTTTCCCCTGCTGTTCTTGATTCGGTCACCTTGCATGATTCTTTTTCTTGCTGTTGTTCATTTTCCACTATAGCAGTGCTGGCACCGCTCGAATCTCCTCCCATCTCAGAGGTAACTGTGTCGTTAGCATCGAGCTCCCCAGGCAGCTCAGCGTCCAACTGCTCTAGTCCTGATTCTGTGGCATTGGAGGCAAGCGCCGTGCCAAAGTCGCTTTCTTCGCCTCCTAGTTCCTCGTGTGACGGGAGAATCTCGCTCAAACGCGAGAGGACGCGCGGCGAACCCGCGAACAAGTTACTGCACGGTGGCCCACTGTCGTCAGGAGTTTCGCACGCCGTCGTAGAGGTCGCGCGAGCTTCGCACGATGTCCCAAAAGCACTAGCTTTTGCTGAGGGCGGCCCACTGCCTACATCGCGAGGTGTCAGCAACGGGGTGGCACTCACTGGAGTCGCGAAACCGCTGCCGCCGCTTCGCTCGCTCACTGCTGGACTGCACACGCTGGGCACGCAGTCATCCCCTTCATCGCTGTGTTCTCCGAGCAGATCGCGTTGAACCTCGTCTTCTCTAGTTTTTCCTTCAAGATCACGCGACCGCGACGCCGCTATACTGATCGCTTCATCTGAGCACGCGGGGTTTCTTGGTAGATCGATGACAGGGTGGGTGAGACTCTGTAGAGGACTAATATCGCTTTCGTCGTCTGCATCACCTGCACCAAGTTCGATCACTGCCGCAAGCGGTAGCGCAGCTTGCTCTTTGGAACAGTGGTCTCGTCCATTCTTAAGCTTCTGTACTACCTCGTCTACGTCTTTCTCCCCCTCAGAAGACGTCGTGGGCTTTGCACTGACTTTGGTCTCATCTGCAGCTGCAACCTGCTTCGCTTCACCGTTTTCATCTGCGTCATCTTCGTCTGCTTTCGCAGCGACCCCTTCTTGAGTAGGAAGCTTATCCGCAGCATCAACCCCGCTGTCTAAAGTTGGAGATGTCTGCTCAACAACTGCTTCATACATATCGTCCTCCCACGCACAGGCACTTGTTTCTGGCACCTTTCCCAGGTGCGCAAGAGAGGTCGAAGATGACGAGGCAAAGTGAGTGAGTGCGGCACCGCACGTCTCGGAACAGCCGCCAGGATTTACCTGCACACTATTGGCAGGTGACCGCCAAGAAGAGTTCGACGCATCGCAGTTCTCTTCTACATCTATTTGCTGATTTTGCTGATTTCTCTGCTCCTTACTACAGCTGCTGTCCGCGTCTGGCGTCGGCTCAAAGTCAGGATACTCTTGAAATTCCGAATTTGTCACGCCTGGAAGGTGTCCTCGTCGTGTGTTTGAACCGGCTTTGCGAGCCATACAGCTCCTTGCTCGACGGCCTGAGCTTGCCCCTGTTGTAGGCCGCAGAGCACCAGAAGACTGAACTGCTCGCAAGGACGACGCGTCGCCACGATTGACGATCTGCTGCAGTTCGCAAGCAGCACCAGACCTGCTTGTTCTTCCACCATCGCAGGAGTGCGGGTCTTCCTCGTCCTCACCCTCTCCGCCTGTGTCACTTCGTACGAAAGCGCCAACTCGTCCCTCTCGGAACATAGGTGCTTCAGATCCTGAACGCGATGATGGTGCGTCTCTTTCAACAACTTGTTCACGACCCCCACCTAGATGCTCTGCGGTCTGTCGTTCGTCTCCTTGACGAGACCCCTTGCAAGTTGCTCTTGCTTGTTCAAGAGATGACCCCTCATTCTTGGACGAAGAACTTGAAGAGCCCAGCTCTGGTAGGGTACCTGGTGGAGCGAATTTCGTTCCCTTCGTGCTCGGCGACATCTCTGGCGCGCGAGGACTCGTGGAGGGCTGCGGCGTAGTATCCTCTGCAGATGCTGCACTTCGGGCGCGACTCTTACTTTTCTTGCTCTTGTTCTTCTTCTTCTTTTTTGCGCCTCCTGGCGGTATCTTGCAGCTCTCTCCTTTTTCTTTCCCTAACGACCCTGGTCCTCCTGAAGGTCCCGTTACTCGCGGACTGCTCTCGCTGCTCTTATCACCTTGGTCTGTCCTGCTTGCTGCAGCGCCAAGAACGTTGGCAGAAGAGGCCTCGCCGACGCTTGCTTGTGAACCACACGCACGGGCACCAGTGGCACAGGAACCTGCAATATTGTCCTTCTTCGAGTTTGACTTTGAAGAAGCCGCATTCTCACCGTCTCGCGCTTGAGAGACAACAAGTGGTACTCGCGTACGTGCACAAGGCAAGGAGGACCGCCGTCCTGACGCTCGAGTACTGTTGTAGTCTAGTGTTGTTTTCACTGGTGTCGCTGCCGCAGAACCGCCCTTTCCGCCACCCTTCCGCAATAGAGGCACCAACGGAATCACAGGTGGGAGATCCTCTGCCGCAGCCACGAATGGAGGACCGCCGCTACCACCTGGAAAGTTGAGCTGCGACGAGGCGTAATTTCCACGTGCGTCTGCACCAGACAGTAGGTTGGAGGCAGCGGCAGGAGAGTAGCCCCTAGGATACAGCGACGAAAATGCGGAATCCTCCTCCTCGAGCTCCTGCCAGCGCGTGCGCGTCGACCTTCCATCAGCGATGACGATCACCTCTGCGTCCTCGTCATCGTCGGCACCGTCTTGCTCGTGTGCGCGGCCTGTGCGCACACCAGCCTTCTGATCGGCTACCCCATCGACTCGGTCGGCGCGATCTTTGGCTACAACCACAGCAGGACAATCTGGCAGCTTCCCTTCCTCCAAAATAATAGCTCCTGGAGGCAGAGGACCTGCGAAAACGCGCGATGTGCTAGGGTTCTTGCCGGCGCTGTCCAGTGCTGGTGCTTTCGGGGTCTTGCTAGCGGTCGTCTGCTCACATGAAGAAGATGTTGCATCTTGATCGCTACCCTTCGACCTTACTTCGGCGCTAGCGTCTGCCGCAGCGGTCGAGTCGATACAAGCTGGAGCACCCTCCTTGAGTGCAGCTGAGGCGTGTACGTCTTCTTCCTCCACATCTCCTCGGTCTGCTACCGACTCCTCCGCTGCAGCGTCTACGTCAAAGACGCTGGCATCATTCCTACTAGCAGGAGGTGGGCCTTGCGAGTTCTCTTCGAGAGCAGTGTCTTGCTCGTCTGCGGATTTGCTCGACGGCGTACATCCGAGTGCTTGCAGGCCCTTCTTGCCTTTTCCCTTTGCCGGAGTTCCGCTGCTACTGCACGGTGCTGCAGCAGCCTTCACTGGTGTTGTTGCCTCGACTGACGCTCCACTCTCGACATCTTTGGGACTCGTGTTGCATTGGCGTATGAAACTCAAGAGCGCAAGTTCATTTGCGCTCAATTTCCCACCAAAAGCCGTCGGGGCTGCGGGCCGAGCGTTCCAGGAATTATTCTTGATACAAGCATGAGGATTGGCATTTTGTGGGTAGCATGCCGCTGCGCCTTTCGCACAACTTTTGTGATGATTATAACTTGCCGGCCCTTGCGGCAGTGCCATTCCGTTTTTGCCCTTTATTACCCAAGAATCGCAAGACTTGAGTCCTGCGCTTGATGACGCAGCCATGTTCATTTTTCCAACATTGTTGTAAGCGCCGCTGCTTTTGTCAAACGAACCTGTTCCGGCAAAACTCCCTGACACATAGCGAGCGTAAGCTGCTCCGCCGTGTTCTCGATACGCAGTGCGCCCTGCCGTGCCGTTGTGGTCATGCGAAACACAAGCACCGCCTTGATGTGGTGCCACACGACTGTGGCTGTGGCGCGTTGGTCCCGTGACTCCTCCGTGCATGGAAGCTTGCGTGTTCGATGGGCCAGCGTCGGCTGATTCTGCCTTTTCCGTCTCGTCAGCGCCCTCCAGTGAGGGACTCAAGCCGACTGCGGGACTGGCGGGTGCTTCGCAGAAGCGTCCTCCGTCTGTTGCCTTAGCGGCCCCGCTTTGCCCTGCGTTCTCGGCGGAGGCGCCCCCATTTTTATTCATCTCCTCTTTTCGTGAAGCGGAGTTCTTTTCCGAGGTCACTTCGTCTGCAAGAGGTCCAGCACTCGGTTTCGAGGTCGTGCGCCTCCGATTCCACGCTGAGGACCAGTCTGCCCGGCGCTCGCGATGCACACCAGCACCGACCGGCATGCTCTCCACCAGCGACGCCGCATCTGCGGTGGCAGGGCCTTCCCCTTCGTCCACCTCCGCTGTTCCATGCTCTTGACCGAGCACTCTTGGGTTTTGCATGTGGTCTGCGTATCTTGACATCGCGCGCAGACCTGGCTGTTCCCGTCCCTTGTGAGCCTCCTGTACCACAGTCACATTCGCGTGACTCCATGCAGAAACGCTACCATGTAGAATCGCACCGCGAGTCGCAGTTGTACTCCAGGATCCCGAGAACTGTTTTGACGTTGTGCCTGCTTTCCCCGCGCTATTCCAGCCGTGCTGCTGCGCTCCCACTCCGCCGCCGCTTCCATTCGTGCTCCCAAGCGACTTTCCCCGGTAGCGAGGCTCCCCCGCGCCTTTACCTGAAGAGTGTGCATATGATGATCCGCATTTCCCCAACCCACCCATTTTCGAACCATAATAATCGGTCTGTCCTGGTGCGCTGTAAGGCTGATGCTCGCGACCTCCTCGCATAGAGTTGTTTGCGCCAGTGGTGGATCCGGTAGCACCGCTGCTAGGATAATAAGATCCTCCTGCAGTTACTCGGTTTTGTTTTTGATTTGTAGTACCTACAGCACCAGCCTCCGATTCTTGACTATTGCCACACGACTCCGCTACACCTTGCTCCGACGCTGGGGGCTCCACGTCGAGCGAGGACATTCCACCACTAGTCTGGCCGTCCTCTGCGGCACTATTGCCGGCCGTCGTATAGTCTTTCCGGTAAGCCATCGGACGCTGGGGCATCGTCGTTTCTCGCCAAGCGGCCGCATCTGATGTTGAACTCCGATTATACCCCTTGCCGTTGCCGCTAGGTGGAAAGTATGCCATTTTTAAGCCAAACGAAGCAGAGCGACTGCCGCCACGACGTCGAGTATTTGCTTCAACGTCGCTAGCTGGCATCGCTGATCCATGCTCACCGCGCGGTTGCTCATCGTGATTACTAGACGCGTAAAATCGCCGCGGCGGATATTGTACGTGGTGCGAGCGACCGCCTTTCGTGCTGCCGCCATTCAACCCACGCAGCTGTGGATCTCTCGCCAACGCAGTAGAGCCTTCCGCTGGGCCGTTGCCGTAATTGCAAGACCGATAGTAGTTTCGTAAATGGGGAGGCATGTTTTCCCCGCGAATCGCTTGTGACCCGCCTCCTTCATCCTCTTCATCCGGTGAGCGCTCGTCCTCGTTACTACTTTCGACAATGCAGCAGTCCTCGTTGTAGTTCACATTCTCATCGTCCGTCTCATCCTCCAGCATAGGAGGTGGAGGAATCGCCTGCTCATGCCTGTCTCGTCCAGATGACGGCCTGCTCTGTCCGGCACTTGTCGGCACGTCTGTTCTACTCCGCTCTGCAGCTAGCATTTCGGCACGCGCAGAGGCCGACCTACTCTGCTCTCGAGCAACTCGGCGGCCCAAACTCTCAGTAGGAAACACACTTTCGCGTGGGACCTGAACAGTATACGGGAAATTCAAATAATTGTAATTCATGTTATAAGTAAGCAAGTGGAGTCAGTTCCTAGTCCTACCAAATCAATACCAGTTTTTGTTCCTCTATAACTTGCTCCTAGTTAATATTCGATGATAAATTTCTTCCGCTTCTAAAAAACAAGAATCACGTAAGGAAATGGACGACAACACTAACAATATGCAGACGTTCCAAACTTTCACCACGCGATACAATTGAGTATGAGAATCGTCCTTCGCGTCAGCTTGCCACGCTGTAACTAGACCTAGACCGTACAACCCGAACCTACTCCTAGACATGAAGAAAGACCCCATTCTCACTGCGTGCTAATTGCTCGAAGTCCCATACGTATCTCTGCCTGTGACGGCTTCTCTTGTCTACCTCAGTCTTCCTGCCCTTGGGAGTCTCTTAAAACCCGCCCTGCACTACTTCCTGTAAACTAGTACGTTCCGCTTCCGCCCTGCATTAGTTTCTGTAAGATGTACACCAACGACACGAAACATCTGAGGAATGCCCGTTTTCATCCCCCGCGCGCGCGGGCGTGCATGAACGCCCGGCCCCGGCGCGCGCGTGGGCGTGACGCAATCAACCCGGCGATTGTCATGTCATGTCATGGTACCTCTTTTGTAGCTCTTAATGTCTACTTATGAGGCCCCCCAGTATCACAATCTAGGAATGGAAGTACAAAACATTATACCAGCAATCCACGTCTTTGGTCGTGGTAGTACTCTGGTTCTCTGTTGGAAGTCCACTCCTCTTGATCCGGTCTTTTGAAGGTGTGCTGAAAGCGACTAGTGGTAGTCGACTGCTCTTGCCGAGCAGGCGGCTCTGCCGCCGCCGGACTGCTGGTACTGGCGCTCGCGGCAACCACATTTTGCGGAGGGTTGTTGTAGGCCGCGGCAGGCTGCAAAAGATGAGTCGCGTCTGCGCGGTAGTAGCACCCGGCCACTGGATCGTAAATCAGCGGTGTCTGAAGTTCCTGCGATACATCTCCCTCCGCAGATACGGAGATGCCGCCATGATACGGCCACTGGTACAAGTAGGGCGATCCCGCCCCGTAAAAGGGGTTATACCCAGCCGCAGTCGCGGCGAGCAGTGCAGCCTGCTCAGTGGATGTTGCCATTTGTGTCGGATCCGCTCCAGCTGCGTAGTATTCGCTCAGCATTTGCGTCATCAAGTCCGGCGTCATCAGGCCTCTGCCGGCGGCGTGTCCATGCAGGTCAAAGGGAGTACCCGTCGTGTACTGTTGGTCGTGGTCTTCCAAAAGTGTTGTTGTCTTCGGTACTCCACTGGTGCCGTAGTGGTCGTACCCCTTGCTATCTGGCGGTCGCACCATCTGTTGTTCGAAGTAATGGCTTGTCGCCAACTGCTGCAAATGATCGTTGTAGCTTGCGGCCAAGGAAGATGACCCCGTTACGCCGTCAGTCCCTACTTCCAACCCTGTAGCTGCAGCGGCGGCTGCTGGGTCCTGCCCTGAAGCTTGAAGGTACGCGGCCTCTTGCATCTGCTGTGCCAAGGCACGTCTCACAGCGTTATATTCTTGGAGGCTATTCGCGGACGTGAGGCCGCTACACCCGACTGGCTTGGGACGTAAGTCTTCCCGCAATTTAGCAAGCTCCTCCCGGTCCGCGTGAAAAGCCCTCGCCCCACCGAGGACTGCCTCCGACGTCATAGCTCCTGCGCTGCTAGAAGGATGGTCTTTATCCACCTCGCGCCCAATTAACATATCGCTAGTAGAGGAATTCGAAGCCTCAGGTAGCAGAAACGAGCTTCCTGCTCCAGCGGTACCAGGTATGAAAAACCCTCCTTTGCTGAAATGCTTGCCTTTGGAATCGCCGCGCCTTTGCCCTTTTAGCTCACTGCGACCCACAAATGCACTCCTTGCTTAGAATCTTCCACTTCTATAGGAAAGCAAAGGCCTCGCAAACTAGTGTAATTGAAAACCGTTCTTTCTGCCTTTGGTGAACATCAACATTGTGTCGTGCGACAGTAAAGTAAGCTCACTTGCATTCCTTTTCCAAAACGTTACTTAACTCATCATCTACTACCCCTGAAGAAAAACAAGAACAGCAGTTCTTTCTTTTCAGTCATAAAAATCCGAAGGCACCAAGACGCTGTCGCGATCAACACCCGCGGCATCTGCGACTACCCAGCCCTCTTCCAAGCAAGGACTTTCCTCTTGCCAAACCTCGCGGCCACCACTGGACGAGAGACCGGGACCGCATACTGTATGGTTGGGTCGTCTCGGTTTCGTGGCTTTACGCTTCTATGAAGAAACAAGGTACCAAGACAAGAAGTTTAGGATTCACTTCTTTGAACGTTTAAAGTCAACGACCGATGTTGATCATAGTCGTCATCTAGTATGATATGAAGAGGCGTGGTAAATAAATCGATAGGATGGCATTTATATTCGAGCTCTACCTTGAATACGTGTGATAAGTGTTACGGTGTCATGCTTGCCAAAAAATCTAAGTAGGTCTATGACATGGACCAACAGAACGAGCTTGATTCAGCCATATATCTTCTCCGGTAGGTGTCTTTGTCAGCAAATGTGGAACCTCACGCGGGTGGGAGCTGCTTTCTTCAGCAAGTATAGACGCCTCTGGCGGACCTCTCGTCATTCTTCCGGTGCTATTGCTACTGTTGTTGAGAAGAAGATGTTGACTACTCGGCGTCCGCGTTGGTCTCCCACTGAGAGCGGCCGCTAACTCCTGTTCGAGCTCAGCTTCGGTTAAATGATCTTTTTTTGACGCTTTCCTAGCATTTGGCTGTGCAGATCTTCTTGATGTCGTCCCTTCTCCCAAGTTTGATGTCGTTCCTTCTCCAGCAAGCTTCGCGTGTTCAACCTTATCCTTGTCGCTCCTTCTCCTCTCGCAGACGGCGTTGCTTGATGAAGATGCTCCTGCTGCGCGTTGTCCTCGTTCTCCTAGATGATTAGTCGTGTCCTGCTGCTCGAGGAGTGTAGTACTAATTGAGTCAACATCATCTGCTATTTCATCGACGAGTGAAGACGAGTGGTCGGGAAACAAAAAATTCGCCATCACTCGTTGTGCAGTCCTATTTCGGTCTGAATTACTGCTTCGACTGCCCTGAATCATTTTCGACGCGACTCAACATCCCATGTACTCCATCGGCAGTGCTACGTACGTCTTGACAATCTGTTCGTTGCAGCCACAGTAGTCTTTTTTACCCGGTCCTTGTTGTACTTCCGCTGCATCAACTGCGTAGTCTTCTTCAAGCGTATTATTGATCCGCTCTTCACATCACGTTGGATCTTGTTCTAATAGGCGAGTAGAAGTAGTTGGAACTTCTACATAGAACTGAAGTAGTAGTAGTGGTTATTCGTCCTTATTTGGTATAATGATTCCTACTCTGGCAAAAAACCTAGGTATTATCTTTCGAAGATTTCTGCCTCTCTTCTCTAGCTGAGTCGGATCTTGCTGTCCCACTAATCAGCAAAACTTTCTTTTCTCGGACTGTGATCGTCCTTATTTGGTATAATGATTCCTACCCTGGCAAAAAACCTAGGTATTATCTTTCGAAGATTTCTGCCTCTCTTCTCTAGCTGAGTCGGATCTTGCTGTCCCACTAATCAGCAAAACTTTCTTTTCTCGGACTGTGATCGTCCTTATTTGGTATAATGATTCCTACCCTGGCAAAAAACCTAGGTATTATCTTTCGAAGATTTCTGCCTCTCTTCTCTAGCTGAGTCGGATCTTGCTGTCCCACTAATCAGCAAAACTTTCTTTTCTCGGACTGTGATCAGCCTGATCTCCTATGCACTGCTCAGATGTGTCCAGCAGTCCAGGATAGACTGAGAGGACAGCACAGACAGAGTCTTTCCAGAAAGCACAGCAGCACCTTCCTCTTCACGTCTCCACCGCAGGTGTTGAGGCCACTTCATAGGAAGACGAAGATATAACTTCTTCGTGCGAGTAAAAATTCTGCGCCAACATATGCAATAAATGTCGTAAAGTAGAAGATGTTGTTCTCGGTTGTACTTCTCCTTTGTTCTTTCGTCTTCTACTGCTAGCTATGCTTGCCCACATCTCCAGCTTGTCTTGACCTCCCGTCTTTTTCTTGGCGGCATAATCCATTGTACTTCTTTCTTGATGCCAATATGTTCTTGAATAAAATGAATGTTATCTATGTCTGTGTCTAGTATAATGCGGAGAGGCCTCGTGCTGTTGAACAAGCACAACTCTTAGTACTAGAAGTATGAAGTGCGCTGCTTCTACGGTGCTCTGCTCCTTCTAACTAATATGCTGATCTGATTGTCTTCAAGGTGAACATGCACACTAATAGGGAGAGTGCATGATTTTGTTGTTGCTATGTATCAAGACGGACACAAACCTGGTTAAAAAAGTATGTTCCTTTCATTGTCAAAAAGTAGAATTCCCTCTCGGTCTAGAAAATTTGTTTGATTGTAGTCTATCTCCAAAAATGTTCAGCTAGTAAGCACTCGCGACATAACAAAGGTGCGCAAAAATACCAGCTTCACAAAACCTGGTGTGAACATGACCCCTAGAGAGTGTCGTGGTGTCTGCGGTGGATGCTGAAAAAGGTGGACACCAGGACTAGGCCTGAAGCTTACACAAGTAATCTTGATGCAGGATGTTGTTCTAGCAAGAATGTTCAAGATGAATGGTCTCAAAGTAGACACATGTTGCTCATTCTTAAAATCAAAGCTGTGTGACGACGTATGTGGAGTTGACGCACTGCTTGTTTTCATTCCTCAAAGCGATTTTTCTAAGTAGAACTGGCACGCTGTCGCTGCAGTGAAGCCGTTCCATCCATCTATTCTTCTAGAGATATGAAGACCTACGAAAACATCATGCAATCAGGTCTTACAACGAATGAGCTTGGAACCTCATTGTCAGGATCATGCTGTCTCACCAATGACAAGACCGTCAGGGAACACAAAGATAATTCATCCTGATGACACTGATGGCAGTTTACTAGACCGTACAAGGGATTCATACCACCTACCTCTTGTACAACTATTAAACCCGCGGTCGCGAACGCTCAGCAGGAATAACTATGCCTCAACCAACATCTTTTTGCTGGGTCTTTCGCCTTGCTATTGCAAGAAACTACCACAGTGCTTGTCGCGATCTCTCACGTGCGCAGAAAATGTCAAGCGTAAAACTATCACAGCGACCTGTAGATTCGAAATCAAGAATTCCTTTGAACAAATTTTCAAACTCAACTCGTATCTGTAACATGAAGGTCAATCCTCAAAATCAAAACAACAAAACGCAGAATCGGCTGAAACCAGGTCAACAAGAAACGAGGCAATATAATGTTCACTTTCAGTGCCGAGCAACCAGTCAAAAAAAGAAAAAAGAACAGGAAGTATGAGTACATGGTGTTTAAACTCCGCTTCTAACAAAACCGTAAAACCAGCTGCAAAGTCTTACCTTCATCTAAAAGTCCTCTTACATTTCAGTTTCAATTGACTGCGATTTCCGGAGGCAATGCGGATTTTGGCGTGCGTGCTGTGTCTAGCGCAGTGTTCAGACGCCTTTCCAGTCCGCTGATGTACTCTTCCATCGCCTTCAGATCTTTCAGGCCTACCTCTGCTAAACTCGTCGCCTTGCCATCGGAAAATCTTTGCTGATCACCCATTTTTGAGTGGACAGCACCAGAAGAGGACGCTGAAGCAGATGGTCGTTGCACAACTCCGATACCTGCGGAGAGCCCTTCAGTCGTATGTGTCGGTAGTGCAGCGTCGCGCGCTCCTGGCCCGGGTGGGGGAGAGGCTGTTGGCGAGTATAGTTCGACGTCACTAAACTCAGGATATGCCTCAAAGACACTGCGTGCGCTGGTTTTGACCCCGCCTGGAGAATGGTGCTGTTGCGCGACGTCCTCTTTTGCCACGCTGCCGCGTAACATGGACGAAGAGGCGTCGACCGAGCTCGAAATTATTTGTGGCCCTCGGCTTTTCTGCGGGACACGACTGCTTGCAACCTGTAGTACCTCATCGCTGACAAGATAGGGATGGTTCTCTTCGTCCTGAAAACTGACTAGGGAACTGCGACCCGTTTTCGGAGACACATAAACGCCGGAAAAAGCTCCGCCGGATGTGCGTGTGACTGCTGCGGGCGGCCGCTGCGTTGGGGCTATCACCCGGTTCTGCGAATCCACGATGCCTCGCTGTCTTAGCAGCTGCGCCGCGAGCGTTGTGACCGCCCGCGTGTTGGAGGGGTTGTTGCGTGTCGAAATCGAAGACGCACTCGTCAGACTAGCTGCCGGTTGAGGAGGTCCTTGCATTCGCAGTCCCGCTGCGATATTTGGCGAGGCAAGAGTCCCAGGCAAAGCGGCCTTGTTGAGTAGCGCAGAGCGCGGCTCACTCCCCCGCCACTGGCTTTCTAGCGAGGCTCGTGTGGGAGAGTAAAACGATGAGAGTCGCGGCGCCTTGTACGAGGCCAGCACTCCTTCGAGATTCGGCGTCCGAGGAGCCGGTGGAGCGACAATTCCTCCCGCAACAAAGTGCTGCTTCTTGTTGGTGGCGAGAGCACCCGCATCGTCCGCGATGAAGGGTGAGGCAAGCAGCATCTGACTCAATTCCTCTTCCCTCTTCTGTTTACAACCGCCGATTATTTTTCCACCTTGTTTCACTAGATGCGACAATATGCGTCCCGCCGTCTGACCGATCCCGGCTTTGCTACTGGTAGCCGACGAAGTACCCGTCAGAACTAACGAAGGCGGCTGCAGACCTCCCGCGGGTGCTGGGTTGTGCTTCCTCCTCAGTTGAGAACCATCCGGCGGAGAACCTTCAGGCGGAGAAGAGAGTCGCGGAGGCGATTCTTCCGGAATCGAAAAATGGCTGACCGGATCCTGTAGATCGCTGGATGTCTTGCTTCTCTGGGGAGAGGCTATGCTGCTGGAAGAAGCCAATACCGGTGCGGCTTCGAGCTCGTCACGAGCAGGGTGATGGCCACTATTATCGATGCCACTGGTACTCATCTGCTGCTCCCCACTTGTCGAGTGGTTCACTTTGGCTGACAGCGTGTCTCCCGGATTGAGTTGCAGACCATGGAAGAACGACTTGCGTGCCGACGAGCCGCCTGCTTGCCTTGAAAAAGTATGCCGTCCAGCACTATCCACCGGAAGCTGCCCTCCTTGGCCTGCATCCCGCACTTCGACATCACTGCTACTGAGCTTTGGCGGAGTCGAGGAGAAGGCCTTAGGGCTCCTCGCACTTGACGCCACGTCATCTTGCGGACTGTACGACAATTGTCTGTCGTGGCGAGTCTCCGCATTTGCTGCCCCTGACAAGACCGCCCGCTCCAATACGAGTGTACTTGCAGCACTCCCGCGCTCTGCGGCCGGGTCTGCTTCCGTCACTGACTGCATGGGAAAACCTCCAGGGCACCCTGGCGTTCCCGCGCCTGCCAATAGATGCGCCGCGCCAACGTCGGTTGCCCTACTTGCATCGACTCCCCCAAGTATCGACTCCGCTGCATCGGCAAAGAGCGGAGGCACAATCGTGCCATCTTCAATCGTGGTTGCCGAGGTTGAGGGAGCATTCACAACTCCCGCTGCAGCTGAGGTCTCGCCCACGTCTAGTCCCAAAGCGTTCCCTGATGCCGGCCTCCCGCCTTGGCTGGTAGGTCGCACGCCGCGCCGCGGCTTCTCGGAAGGCGGTGGCAAGGGTGCCGCGGCGCCGCCAGACTTGTTCTCTGTATCTCGACCTCCGGGTCGCGATTTCGTCCACTTCACGACGTCCTGTTGCTCCCTTGGCGCCGTCTTATCACCAGCTCTGGTCTGTCGCCTGCGCGCATAGCCGCTGTAGGAATTTTTCGATGTGTGTGAACTTGAGCTTTCCTTACTCGCGTTCCGTGCTGATGGGCGGCCACTGCGAGCGGTGTCGATTGCCGGCAGACTCGGTGTGCTGTCTCGCCGCGCTCTTCTCTTCTCGCCTTGTTGCTCCACTGCTTTAAGCGCAGCCCGCTTTCCTTGCTCAACGTTACTGCTGCAGGGAGTTCCGACACCGTCCAGGCCGGCTTTCCCCGCAATGTATGGCCGCGCCTCTATCTCGTCTGGCAGCGGCGGTGGCCCACCTAATCGCACCTTCTGGGCCGTTGCTACTACTACTGGAGACTCCGCCCGCTCTTCTCGCAGCGGAAGCCGAGCCAACGTCGGTTTGCTTGTTGACCTCCGTGACTTCTTCGGTGCGGCGCTACTCGCACTCGACGACGCAGTTGGACCATTTCCGGATACGGGATGGGACGCTGCACGCTGACTCTGTTTCGCGGATGAGAATGATGTTGGACGCATAATGCCCCCACCAGGTGGCGCAGCAGGAGTCTGCTTTATCCTACCGCCACCGCCGTTGCTACTCTCTGCGAACGCTGAGCTAGAGGACGAGCTCGCCGAAGCACTGGAACCTGCAGCACTTCCCCTTTCGGCAGGCGTGCCCTCTGGAACTGCTTGCTGCAACTGTGCGACTCCTGCCTTCAATCGACTGTGCTCTTCGCGGATGCGACGGACTACTGCTTCATAGGGTTCCTCATCCGCCTCGACTGCAGCGGGGGCATCGTGGAGCGCTCCATTGAGCAAGCTCAGATCTCGCAAGTCGTTGTTCTTCAGGCCAAGATTAGTGTCGTTCAAACCCGCCTCATGCGGCTCTGGTGGAAGCGCCTCGCGAACACTGGCCATTGCTTGTTCCACCAAAGAATGCGAATCGTCGCGCTTGCTCCCTCCGGCTCCCTGACTTACACTGTTTGCGTCTCCGCCACCATCGTCAACTCCTCCAACGACATGCGAAACCAGCCCGCCTGCGGTGGCAGGAACGGGATGCCCGAGGGCGGGAGCGCGCGGCGGAATCAACTGCGCGGCGGCCGTCGCCCCCTGGTGCGGCTCGCGCGCAGTGCCTGGCCAAGAAGGCTCCGCCTCCCCGCTTGCCAACTTTGCAGCCGCGTCTTGCAGCATGCCAGACATGATCGAGAACATATTCGCTTGCAGTAGCCTGAGCATACGACCCTGCTGCCCTGAAGGCAGACTCGGCGTCCCAGCAACCGCCGCTGTCAGTGCACTCGAGTAATTGATAGCTCCACCAGCCGCGCCACCTCCCAGCAAAGGTGCCCCGCCGGCGAAGTGCCCAGGCTGCACGAGCGAGCTCATGGTTCCAGTAGCCGAGCTCGAGGCCGACGACGAAAGAGGCTGGGCACGCAACAAATCTGCCGTGATTTCATTCCGCAGCTGCTCCAGCTGCAACTTCGAGATTCCGGAAGCACTCGAAGAACTGCTACTACCCCCTTGAGGGTGGTTGTTCCGCTGCCTTTGTGGCGAAGCATTGTTGTTCAACAACGTATTTTTCCGGGGCCGATTCTCGATATTCAGCGCTCTCGTTACATAGGACAAACTATGGATCGACTCTTCCGCAAATACTGGTGAAATACAGGTGATAAAGACCGTATACGAATTTCCCCCGAACGCGTCCGACAATAGCTCCGTCAACCGGCTGTTCCTGTAAGGAATGTGCTGTCCGTTCTTGCTCAACCCATTCGCAGAGGACAGTGCCAGAATAACCTGGAAAATCAATCGTGTTGTTTAGTTCGACCTAAGTAACCACGAGGGTCATCATGTCGTGGCTGGAGGTCATATTCCTTTGTCAAAAGCAAAAATTCAGGATGTGATCACCGGAGCGGTCTAAGCCTAGCACCTCGAAGAATCCTCCTGTTCTCGCTTGATATTGAGTTCAAAGTCAGGAAGTCGTCGTTCATCCAGCTGCTCCCATTAGCGTTGAAGACAATGACATTTTATCATCAAACACCTGTCCTAGCGTGAAGAGGGACTTGTTTATCGTTTGCGCCTCCAGTAACTGCTCCCCTTGTGCTTTTGAAGTCTTTATCCTCTCGCTGCCAGCTAAATCGACAAACTGAAACTTCGCATAGCGAGAACCTGAATCAAGTCATTTTGAAGATACTCCGCCTGTTCTGGCATGGACAGCGTTTATTTTCTGCCTAGGCATTTGTTTTTGCATTTCACCTCTCAGTAGTGTTCACTATAAAAATCTTGATGTGGAATCTTAAACTAGCTTTGCATTCCTGATAATCACATTTGTGTTCTAGTGCTAATCGAATAACCGTGTAGTACCTCCTTCCACATACAACGTAAAGATTGAGTGGCTGCGAGAACTTCGCTCATTGAGTTCTGTCTTGCTCGTGCGTCGATATTTGGCGCCCTCCTGCAAAACACACAAAGCATCTTCAACAGTATCGCACTCAACGCAGGTCAAATCGGAGACAAACGGAACACCCGTTTCACTGTGGCGCACCTGGAAGGACGTTGTCGAAAGTATGAATGTCGAAAACTACTTAGAAGAATTGGTCTTCGGAACACGATGCGGCTAGCCACACGGGGAAGAAGCTTGCAGGTAAAACAGCAGTACCTGCAACCCTGCTTTCGACGTGTCCAGCAGGTCGGTCACAACTTCGTTGACAAGGCCGACAGCATTGCTGATTTCCAAGAACGACGCTCTTACACGTCGGTGCGTGCCGTTGTCTCGATTTCTCTTCTTGTAGAGTTGCTCTATGCATCTAGGAACCAAGCCGTCAAGCTGATTAGAACCACCCAAAAGGGTATGCGTTTTACCCGAGCCCGTTTGTCCATAGGCAATCACAGTCCCATGATAACCATTCAATACCGCATCGACGAGAGACCTCAGTGGTACAAACGGAGCCGTAGACTTCTTCTGAGCTTCAATACTTCTAAGCCATCAACACGGTTACTCTACATTGACAGGAACCCTAAAGTTCACAGCTAATGCCGGTAAATCATATTAACCTAAAATTATTTCTCTTAAAAATCGTAATCAAAGGTACTTAACCGCACCAACGTCAAAAGCAGTACTCCACTTGTAGCTTCTCAGCTGTCTGTTCCTGAGTGCTGTCGGGTGGAACGAGTAGCGGAACGCTGACAAACTCTCTGCCATCACCGGTTTCAGGGTCTTCGACCAGCACTGTATTGTTAGCAGAAACGAAAACGCACTCGGGACTCGCTACTTCCCGACCAAGCTTGGGTCTGATTCGCACAGCACATCGGAAGGCGGACGTTGGCGCAGTCGTAGAAGACATCTTCTTACAGCTTCTATTCTTAATGCTATTGATTCTGCCGCTTGAACGAAGCACATTGAAAAAAGTGGACCTGCTGCTGGGTTTCTTTATTTACAAAGGATGCAAATCAAAATTAATACAACAACAATCGCACTCGGCACATCGAAAAATAGAGGAGTAGAGTTTTTTGCACATGGCATCCTATAATCTCTTGTTTTTTGCAATCCATTTTTCTTTCCATTCACGACTATAGACGAAGTATTTTGTTGCCCTTTCTATTAGCCTTTTCAACCGCTTTTCAAATAATGAATCGATCCGTTTATTTTTCGCTGTGCTTGATGTGCACAACAGACATCGATCTAACCATTTGAAAGATTCTTTGACCGATTTGCGTTGCACATCTCTCGGGTCTCGCTCAGTTTCTTATACTTTGTCTCTGAATACAGTATGGTACAGCGCTCACCATCTTATGATGTCGTGCAGAAATTATTAGACACCGACAGTTGCCGAGATGCCGACTCGCAAAAATCATTCACCGAAACCTGTACAGAGGTAAACAGCAACACAGAGGAGAAACGCACGGACGTCGGAAAGTTCCCGTGCTGCCCGAACGCATATTTTCAAGAACCAAGCGAGGAATTGTCGTGGTAAGGCAACTTGTAATCACGATAGAAGAACAAGTTCGGGAGCAAAATCACAGCACATCTTATATTAACGGAGTATTCACTGTTCTGTTTTTCGTATCTAACCAACTCCATCATCGGCTTTACGTTGAGTACTATTTTTCTGCCGCCTTAGCCATTCTGAGGCCTCCTGACATAGCTCCTTGTCTTTCCGACATACTTTTTCGACCACAGAGAGAGGAAGTCCACGCTTTTCCTGCAAAGCTCGCAGAATTCTTTCCGCTGCTAGCCCACGCGCGCGACCTCTCCAGTAGGCTTCACGAAACCAGGTCGCTTCATCAGAAGTCCCATCTGGATCCTGATGATGGTCACCTTTCATGTTCATCTGATCCACTGAATTATTTGTAGACTCCTGAACGATTAAAGAAGCACCTACTGTTTTTGATTGCTCTGTTCTCGACCTGGAACCTGAAGTTGCTGACATGATGGGCATTCCGCTGGAAAGAGACCTAGTTGTACCCGGCTGACGGCCGATTTCTTCATTGAACTCATCGTCTGACTCGTACATCGGATGGCGACTATCGCGATAGTTATACTTCTTCAGGACCGTCGCGACGTCCCTAGGCAGCTTTATTCTGCGCACAAACTTCTGCCTCTGCCCTGAAGATGCGCCGCTCGTGGCACCGTGGTGTGTTGTAGAGGGCCCAGAGGTAGTTGAAATAGACTCCTGTATAATCTGTGAAGAGCTAGTACTTGTTCCCAAAGTAGTAGTTGTAGATGCAGACGACCCTTCTACGCCAACCTTTTGTTCGTGAGTGAAAACCGTCTCGTAGCCTGCTGAGAAAACGCCTTTTTTCAATTTTGTATGCCGGGAATCCAACTCCTTTGTGGCCAAGGCTGTGTAATTCTTCACGCACGTGTTCAAATCCCCCGTCTCCGTCAGCTCTAGACGCAAACCGCGATGCAATGATACTTCTGCGAGCTCCTTCTCCTCTCCACAGGCTTGGCGTCGCGCCTCGAAGGCCAAGCGCTGACGCCGCGCTTCCTCAACCGCAGATGGCGTGCGAAACTCGCACGAGGCAAAAATTTGCAAGAGGCACACACCCATCACCGGGACGCTCATCGCGTTGCCAGCGAGAGACTGGATCTTGTTCGGCGGAAGGTTGCCCCAACAAATTTCATGCACCGGAAACCCCTGAAGCGCCATAGTCTTAGACGAAACACATCGACGCCATGATCAATAGCTTTCTGTATCTATAGAAGGTATAATTAATTTCTAGATGTAGTTGTCGTTGATCAGACGAAAGGTCACCTATTTGTAGTAAAACGACCTACAACTTATCGCTTACTCCTAGTATTTACTGGGATTTTAAGACCTAATTGTAGTATGTGCCAATTCTTAATGCTTTCCTCTGCCAACAAATATCGCATTTTTTGCGACACCCAATATCGTGCCGTCGGCAGCTGTGTTGGACAAACATTCGCTGCGAAACTGGCAAGACGATAGTTCTGACTCAAATCCTGAACCCAAAGGGAGTCATACCATTTCTGCGAAGGAAATCGACCGTCTGCGTACTTTACTGACAGCGCACGCAAGTTCAAGACCTCGATTTCGCGAGCATTGAGTTTGGAGACCCACTTTTTAATCGGCAGTTCGTCGACAGGACGCTCAGTCAAAGACCAACCCATGGCTTTGCGGTACTTGTAGCTTTGGGCTGTCCTTAGAGAACTAGAAGGTGTCCCAGATAAGCATGTCATAGAACAACTCCACAACTACATGATCAGGAGACAATACAAGGAGTTCACTTGCTTCCAACTCCACGGAGCGTACCCTTATGATGTGTACTCCTGCTTGATGTCGTGCTATAACAATTCATTGCACGTGGAGATCTAGTTCCTGCTCTAAGAACAAACCACTCAGAACCAGAGTAACTAGACAGTCTCATCACAAACAACTCATAACTCCCACAGGAGCCGATCTCCAAGTGGCCTTGAACCCAACGGCGTCGCATGCCACGTCCGTTTCACCACTGGGGACTCCTCGTCGTACATGCAGTGCAAAACTGTCAGCTTCTTCGTTATTTCTCTGTTTTGCTCCATCCGCGCAAAATCTTCGAACCACAAGTCCATATCAACGCGCAGATTCACTTTATCCATATTGACACCGGGACATGAAGGAGAAAATGTGCCAGCGGTGGGTGCTAAGAAGTCATTCCGTTAACAGACCTGACACGTACGATAATTTTGTGAATCATGAAGATGAAGCAAAGCCCATTTCCATTACGCATATTAACGTACACCATGAGTACTAATACCCATCAACATAAAATGAAGTAGATCCGCGATCGATTTTGCGGCAGGTAGTAGTTTTGGCTGGGTAATCGAAACCAGCGTACACGATACGGCTTAATACTTCGTAGGAAGGCCATCACGTCATTGATGGGCCGCCTCCCGTTTTTATCGCGTTTTCGGATTCCTTCAACGTTCTCCAGCACGTACACAGCAGGCTGCTTGCAGCGAATATAACTGCAAACGCCGTGAAAAACCTTTGCGTGTGGACCGCTGAGGCACTTGCGCTGGTTGTTCAGAAACGAGAAGTCCTTGCAAGGAAAGCCTGCGCAGTAAATGTCCAAGTCGCCTGGACAAGGCAACACCTTCTGCTGCTTGTGACAGAAACCACTTAAAGATGGCGGCACCCGCGCAGTCAGATCACTGTAAACGATAGGCGTGTCGGGGAAACAGATTAAAGCTAAAAACAACGTGGTATGCAGTTCGAAAAGTACTGATCATGATCATGCTGTCCCATAATGAGCGTAGAAATTCGATGAAGACCACAGAATTACCGAATAAAATTGTTTTCGAGTATCTAAGCAATTTACGAAAAAAATCCAGCGCAAGTCAAAGGCTCTCGAAAACGATTTCCCAATAATTATCCACTTCAACTACTTAGTTCCTATATGTAATCTTTCTCTTCATAGATTTAGCTGTATGAACCGGCGTGAATGTTCCTCAATATCGCAAGCGAACTGATGGTCGATCTCGAATCTTATCCCGCAGTGTTCCCGCATTGCGCGCTGGATCTCCCGCAGGGCGAACAATGGCGCTTCTGCACCGCTGCAGTCGGTTCCAACAGTGACGCGCGCAAGCCGGAAGAACCGCAGCAATCGATCGCGGAGATAGTGCGTCATGATGCCCGCCCAGTCGGGCAGACAGTGCGGCAAGCGTGGACGAAATCCGTGTGGATGCGACCACCAACGACGTAGATCTAGACACTGCGTTGCGCGCGAACCACTCACTTCCTCCGCTAGACGCGCAATTTCTTCGCAGAAAAGAACCGGAAAAGGATCCAGTAACGCGCCTGGAACTTGGCAACTGTGCTTCACCACTACACGCAGAAAGCGAAGAAAACTGATCTGCTTGAGAAAAGTCTCTGCGCTAGACCAGCACTGTGACCGTCCTACTGCATCTCCTCTTATCTGTTGAGCATCTGGGAGATGTGCATCTGCCATCTCTACATCAACAACATCACAGTGCTTCTCCTGCCGCTCCAAATTACCTTCGTGGCTCGCTTCATCGGATTCTGAGGAAGTGGAACGAGTCGCTGGCCAGAAACGAAAGAATCGCGCTTTCGCACCCTCGTCCTGCCAGTGCACTCGCACATGCTCTTCATACGCTGCCCCTAGGTCCCAGATGCCGCGCGGACGCTTACTCAAGATAGCATTACCGAAGTGTTCAGACTGCCGCAATTCCTCGAGAAAAAACTGGAATCGTACTTTCTCTGCATTTTCGAGCACCACACGTCGGTGCGGACTGCAGTCACAAGCAGTTCCTGAAGTACTATCGTCTGACGCGCCATCACTGAGAACAATGGCATCACCTCCTCTAGTCCTCGAGAAGGCACGGCCATCGACATCGCAACTTCTCGCACTCCCAAAGGGTCGCTGGCTCCCACCGATATGATCCTGAACAGACGAACTACCGCCATCACCTCCTGTAAGAAAGATGGCATTACTAATGTCAAAATTTCTATTTGACAGTTCTTCAGCGTCCTGCATTTCATCATCTGACCCATCTGGAGAATCCTCTTCCTCCCTTCTGCGCTTGTGAATCGTTGCTTCCCTTCGCGTCCGTTTCGCTAGCCGACGATCCATTTTTTGTGTCCCCTAAATCTTCACTATTCCAAACAACATGTTCTTTTTGTCCTCGAGGAACTATCTTTCTTCTAGAATTTCAAGAACTAAACAAATCTCTGCTAAAAACAAAAAAGTGTTGTACTCCGACGTACACCAATGCGTGGTAGGTCTGTTCTAAAAAACGAACTATACCGGCAAACGCAAATGTCCTTTTCCAGTTACTAATCTTGTTCTGGCCTGAAGAAACAAGATTGGTTAGCAAGATACGAGAACAATTTTCTGTCCTTTGCAGGCCCATGTGCTGACCGTTTCGAATTCACCCATTGAATTCCTCTCAAAATTTGTTTAGAGGCTCGGCAATGTAAACCTTCACAGAACCGACGAAAATCCAAACCATCAAAATCGGTGTCCGTCAAAAAACAGCGATCCGAAATCGCCACAGAGATACCTAGGCATCTCGCCCAAGAGCTTTCTTTTCCTTTCATGAAATGAAGAGGACCCAGAACTACTTCCTGTATCCAGTATAAGTAAATACTATAGGTTAGAGAATCCACGGAGAGGCTGAGAGTCTCTGCGAAAGTTTTAGCGCTTGAAAATTTGGCCACAGCCGGTTCCTACCATCGCATTCCCTGTATGCATGAACACAGTGGGTAACAAACTCCTGCAGCAAGGCGCAGTTTGTACAAGCGACACGTCCGTGCAGAAAAAATGTCCTATTATTTGCGATGAGCATGACTCATGAGTCAAAACCTCATCCTCAAATCTTAACGTCAGCACAGCGATACAAGACCCTCAATTTAACCATCAATAGCGTGACTCTGCGCATGTCAAGTGCGGAAGTCTATGCGCTCTGCGCAGAGAAGTATTGGTACCCTTTGTGCTTGCCCAAGAAGCGAGGATTCTCGGTTTCGCTTCCGCGAATCGACTATTATCGTTTCTACTTCTCTTTTTTTTATCATTCCCCGCCCTTGCGTTGTCTTTATCGGAAAATGCGTCGGTTTATCATTGTCACATGCACAAGCCCGTGTGTTGTTCGATGGTGAGCAAGAAATTCCCTGCACACGAAACCATGTACGATGCCCATGAGAAAAAACAAATTAAGAATAAAGCGTCAACGAAATCCCCATGATCCACCCCCAGTAACGATTGTTGTTATATAATCCTTCTCTTTCAATTCAAACTTCAAATAAAAGCAATAAATTCCATGAGCAAGAAGGGAAAAACTCCCGAAGCCTTTTGAAGCAAACCTTTTCCCACACTCAACTATTGCGATGCTGTATGATTTTTGTTCCTTAAGAATCACACTCTAAATAGATCAAATTGTGATTCTACTGACACCGATATATTCATAGTCGAAAAGCAAAAGGTTCCTAACGAATGAAAAACAACAAACTCTTAAAAACTGTTCACACATGATTAACATCATGTGATGCAAATTTAGGGCTTCAATGATAAAATACTGAAGATCATCATATTGACGAGAGGAGCAAACAATATTTTAAAAAATGCGTAGTGAGTAGGAAGCGTCACACCCCCTTGAGTATACATATTTAATTGAGTGAATGGAACGTAATCATTAAGTAAAAACGATCGAAAAAAAGCGCGCATGTGGACGCTTGCAGTTGCCCCTCGTCTGCGTGTCCCTGGTATAATACTTCGGATCACCGCAGTGACCTCAGTGTATGTTGAAAGGAACCTTCATCAGAAGGTCTCCGTCTCTTGTAGCATCCCCAGAAGATATTTACGTTAGTCTCTGATGTGTGGCCTCTTCCTGCCACGCACAAGGCGAATCTGGAATGCCCTGACGAAGCACGGCCGACGAGGACCCACATCTTCACATGAAAATATTTTTTCGAAGAAAGTAGTTGTAGATGCCTGCTAAATAGTCTCCTCATCAGACATTCTTCTAGTCGTGCTGAGATGCAAAGTGATAGTACGTCAAAGTTCTAGCATGTAACTCCGAAGGAAAACGAAATCCAAGAATAACATACTTAATAACGATTGCATTATCTCCAATAGTCTTCATCATGCTCGAAAGGATAGGATAGGAGTGCGCTCGCCTACGAAGAGGTGAGCACTCACAACTATGAGCCCCGCCCGAGTAGCTTTTAAGACGTTGTAGTTCTGTTTTTGGATGTGTGGGACCTCAAGTGAGGAATGCATTTTGCTGACAATAACACCTTCAGGTAATATTGCGTAGGAAGTTCCAGAAAGTTAAAACACCATAAAGCTATTACTAGTAGTGGTACAGTAGTTCGGTTTTACTATTAGTTTGATACTGGTAGGGTTCAGGTTTTAAAAAAAGCGGTATTACAACAGTCGAGGCTTTCGTAGGAATAGATCTTGTTGTATGCATAATTTTGAGTGAAGGTGCGGGGACTGGTGGGCACAGCAGCGTGAGCGTTCTTTGCTGAGACTTTTTGAGCATCAATCATTATACGAGTCGAACTCTTTACAACAGTCGTCCAGACCGCAGGCCTTCAAGATTAAGGTGAGTACTTAGTTACATACTAATTCAAAAAATGGAAGCTAGGCTATATCACTTAACGATGATAAGCACCTACGTTACCCAAAGAGCTATCTTCCTTCTGCTGAAAGTACAAGCAGTCCAGCTCGAATTAATTCTTATGCAGTTGACAACCCTTCATATTGGATAACGAGAAAAACACTTTTAGTAGCCGGACACTTCCCCTCCCCCTCGATGTACTTACGAGTTATACATAGTTGTTGTATTTGCATCCATCCACAGCAAGTCTAAGTCGTATGAAAAGCAAAATATCTTTTGTCACGTTGCTTTGTAACGATCCTTTACCGTGGTCAGTCAAATTCAGTTCTCGTCCAATTTCTACAATGCAGATTGCGTTGGATCAGCAGAACCACCAGCACCCAGTGGCGACATACAGCCACGCTCTGATCCTGTCTCCTCCTGAATTGGGCTCTTTGGCTGGCGCCTCAACAAGAGCCTGCTTGTAGGAGCAGGGGGTGTTGAGGGACGAGGGCTCGAAGGCGAGGGACTCCTTCTTCCATCTTGCCCTGGCACGATCACCCCACCAGAGTTAATGAGCCGTGGTCCTCGAGGCGATGGAGAAACGAGTGCCAACGAGTTACGTGCGGGCGACATGTCCTGTGAGCGTGGCGTCGCAACGATAGAAGACGGCGAGAACCCAGCAATGGTACTCACTACCGAGGGTGAGAGTGAATCCAGAGATGCTGCCTCTACAGTCGGTGGTGTCCCGGTCCGCTTTACTGGATCGCCCGCTTGTGAAGAACCCGTGTTGCGTCGCATTGGCCTGAGAGCAAGCACGTTTGGGGCACCTCGACCGCCTCCTCCACTCATCTGTGTAGTTGCCAGTATTGTCTCGTTTTTATTATGAAGGAAAGGGTACTACAATTTTCACACAAGGCTGCACTTTCTTTTAACTAAGAGATGTAGAGCAATATTATATTCATAGATGTGAAAAATACCTGATGTGCAGCAGCAGCCTGCAAAAATCCTTTTTGGGGTAGTGTTGTAAGATCGAAACTATCAAGGGCTCCGCTGATAAATCCTGCTGGAACATCCACAACCTTTCCTCGTGGACTGGATGAAGAATTGGTTCTACTACTTTGCTCTTCAGCTTCAGGTATCATTTTCTCGTTCTCCTGTCGAAAAAGATGTGCAAAAGTAAGTAACTCACCCATGTTGGGATCGGTTGGCGCGGAGCCAGTCGAGAGGCATCGTACTCTACTACCTTGCTCGCAAGATGAACCAGCTGGAACAGACAGAGACGGAGTTTGAGGCGTGTTGGGTGGAGTACTCCACGCACTACTGGGCACCCGCGTTGAAGCTGACGAGTTCTGCCTCTCAAGGGAACACCTCGCTCCTGGCGAGGATCCGCAATAAGACAATCCTGGCGAGCCGACATCCGGCGTCCTCAACATATTAGAACAGTTTGAAGGGTTGTCGGATCCAGGATGGGACGCATCGGATGGATATGATGGACTTCCCAGGTCCGCTAGTCATTTTAGGTAGGACCCGAAGGCTTAGGGGGGTCCATCCGATCCATCCAAGTCCATTCTACACCCGTTCTACAAATTATTCTATCATATCGTCTAGTGCGATCGTCCCTCCAGGTATAGCTGTTCCTTGCAGACCTCCCGCAGTCCTGCTGTAGTCGCGATCCCCAGGCTGCTCCAACGCCTCGTTAGCAAAGCTTGACCCTTTTGACCTAGCGAGCCCCTCGACTTCCTCCTGCCTCCGCTTTCGCATGAAAGGCGGCAAGTAAACTTGTTTGCTCGGACTGCTGTCCATTGAAAGCGGTCTGCCCGGACTTTCGCTCAGGGACATCCGCTGTGGCTCGGGCGTATCCGCATTGACTAGCGGAGGATGTGGTCGTCCAGAGGACTTTGGCTTAGCGAAAGCGTCATCCTCATCAATGTTCAGATTGTTGATATTGTCAACGACATCCTCGTCAACCAGCCCCACTTCATCTTTTGGTGTAGGCACCGACTTTCCATGGATTCGAACGTATTTTGGCTCGTTCTCCGCGCGCCACTGGGCCTCTTTACGACAACTTTCCATCCACTGCCGTGTTATGTCAAACTCCCGGTCTTGGTCAAGGGCCAGATTCGGGCCGCGTCGATCCTGCAGACCGCCGTCGGTGCTTGCGTGTCGCAGTCTTTGGGCAGCCGATTTTGCTTCTAAGTGAGCCTTTCCGTTGCGAATCTCCCGCATCAAACTCGTCTCGTACCGCTGCTGCTGCGCCTGGTCTTCTTTCGCTGGCTTCTGGCCAGCGCCGTTTGCACCTGTAGTTGCTCCTTTGCAGTGTTGAAGCAAATTAGTCTCTTTTTCGTAGCCGATCAATGCAGAGCGCGTAGCAGGGTCGAAACCAAAGAAGACGATGCCCTCAGTAGGAAGCGGGCACAGAGGAAACGAAAGTTTCGCGTTTTCCTTCGCACGACGTCGATTCAAGATGGAAATGGCCATTTCCTGTGCCGAACGACGTGCCGTTTCGCCACCGACCGGTCGCCCCAAAAATCCCGATTGCTCACTCAAAGTCGGCCCCAAGCACATGTTTCTTCCCGCGTCCCACGCGTCACTTAAAAATGCCTCGTCTCCGTCAGCGTCGGTTTCGTGCCCCGCGAGTAGATCACAGGAGCCGCCCACCGACGTGCTCAGGAGCGACCAGGATCGGTTGCTCGGTAGCTGCATCGACGGATGCTGTTGATTTTCCTGGTCAAAGAGTTCGCGCAGCTGTGCCACGTCATCGAGGTCCAAGTCGTTCACGAGTTCGAATTGCACTTCTTCGTAGACAAGGAGGAAAGACGGATACCGCAGTCCGGCGTAGGCCACACGGTGAACCGGATCAGTGGCAAAAGCATCCGCGACTTGCTGTTCCAATCCTTCTTGATTTGGGAAGTCCTTCTCTGCGGAATCCCTCAGAAATTGGACGTAATCTCCGAAAACGTGCGGCAGCATGTCACGTATCCGGCGCAAGTCCTCCTGGCGAAGATGCGCGAGCTCCCGCTCGGGTTGCTTCACGGAGAAGCCGGCAATCACCTTTTGAGCCTTGCGCCTGCCCTCATTGGCGTTGGCGATGGAATCGATCCCGCCCTCGTCGACGACCACAATTAAGTTGGGCATCCAGTCGCCCTTGCCACTAGCGTGCTCCACGATCTGCGCAAAGTCCATAGGGTCGTCGGTGACTACTGTGGCGCTTGGCTTGTCCCGGCCCGGCACAGGACACGGAACCAGTGGGCTGCCATCGTCACCGTCACTCTGAATCTCTTCACCAGCGCAGCCAGAGCAAATTGCTACTTCTTCATCTCCGTAAGCGGTTTTCCGTTCGCCGACTACACGAAACACGTAATACGGATCTCTTTCGGCTGCAAAAGACCCATCCTGCTGCCTCCGTCCATGGGGAAAAAGCACTGGACCGCCAGCCGTCTTCGTGCGCAGTTCCGGTGGAACCCAAACTCCTCCTGTGGCCGAAAACAATTTTTCTCCTCCCCCAGAAGAAGATGGCATTGGCATGGACATCAACGTCGACAAATTCCCTTGATGCAGCTGCTTTAGTTCTTCGTGGTCTTGTTGTAGTTCCGGAAGCGGCCTAGGTGGCTCAGTACTTGCGGCCTCACTTCTTCTCCAAGCATCCTCTATGGATTGCCAAGAATGTGTTGAAATCGCACTCCTCTGCATGGTTGATCGGCTTGCAGTTGCGGTCAAACTGGTCATCTGCGTGCAAGCAACCAGAAGGGCGACTAGTCTACCAGCCACATGCGTGATCTCACACGGCGACGAGTAGAGAGCGCGCGAACGACCTCCGACGACACCACGCATTTTGTCTATCATGGTGTTGATGTCCACTCGTTTTTTACACAATAATTAGAAAGATTTAAAACTCCTTTAACTTATTCGTTCGTTCTCGTTCTTCGATGCAAAAAAGTACAGGAGCTATAAACACTGCATGCGTGCTTTACTCAACGTACCTCTACTACTAAAATCCAATACATTACATGTTAGTACGACAAAGATGATGATCGTCCAAGCTTATTCAAACAACACGAAGACCTAGTGTACTAGTTTTGCTAGATGCGTACCGAAGTTTTTTCAAGAAGACAAAAGAATCATTCAAAGAGTCAAGATTTCTCTGCTGCAACTGCTTTGGTACAATGCATTGATGAAATCTTGGATCTTTTTTGTACTAGATTCATGCTACAAAAAAAAATTTATTCCTTGTAACCAGACCATTGAAATATAAGAGAACCCAACATGAACGAGAACTACGCACTACTTTTCGATTTCAGTGCGGCTTTTGACTTCAAAAATAGTCAATGCACGAACAGCAACATAGAACTCCGATTTCCTACGGCGCTTTGGACATCATGAATTCTGGATCTGTAACAATGCCTTTCGCGAGGACTAATAGTCTCCCAAAAATTCTTCGCAAATATTTACATTCACGAACATTCCATGTGATTCATTTCTTTCCATGCTTTTCACACTGTTCACGATTCGAAGTAAGTATAATTCATCTTGTTTCATCCCATTCATTGAAACGCACACATCCATCAGATTCTTCGAAGAAAAGAGTTGCGGTTCTCTTAGGCGTTCTTTATTGGCTCCCACAATGCACAAGGAAATACAATAACGAACCTTGCCTCACGCCTATTTTGTGCACAAGTCGCTGCCACATGCGCGTCTACCTGCGAAGTCGATTGATGTATCAATATTTTTTTTCTCAAAATTAGTGTTTGTGTTTCTGGATTTCATCGTTATGTTTAGAGTTGTAATTCAAGTGATTGTACGAAAGTTGCCTTACATCTTCTCCATTTTCTTTCAGAAGTGGAAAAAAGATCAAGGAATCGCTTGGCAATGTGTCAGTCACACGACAAAAGACCCAGTAGATTGGCTATGCTACCCGGCGAATACGAAAACGTTTGCCGGCACGCGATTGAGCAGCTACGCCAAGATGCCCTCATGCTCATCCTCTCCACAGTACCTCGCAGAGTTACGACTACATGATGCAAACGCTAAAGCCCTCAACACGGATCCTTGTCAGTAAATTTGGAACTTGTAGAGAAGTTTGTTCCAGCGAGTCGTTGTCTCTTTCAGCATCATTTCGTGGTCTCCGGTAGTAGCACTTACTTCAACTTCTGTTACACTGCCAATCTATCACAGGACTAGTCGAAGGAAGACGATGTCTTCCAATCAGACTAGTCGAAAGGAGACCTGTACTCCCCGGCCCTGTTTAGGGCCTTCAAAGGAGGAAACCGGCCGTTTGAGCTGTCGAAGTAGAAGGACCATATGCACCCGTCTAGCACCGTACAATGGCACGCCATCGGATATTAGAAAATTGAGGAGAAGAAAACAAATCCAGCGCAGGAAAACGAAAATTCAAACCTAGTGGATAAATTCAAGAAACTTAGATGTATGTACGAGTTGATAGTACCTACTCCCTGATGTGGTGTCTTTGATATTTGGTGAAATAATCTGAAGCATGTACATCTACATGTTGCTCACGTCTGGATCTCGAATCAGTAGATTATTTAAGATTTTTTCTCTTCGTGCGTGTTCTGATGTGGCCTTATATATATGATCCGACGACGCCAAGCATTCTTGTGATATCCCCAATACGGCGTTTGCTAGCGATCATCGTCGCTGGATCAAAGGCTTGAACAGCTTCGGCGTCTTCAGTAGCGGACTCTCGGGCAGTCGTCCGAGTCGTCGCCCTCGTAATCGTCGTTCGACTACTCACCGTGGAATTGGAGGCTGCTAATTGTTGTTGCTCCTCTTCGTCTTCGCCTGAAGCAGCAACCGGCTTTGCGCTAATTTAGCGGTGGTGACTTGATACTTCTTCATCTACTTCTCGTCACGTTTTTAGCATGATTATGTCCACCCTGGGGAGCGCACGTGAGAAGTTCACTTGGCTCCCACGACGAGCGAGGACACATAATTACATCAACAGAAACATTCACTGGATGGTCAGATGATGATGAACTACGACTAGCCTTAAGTAAGAGCACCCCAGTCACCGCCTGTCCAAATCGATCCATACACCGAGAGGTCTTTCGGAATGTGGTAGGTGTAATAGGCCCACAGGATGCACATTGCTGCTGCAACTTTCAACAACACCGAAATCAACAGAGATTAGAAGCGAATTATGTTACATCCTAGGTGTATGCATGAGCATGCTTGCCCTCCTACTACCACGACTTGCTAAGATTCCTATTTTTAACCATAGAAGCAAGCTCCGACAGCTGGTTGCTATTATCGTCATACCGCTTCTAGGAGTTACCATCTGACAAGGCTAAAGTTACATCAAACTCGTGTGAAGCCTGGTGACTTCTGTGTGAACAAAATTTGTGACGAAAATATTGACACAGATGAAGAAGATTTCCTGGCACCATATGCTCTAACCCACGCGTACTCTTGAGGCGCGGCTATGTATACGCAACAGAGCGGCATCCAAATATGCTCCAGCACCATAAAGGCCGTAAGCGAACCACAGAGGCGATAGTAGAGCGATGCTGGCATGATTCGAGCTACGCGAAACACGTACACCATGTTGAGGATGAACCCCGTTGTTGCGCACAGAAACCCAAAAAGGTACGTGTAATATAGCACGAAATGTTCAAATTAGAGCCTACATCCCTGCAGTTGAAAAGCACTCCTATAGACCCCGCCCAAAAGCCGACTGATGTGGGAATCTTCATTCGTATCAGGTAATCTCAATTTGCGTTAAATTTCAGGGACTACAACATGATAAGCTAATCGTCTGATCACGATTAATAACGAATACCTCGATGATTGATTTTCTTATTCTCGTCTCTGTTGACACAACGCCAATCATCTTTTTTCCAATAAAATGTTTGCAAACTTGCCTTAATGTTGGTCGTATATGCTTCCCCATAAATTGAACGCTCCCGTCTGGTGCGGATTCACACGATTCCCGCGAGGATAAGTCTTGTTTAACCATTGACCGACGACGAGATCTTAGAGCAAAAACGTCTTGGTAAAGTAGCATAGTAGAGCTGTAGAATAGTGGATTCAGCGAGAAGAAGGAAATCCATGGAGCGGAGAAAATAAAATAGAATATTAACCTGGAGTATTCGCATTGTACAAGAACTTATCCCTTTGTCTTCTCCATTTCCTTCTTGTGTGGACAAGTAGAGGTACCCATCCTATGTATAAGTCTACTAGGTTATGATAATCAGTTCAGGCGTGAATTGGCGATCGAAAGTCATAAAAGTAGTTGACCAACATGAGGCCTCCTAAGACGATGTACGAGAGGTAGAGAAAGAGGAGGTTGTTCGTTGGCTTCGAGTCCCCCTCGATCCCATCCGGATGGTCTCCGGTCAGCAGAGGCTGGATCATCTTTTTGCTGCGGAAACCTAAAGACTCGTCTGCCTACTACTTCAGTCAAGTGAGCGTGAGATGATATCAAGTCGCCTGGTATAAGCCGAAACAGCGTATAATACGTAAGGAAATAGTCGTGAGCACTTGTAGTAAGAACACCTAGGTTGACAGTCAACACATGAATACTCCGAAACCTCTTTTAAGACCTCGGACGAGTCGATTGCGACTGCAACTTTTTCTTCACAAGGGCGGTTTTTAGGGTGAGGGGCAAGCAGAAAAAAGGGTCTGTCGTAGTGCGACGATTTTTCCACTCTCGATCTTGCTCCTTTCAGCTACCAGTGCATTAATTATCGCTCGACGATGCAACAACGATATCTCTAGGTATCAGTATCTATCAAGGAAAATTAAAAACTGTGGTCGTCTCACTCTTCTCAGCACAACCGATCGATAGAATCAATCGTGCTTCTGATGAAGGAACAAAAGACCCCGACTTCAAAAAAGTGTGATGTCCGAACGCCCACAAATGGCAAACACCTGAACAAGATGTAGAACTGTTATTCACCTATCTTCAGAGATGAGAGATCACACCTTCAGCCTCACCGTGTGTGAGGATCCCGATCGGAATGATATCGCGATTCTCACTAGCTTGAGAAAAGGATCAACACAGTCATGAAAAGATGGAAGATATACAAGGTAGTACCACAGGAATCAACTATACGTAAGTAAGCGAATCATGAGGGGTTCCCTTTTGATCACTCTGAGTTTCTCTCTCAGGGGCGAGAAGGACAAGAACAGCTGGCTGCAACCACGAGTGAGAGCACGTGCTTCGATCAGATACGCTGCACGTCCGCGTTAGGAGACAAAATACCTGTGGTGTTGGTTGTTTTTGATAGTTGGATTCGTTAGTAGATGGCGAGAGGACACAGAGGAAACAATGACATTATACAGATGAAGACGGAGTCGTGTTCTATTGAATACTAGAGAAGCAGCATATTACAGTGCAAAGTTAATGTAGTACAAGGGTAGAAGAAGCGCCATTCCTGCAAATGCCCCAGCATAGGTTCCACAAGCTGGAATTACTTGACTTTTGCTCATGCCCCATGTAGCCATCCATATACGGGGATCGTTCAACGCGATCCTGAAATACAAAATTCTCTTTGTTTTGTCTATTAGTACATGACTCAAACGAGAACGAGTAACTGCTAAATTCTATGTCAAAATATGTACTATCTTTAAGGTTCGTGCGAGAACCACTCCGAATGAGTCTTAGCCAGGGAATGAATCTATGCGAGCGGAAGCGAGTAGTTTCTAATTTAAGATGAAACACACCACCATCCTTCAGTCAATAATCTCTGATAAGATTTGGACGAAGGGGGTCATGTGAGGCAAAATGAACCGCTTAAGTTTTACCTTCCGACTATTGCTCCGATGAGCGTTCCAGTGTCTATTCGGTTGTGCCACGTGTTCATTTCCAGCGCATATGCTCGCTCCTTAAGAGTGTCCAAACTTACTTGTGCCTGAACAGGGGAGTGAGTGTTGAAGAGAGGGAAATACAAGCCTCGTGGAGACGAGTGGAATGGAGATGGTATGCAGGAAAATGGAAAACTGAGACTTATTGCTACTCCCTTTGCGACATCATCACACCGGGCAACATCTGCATCATAAGCTTTGCGACATCACATAAAATTCCTGTCGTCTCCATTTCATCATTTGAACCATGATATTCACCTCCAGGACAAGCCTAAAAATCCTAGCGCAAGAACATCACCTTGTTCACACTGTATAAATCTCGCAAGAATGAATAAAGGAATACGTTATCTGAGACGTTTTTGACAGCCGTGTAGGGTATGCCCATCTGGCCACCCCACTTTAGATATCTCGTTGCGTCGTGAACCAGCGACTGCGTCGTCGCTCCTTTCCTTGATATGCCTACGAGCAAGCCTGTGCCTAAGCCACCGAGAAGGCCCATCTGCGTACCTTGCATGGATAGATTCAAAACTGATACTTGCTTCACTACAACTACTTAATTAAATAAGCAATTAGTTACAGTCTGTCACTTAGTTTTAGTTAGTTGGTTGATTAGTGCGTTTGGTTGTGAGGTAGCTAGCCTTACTCAGTTAGAAGTCTCCTCAGGGTCAATATTAGTTGTCGTTACTTTACTTTAGCTCTAAAAGGTTGGTTTCTTACCTTTAAAAAACCAGTGCATGTTCATTGTCGAGATGGGCCACAGCACTTCATCTGCTGACTCGTCACGCCACCAATAGTAGAGCACCATCTTTCAACAAACTCGCTGCGATCCCAAACACTAGAACGACGTTGACTACTTCCAAACACTGGAACGACGAAAGCGACTCTATCGAATTACTTATAAGTCGGAGGTGCGGGTGCGTTCGTCAAACTGGTGCCTCTCCTTCTTCTACAGGAGCGATATCTCAGAGCATGTACTCGCTCCAGCACACGACTACCTATGCCTGTGCTCGCAAACTTTGCTGGTCTTTTGCGGCTGCTCGTTTTGGTACTAGAAGAAACCACGGTCAAAAAACGACGATCGAGAGTAATGACAACCAGCGTCGATGTCGTATTCTTAATCTGATGATCCCACGCAGCGGAGTGGGAAACACATTCTTTATCGCGCCATCGTCCCCTCTTCAGATTTTGACAGACTTTAGTCCTGTACTTGTGCAAGGTACAACAAATTCTTCAAAAATATATGGTGCAATCATATACACTCTTCAGCCTGCTGTTACTTCTCGCGTCTGCAGACACGAGCTTAGAAAGAAAAAAACTTCCACAATGATGAAAAGTGGTGAAATCTCAATCTACTAACTTGATAAAACGACTACCTCCAAAACAACCTAATGAGATTTTATTTGAGTCTTGGTATGAAGAATGAGACATGAGCTTTAACCGCTTTTCTGATGAGCTTTTTCTGTGAGGCAGAAAAGAGAATTGCATCACCCCTCGGCATATCTTCACCAGCAAAATCTTCCTGTCAACAGGAGACGCTCACCGTTTATCACGACTCTGCTCATCTCTCACTTTTTCCTGACTGTGACTAGTCCAAATTGTTCCTTTACTATTCTCTCCAACTATGTAGGGCCTGTCACAATTCCCACTCCTACAGCTCAAACTGCGCGGCAGACGGCATACTGCTCCTTCTTCTGTGAAAAATCCTTCCACGTGGTTTTCAAACAGGAGGGGGAGACAGGATGAAGGCAGCACGACAGACAATGACAATTTCTCTCGTTCTACCACCTTGGTTGCAGAGGAACGCCAAGAAACTCTAGTGCACGCACAGAAACTTATAAATTTGAAATAAACATCGACAGACAGACACCACGATGGATCATGATGCCTGTCACGTCTCGACACCACTCAAAAAAATCATGAACGTCTCTTGATCGGTCTTCTTCACATAAATATGGTCCTCCAGGTGCAACAATCTTTAATAACATTGAGGAGGATTGGAAGTTCAACTACATTTTATTTGAAATCAACAGCAACAGACAGTAGCGGACTCATTACATGGTCATCACTTCTATGAAATCATGCACATGGTCGAGCATAAAGCCCCATGAAATGCACGAGTCTGTCGTCAAAGAGATTTTGGTCGAGAGACGGTCAAATTATTGATCCTCGTGCAGGTGGCCCGTCTTCATGAAGCAAGCGACATCATCGTTGTGAATACCACTCTCTTTTTTCTCTGCCTGATGGCTTTAGTCAGTCGAAGGAGGCGTGATGAACTCACGACAAATTACCAGCACTCTGATCTTCTTCAAGGCGAAGCAAGGAAGGGTGCGACGAGAGAAAGCGAGAGACGAAATACACAACAAGAGGCCAAGCTGCACCAGCTTATCATACATATGTACAATCATCTAGTACTGCAGAAGCATCTACTGCGGCCACAACATGTAATATGTAGAGTATTGATGATTTTCCAACAGGGTCGAAGGTGGTGGAGTCGATGGTAGAAGAGGTCGTGTGAAAGTGATAGCGAATGTTGCTTCTACTTCAACTTCATCATCTGCGCCAAGAAGTCAGAAGTCCGTGAGAACAATGAATTGTTCTTCTAGTTGATCATTCTATATCATTTGAATATAAGCATGGGTCACCAGGCGAACAACATCGGATATCTGCAACCACCAAACAAACAAGTCCATTATCAGCTCATCTACTGTGTAGTTTGATTCATTTGTTCGTCCGTGCATGATGAAATGGAGGTGATTGCATCTATGCTATGTTTTGTATTTTTCGTGATGAATCACATGTAGTTGACGCGCTTATCCAACTTTTCTCAACGAACTCGTTTCCTCGTTGAGTGTAATTAATTTTGAAAAATAGAAATCGATTGATTTAGTACGAGGACGACGACATATTCTTAAAAATTCCAATAACTGGAATTCTTTTTTTAGGATTTCTACCCGTTTTTACCTTTCATCTCTTTTTTGTGCTAGTAAGAATGTAAAAATTTCAATCAAACGCTAGAAGTATTGGATGTGTGTCAAAGTTTGTTATCAAAGGTGTTCTGGTACCAGTTCAACAGAAGCTGAAAGCATCATTATGATGGTCGATTCGTCTAAAATCATCCTAGTCACGTAAATTTGCACATACATCTTTCGATGCAACAAAGCAACAATTTTGAAAATACAACCCGTATAATTAATCTCCACGCGAACAGCACGATGAAAAATTATTCGCAACAAAAAATATCAGGCCTTCTCACATTGCAGTCTTCCGCTCCTCTTCGATCCGCTGTCGTGCCACCCGCGTGTACGCAAGCTACTACAACCCTTATTAGAGGACAGCAGGAACAAATAGATACGGTTTTTAGGTATGAAACTGGAGACCTCAGAAATCAAATCGAACCTGTAAAAAACATAAATTTAATAAGGAGTGAATGAACAACAACCTTCATAAGACAACCTCAGTGGCGAAAGCTCCAACGCCTGAAAGCCTTTACTGGTACTAGATGAAGCAGCATGAACCTACTTCGAAGCATACCGTTGCGTCCACTCGCGTGCATGCTGATCGTGTTTTGACCGGTCCTTCAAAAATAGCTGCGCGATTTCTGGCACGATTCTTAGACAAGCTAAAATCTTCTTATCAAGATCATTCCATGTTGAAGATATTCACCAGGTCGGTGTATGTGATGTACCTACTTCAGAAAATACTAGTTCGACTCAAGGGTACAAACTACGCTTTCGAACATTCATATTCTTATCCTACAGTACGCTACTTAGTCTACATTTGCATCTAGTAGAAGTTGTAGTCGAAAATTAGTATACGCTGCGTAGTTATTGTAGTCAAAAAAGAGGCTAATTAGTCACACTCTTGCAGGCCATAAGAATGGATCGTTTGGGTTCGGATCCGTTAGGAGTGACGAAATACTCAAGAGAACCTTCGAAATCGTCAATGCTGGGCTCCACTGGTCTTTCAAGATGTCGAGGCATATTGAACCTGTGAGTAAGCAAATTTTCTAGATGAACAAGATATAATGAAAAGAAAGTCCTACTACTACGTAATCAAAACATCAAGCCGTTCTTGGTTGATTTTGTCTTGTTGTACAAGAGGCTAGTAAAAGTGCCAAAAAATATCAAAAGCGAAAGAAGATCGTGCGTTGAAAGACTGCTACAACTCGTTTGTTCTAGGTCATCTCCAATATATCTTTCATCCACAACCACATGCATCAACGAAATAAATCAAACAATTTAAATTCTGATACCATTGCTATGGACGTTGCAATGGTAGATTTTGGTCACGAAGTTGACCTTTGGCGGCTTGAAAGGATAGTCCGTTGGAAAGCTGATATTAAGGAAAAACACTCCTCCTGCATACGGTGAGTCCGGTGGTCCCTATAGTGCAGATTGGATGGATGGATCGATTGACTGATTGTTTCGTTGATGAAGAAGAAAAAAGGCATTTTGTTTGGATCGTGAAGAAAAACTTTCTTTTTGGAAGAGACATGATGTCAGTAGGAATAAAGTACCATCATCTTAATATTATCTAGAGAGTATACCATTATTGTCGCTTGCCAGTTGAACATATCATCTCCTGATGGTCCCGCACTGCAGCTCGCTGGTGGGTCCTTACCTGTACAATTTTTTTTACGGTGATGTTAATGCCTTCATCTAGCTAATTGTGGTCACAGACTGACTACCCCAATGGTGGTCGTGGTCGCGTCCGTTGTTCATGTGGCCCCTTGTATATTTGAATCAAAAAACTGTGAAACACATCAACGAGTAGCTAAAAACTCTTGGAATCAATAAACGAGAAGAAGTAGTTGCTTAAGTGTATAACAACAAGACCAAGGAGCCCACGATTAAGATTAACAACATTCAGAAATGAGCATTGTAGGTTGAAATTAGAAAAAACTCACCAAGATCCTGGAGCTCCTTGTTGATTCTTCGCAACGCCATCTTGTTTAGATGCTCCCCCGAAAAGGACGAAATAATACAACTTTTTAATTAGCCTGATAGACTAATAAAGAAAAAAACTTTTGTGTCGTTCGTTGTCGTAAGAAAAAATAACTCTCCTGTTTTTTGTTGTTTAGAAGTTCTCTGTAGAAGGGTTTGTTGATTCAAAATAGAGAAAAATCGTTCTCAGTCATACACGTCAATTATCATCCACTAGGGAACGAGTCGAAAATTTCTTGCTCGATTTCACAAACTCTTCCAAAATTTTGCATTCGAAACTTGCTTCCTCAAAAGAGAATCGTGTAAGTAGACAATCTATCAGAGCATAGAAGCCGATAGAAGTTCTTGCTGCAGTAAAATTTTGATTTACTGTATTTCTATTTGTATTATTCATTGCACTTCACACTGGGATCAATTGGAACGACTATACGATGGTACAACGATGCGAACGATCCGGGAATGCGAATTTATCTTCACACAGAAACTCTCACGGATCCCCAACCTTTCATCCGCTCCAAAACGAGGAGCGGGACATGCAATTGCAACTAATCGACGTATAATCCATTGTTGGAAAGAACTCCAAAAAGAAGAACTTAAGAAGCGGTAATATTCTCTAACTGACACGAAAAAGGAAACAAGGAACTGAACGCGAAAATCGAAGACCAAAGCGATTTCTATGTAGTATTGTAATGCATGACAAAATGTACAAAACCCAAAAAAACCTTCAGGGACGAGCACGAGGTTTGATAAATATGCGAATATTTAGGTTCAGCTAGAAGAGAAAACCTACTTTAGATGTAGAACAACTAGTGTACACCAACGACAATGATCAACAATCAAGAAAGTAGGCAAGAAAAAAAAAGTACTCCTTATCCTTATGATTGTCCCTATCCAAAAGAATGTAGATTTTTAGCGCAACCCATATGAAATGGAAACGTGTGTGCGATTTTCGCAGAATCACACTTGTGTGTGCGAATTTCGCAGAATCACACTTCTTTCTCGGTCTTCAGTCTCTGTGAAGATCGTTGGTTGATTGAAGAGCATTTTATTCAGCATCGATCGCAAGCCCTTGGAATTCCGGTCGAAGAGTTCTATCATTTTCATTTTTTCGCAGACATGGAGATCGAGCAAAACGCTCGAACTATCAATCAGCGGCTGCTCGCTTCATTTTTCACACTTTCCTTGTAATATTTGAACACGTGTCTCGGTCTCGTTGCAGTAGACGATGAGGCAGAACATCATCCATGCATCACGACATACGAAAGAATGCCTGAAGATCTCTTGCTTGTTACCCAGAAGGGTATACATAGAAACACATTCTCTTTCTCAACAGTTCGAGGATTGAAGATGACGATCACATCGCTGAGAATCTCATCTCGGCATGTTCGTACAAGTGCATCATCTCAAATGCAGATCTAATCATAATCAAATCTCCAAAACCTCGTAGTTGCATCTTTAGTTTTAAAACTGATACTCCAAAATTGTATTCTGATGAGCTCCAATCGTCAGGATTTGCAGTATCTACTTAGCATATTCAAATAAAATCAAAAATTTTCATAGCACAAGCAAGCAGAAGCGATAAGCTGTTTGTGCAAGGCATTGTCCATGTGGATCCTATAAAAAGCATCTTCATCGTCATATTTCATACGCATACTACATAGGGGCGCAATAGAATTAGAAAACGTGCATCCAATAAGATCTCGAAAGAAACTCCAAACGCCAATCTTCGATAGCTACTAAATTGTTCTATTAAGTGTCTCGCTATGATCTGTGTTTGCTCATTATCGCCAAACCCCAGCCAGCCACGATAACATTCTTTGATCTCTCGACGACTTCTTTGCTCAGAACACATCCACTTTTGTCATACGCGGATACAGCCGCTACCTTCCAAAATGTTCCAACTTACAACCACAGTTACAGTGGATTAGATCCGAACGAACTTAATGCAAAGAAGATCTCTGAATGAGTTTGATCATCGAATAGACCAAAAGATCGTGAATCAATAGGGCTGTGGTAAAGGACCCAAGAGGCCTTCTTGTGGAAGACTTCGGAGCCTACCACCACCATTGACCCAAATAATGATGCAAAGTTCCGACTTCGTCGGAGGAGGGAGGGATTGGGCATGATTGGTTGTTCGTAATCGGGGTTTTTTATCGGCTCGCGAACGGCCGACTTGGATGCAAGTTACATAAGGAAAACACTGTATTACGGGAGTAGCGAATGAGGGTGGACATTGGTATTATCAAGAAAGAAAGCAATTGGAGTGTGGATATTCTATTCTGAGGACAGCTACACGGGGTAGTCTGCCGAGGAGATACGTCCCCACACTCGGGCGTTCTCTTTTAACCATCCTTCTGGGACTTCCAGGCGCACTGCATCCGCGAAGAATTCGGATAGGATGCGCTCCCGATATTCTCGCGTGAGCGGGTCCGAGACGTTGCGCTTAGAGCAGACCCACGCGAAATAGGTATCCAAACCTTTAGCCTGCTGAACACGGTGGAAGCCGTGAGAGATGGCTTGCGTGCGTGGACATTTGGAGGAGTTGGCTGCCATGGCGAACACGTCGCCTACATTGTCCAGGTGTAGGACCACTAGATCGTTTTGCACAATGTCCAACCAAAGTTTCTGACCCACCGCAGCTGCGAGAGCCTCCAAGATTCCAATGTGTATCTTTTCGTTTCGAAAAAAGGATGGGAGGGAGTGCAGGTCCATGGACCATTTGAAGTGGCCTGATTGGTGGGCGAGGTAGCCTCCAATCTTAAGCTTATGACCATGAAGGTCTGTTAGCTGGCCCGCACGCAGCTTTTGGTTGAGTCCCTGAAAGTCTTCACCGGCGGCGTCGGTGTAAGCATGGGCTATAGGCTTGTCCACCCGCCCCGTCGAGACCTCAAAAGGTCTGATGAAACCGAGAGCCCACACCATGAGCTGTATGCCACTTAGCGCACGGCGCCTTTCGGGGACGCTTGTTTTCGCTTTGTCGAAATTGGACGCGAATTTGTCCAGGCTCCTCGCAAAAAAGAGTTTGACACGATCGAGCTGCGCGACGTGGCGGTAAAGGCCTCTAAAAGTTAATAAGAGGTCTAAATCCACTCGAGGTGGCTTCGAATCGAACTGGTCGATTAGGCGAAGGCCGTCCCTTCGACACTTGAGAATTTTCTCATTATCCGGCGTAACAAGTAGTCGATCTTGTGATAGTCGGTATGAGAGGCCCAAAACCACTAAGGACCGCTGAAACTTGTGATGCTGGTCTTTCTTTTCCAAAGACTGCTGCCATCCCCCTAAGTCGAGAAAAAGGTCGATGAGAGCCATCTGCGCCATCAGCGCTTGAGGCTTTGATTGATTATGGGAGTCGTCGATGTACCACGTTACGATAACAAACAAGATCGAATGGCAGATGAGCTGCATAATTTCACTAGTGTTCACTGCCTCGTGCACCGATGAAAGAGCCCCGAACAGCGCGACCCTGGACTTGATGAGCAACCATCTGCGAGACTTGTTGTTGCCGAGGTATACCGTCTTGAAGGTGCCTGGTGGGAGATCCGACGTCTTCACCTTATGGGGAACGGGAAAAAAGACCGCGTTTTGCTCGGGGACCCGCGACGCGTGTTGATAGTAATAGCTTGCCATGTCGCGTTTTCCCGAATGCGGGATAAACGCGTAATCTGATGGTAAGATGTCGCCGTAGTCGGAGGACATTGCGCGATTGAAGGGCTGGGACTTATGGGACACGAAGTCCTCTGCCCGCACAACGTTGTCGCGGATTTCTTTTTCGGTCAGAATGTCCGCTTTGGTGTCTTCTCTGGATTGTAAGAGAAGAGGACGCTTACGCCAATGAATACGATCTGACGCAAGTGCGCACGCGATTTCGAGAGCCGCTTTTCCTCCTAGAATCCTCATTTTTTCCCGTTGAATCTGGAGCTTGTTAGCAGATCTGAAGTCGATGCACACTCGCACCTTGCCAGGCTGCACCACTGGAAAAGCCTTTGCAGCCCCAACCTTCGTGAGATTGTCGAAGGCCATAGGAGACCAGAGCTTCTTGTCCACCATTTTTTCTTTTTGACTCCACATTTCTTCTACCAGATGTTCTTCGCACCAATGGTCCTCTCGAGGGACTTGGTGCTCTCGCGAAGCCATGGCTTCTGCGATTTCTTTCTTTGCGTCTGGGATTTCGACATCCAGGAGCTTCCAGAAACCAGAGGGGAGAATGTCTCCTTCCATCGGGATCCCCGCCATAAGCCGACGTGTCCAGTCCAAGATTTGCTTTTTGTTTTGTTTAATTACTGGATCATACGTTTCTGCACGCTGCGCGGCCTTTTGGAGGAGGATGTCCATGAACACGATGTTCTTATTCTGATAGACCTCCTGCGCGTGGTCCGACAAACTGGCGATGACATGGGAGTTCGCTTCCTGCGAGTTCTTCGCCAAGTGCATTAACCAATTTCCAATGTGCTTACATCCTTCGTTGATGTCTTGCGCTTCTGTGCGCTTTACATAGTTGATCGTGTTCACGAAGTACTCCGGCAACAACGAGTGGACGCCGTAATTGCGCTCGTCATCCACTTTTAACGAGTGTTCGTAATTTACCTCTTGATTATCATCGTATGCCACCCCGCGACCGTGCTCCTGGAAAGAGTAATGATTCAGATCTTTCATCAGAAGGACCGGCTGTTTGGCCATTATGCGCACAGGTGCCGGTTCGTTGGGAGAGGGGGGAAGTGCCGATGACGTAGGGCGCGATGCCTGGCGCTCTTGTTGAGCTACCGACATTCGCTTTAGCGGCGGACCCTTATCCCGGAGTTCTTCTGATTCGGACAGTGAGTCACTGTGTACCCGAAGCCTGCGGCGAACGTTGCTCGAATCTGTATGCTTGGGCGTAAACGGGTTGTTTCCCACCGTTGCTTGGCGATCGGACTGTAACGAGTGTTTGTCCGTTGATGCTAGTTGCTCCGGAGTCACGCGAACATCGAAAATCATCTTTCGTTCGCGTGGTGTTCGACCATCGAGGTCTTGCTCGCGACTACTTACCATCTCCACATCCTGGCTGTCGCCATCTTGTAGATCTACTTCTTTTGCGGCTGCAAGCAACTCTTGGGGAGTACTATCTGGCCGACTAGAAAATAAGTTGTACTGCTCTGCCGAAAGCGGTTTCGGCTTGGTGTTGGCTGTAGCAGCTGTCCTTGCTGCCCATTTTCCGACCGAGAAAGCCGCGTATACCGGATTGGAGGATGAGCTGGGGAGCGGAAGGATGTGTTGTTGACCGGAAGTGTCGGCCAAGGGAGAAATGTCATCTCCCGATTCGTAGTCACTGAGCTGTTTGTCCGATTCCACCAATTGTTGTGGTTGGATCATCGGATACTTGTGGTTCGGGGTGAAGAGAGCGGAGGGGGTGGGAAATTTCTTCTTAAGTGGTTCTTCTCTGAACCACTGGGAGTCGGACTCCGACTCACTGGAGGAGATTAACTCCTTCGCTTTCGTCTGACGAAGCTCATTCGCCCTGCGACTTTGATCGCGCTCAAACTCGCGCCACAAATGGCGTTCCTTGTTGCGTTGAGCTTCCAAACGGTCGGGAGCCACGTAGAAATCATGTGGGAGCATGTTGTTGTCCCTGCGAAAGCGACGCTCCGCTGGTGACTCGTACTGACCAAAGACCATTTTGATGAGGGAAGGGGAGGTGAAGTAAATTATTATCTAACCGAAATGGAAAGACCTTTGTTTTTTGTGGTATGCCGCCACAATTCGTTGTCAGATTGAACCACTTCAACTACCACGGAAAGAGAGCGCCAGCCTCTCTTAATTTTTAGATTCCGTAAGGCAGCAAGAGAGCGATTATTAATCGTGAAGTATAAACCTTCAAACTTGTAGACTCTAATTGTTAGGCCACAATTCGCAATATCTCGTCTCTGTTGAACAAATTCAAGCGACGAAAATACGGGTTTGTATTTGAAAGGGCCCGCGCTGAAAGTGTTACCAATGCTGTTTTGTGAGTACCTAATTGCTGAGACCTCTATCTCAATCCACGCCATTATGACTGATCATGGGAATGAATCCCTTTGAAACCTGTCGAGTATGATGCTGGGACCGTTGAGAATGAGATGAATTGTTATTGGGAGTGGTTGGCTGTAGATTCTGACCTTAGGCGCACCACAACATTAGCTGTAGACTGAGGCAACCGCCAGCACCGTATTAAAGGATCTTAGCCGCTGAAAGTGTATCTGTTGGACAGTTGAAGCTGGAATTTATTTGAGAGCTCAAGCTGTGATTTTCAGCAAGCGACAACTCAGCGATCAACGAGGGAACTTGGTAGAAGTTGCGCTCCACATGAGCAAGCAACCCAAGATCCAAACCGAACAAAGGAGACTGCTTCTCGGGCAGACGAGGCCTTGAAATAATAGGCTTCCTTTTTTTTTGGGGTTGGGTTTTTCAAAAACTGGGGAAAAATTTGCATAGAGATATAGTTTGATATTCTGGAGGGGGATAAAGTTCCAAAGCGGGGGCTTGAACTAAATCCATAATCTAATCGAGCAAGTTGCATACTATCTTTGGTGTCATCTATTGCGAAAAGGGGAACTCTGTGATTTGCAAAGGGGAAGGGCGGGTGGCAGTTGGTCTAGCAAGTGCCCGACTGAAGGATCTGCGCTATAGATAGCACTTTTAAACTATGTGGAGGAGGAGGAGGGTTTCGGGGTAGGGTCGAGACCGTTTTTCACTGGGTTGCGAGCCTCTTGAGCTGTTCTTTGGAGAGTTTTCCTCCTAAGTAGCGCGAGTTCAGAAACTCTAGCTTTTTCTCCTCACCTTTGTGGGCTTTCCCTTTTGGGCACAATGTGCCCGCGCACTTGCCTTCCATCCAATTCAGACAAATGATCCCTGATAAATCACCTTTTGAGTCGTGTTTGCCTCCTTTTGCTGATGGTCCTCGGCGTGGAGACCGCGACGATCTCCGATTTCTTAAATTTCGTATTTCTGCGTCCATCTGCTTCATTTTTGCATTTAGCTTCTCACTCATCTCTTTCATTTTCTCCTGGACAGCTTTTTCTACCGCCTTTCTTGTTTCCCTTTCTACCGTAATGCGGCGACGTTCCACGTGGATCTGCTGCACTAAATCCGGCAAAAAATTTGTCCCGATCGTAGCTCTCAACTGCCGCTGTTGTAAGTTGTCGCCCTCTTCTACTGGAACTAGATTCTGTAGATTTATCTTCAGTGTGGAGAGAAAGATGTCATACACTGTCGTCAACTCCAACTTCACTTCTTCGGCCTTTGGGTCAAAGGATCCTGTTACGGCCTGCGACACAGCGTCCATGATGGCATTTGCATGCCTATCTTCCAGGATATCAGTGCACCGCAGGGCTGCTACTAGGGACATTGGGTGTAGGTTAAGGGAGGGGGGGGGTTTCGTCAGTTTCTCGTAAGTGCGAGAAGCTAGCTGACGAAGCACAAAAAGGTACTGCTGCGATGTGCACTTGCACCGCAAATTTGCGCAATTTTCGGCCACTAACGCAACCTGTGCTTCTGTTGGCACTCCCAAGCCCTCGTTCTCGTGTACGGCAGCTTGGCGTAACATGTTGTCGCTCATCTGTTGAACAACCGCAAAGGCTGCCTCTTGTTGTTCCGGAGGACCAAATTGCGTCGCCATTTTGAGATTTTAGGATTTACTTAGCAGACTAAAAGTTAATCAGCTGCCCCCTTGAGTGCTTACGCTGAGTTTCTCGAATACTGAGGAGCACCAAGCTCTCATTAAGCCTGCTAATGTATAATTGATTATTTGAACGGTAACTCTACTAGCTATTACTATAATTGGGGGGCTAGTACTGGAATTTTGTTCTTGATGTTGAAGTTGAAACTGCAGTTTGAAGGACCGCGACACAACCCTAATAAGGGGCTGGTAAGCAAGGGCCGATTGACCAGGAAGAAGACGAGCCAGGCCGGGCACACTCAGGAGCAAACAATTTTGCTTTCCGGAGAGGCCAAGGCATTGCCGCTGGCGCAGGCAAAGCTCTCGCATCGCCAATATATCTTTCCGCGCTTTGGATCGAGTCCCATCGACCAATGATGCGCACTTCTTCATTGGAGAGCCCCGCATCTACTGCCGATTTCGCTCCTCCTATGCGTAAGGAGTGAAGGTAAAACTCTTTCTTTGCTTTCTCAAAAGCTGCCGAAGATGGAGTTTGTGCAAGTTGGTTACTTCCAGCTGACGGAATCGAGGAGGATGAGGAAGCTTCTGCGCCAGCCAAAGCTGATTGCCCACTGACCTCGAAGGTTTTCCGAAGCGATTCCAGCCCATCCTGGCCTGGCCCAAGGCCTCCAAAGCGTAGGAGTTGTTCCAGGAGGACAGCCAACGTTCTAGGCGGCAGGCATGCGAAAAACTTAAAAACCTCTTCTTTACAACAACATCGGGGGCAGAAACGTATGTAGCCACCGGAAAGTGTTGGCGCTGTTGCACAGCAACAAGCTAGGTCTACTACCTGAGGCTTGGCTCCCAGATTATTGTTTTTTGCTGATTTTACCGTTAAACGGATAAAGCCCTGGTAAGCCGTGCGCGTGGCCGTTGAAGTCTCGTCCAGGCGCATCATAAAGAACCACGCAAAGATGCAGAAATTTAAGAAATTGGCCGCCGAAAAGGATTTGCCGTGGGCCTCCAACTTCGATAAAGGAGCTAATGACACGGAGTAAGCTAGTGCCATCATGTGACTAAGCCGAAGGCCTTGCCTTTGAGAAGTTACCGGCTTGGCCTTCCAGAACATCTTGAAAATTTGACTGAAGGTTTTTATGGTGCTGTTCGCCAACGTTGTAATCAGCTCCGCATAGCACTTGATATTCTCCACATACTGCGCTTTTGATTTGGAGAAGTTGCTGCATTTTTGAAATGCTGTAGCTAGTAGTCGTATCGATGAAGAAGACAGATACTCCGGATGAGCATCCAGATCTAGTGCCCACATAAGCTCGACGTACTTCTTTAAGGCGAACTGGTAAGACTTGACCGTAGCCCCCGAGAGCCTCGACTGCAAATCAAAGGGGGAAATGTGCCCATTTAGTTTGTCCATGAAGACGTCCAGGCCGGCCGCCTTCTGCAGTACAGGTGGTGCTGGATGGCCGACCGGGAGAAGTTCTGGTCGCTGCTGACAAGAAAGTCTAATAAACTTCAACACTTCTTTCCATGAGAGTAGCTGGCCGGGGCCCAAACGTCTTGCTTCGGCGGGTAAATTTGCACCCACTATCGTTTGAGCGTTTCTCCCGGGCCTAGTAAACTTTCTAGGAGGCTCACTTGAAAGTGATACCTCACCAGCCTCTGGTGTACTAGAAGAAGGGGGGGAGGGAAGGGTTGTTGATGCAAGCGCTAGCGTAGAGGACGAGGCCCCTGAAGTGCCCGTAACCACCTGTGGCTGACTTGTGGCCAGTGAACTCGTAGTAGTCATACCATTACTAAATGGCGTTGCGTTTGTTGTTGCTTCACTCTGGGTTTGCTGTGGGGCCACTGTATGACCCGCAGCTAGCGGCAACAGATGAAGTGGTGGCTGTTCTCCTGGTTCCATTTCAACTTCCTGCATATCGTCCAGGATATCATTAACCGCTTGATAGGTTGCTTCTTCTAGCGGTGGCATGGCTACCTCTTGGAGCTGCAGACCTTGCGCTGCCGCAATCTGTTGCTCTTCTACCTGCAACGGCAAAGGAGCCACATCAATGCCATGGCGCTCTTGGTTTGGGGGCTGCTGAGGACCAATTGTGAAGGCCTGCACTACTTCTTCCGGGAGTTCTGGTAGGTTGTCTAAGACTTGTTCTTCTGTTTCTTGTTGGACTTCCGGATGTCCGGAAATAGGCGGCCTTTTTATTTGCTCCAGCTGTTGCTTGAGCGAGGCTTTTGGCGGTTTCCTCGCCCATGCCACCGCCTCTTGCGACTGCATGCGCTCCCAACGGCCTGGCATTACTACTACTACTGGGAGGGAGGGGAGGGAAATTTTTGCAAACTGAATATCAGCGCTAGCTTATTAAAAGAATTAAGAGTTCCTTGCCTATGATTTTATTCGAGATCTTTGCACATTCGATTGTCGTGTGATCAAATAACTATTATCGCCAAACCCCAGCCAGCCATGATAACATTCTTTGATCTCTCGACGACTTCTTTGCTCAGAACACATCCACTTTTGTCATACGCGGATACAGCCGCTACCTTCCAAAATGTTCCAACTTACAACCACAGTTACAGTGGATTAGATCCGAACGAACTTAATGCAAAGAAGATCTCTGAATGAGTTTGATCATCGAATAGACCAAAAGATCGTGAATCAATAGGGCTGTGGTAAAGGACCCAAGAGGCCTTCTTGTGGAAGACTTCGGAGCCTACCACCACCATTGACCCAAATAATGATGCAAAGTTCCGACTTCGTCGGAGGAGGGAGGGATTGGGCATGATTGGTTGTTCGTAATCGGGGTTTTTTATCGGCTCGCGAACGGCCGACTTGGATGCAAGTTACATAAGGAAAACACTGTATTACGGGAGTAGCGAATGAGGGTGGACATTGGTATTATCAAGAAAGAAAGCAATTGGAGTGTGGATATTCTATTCTGAGGACAGCTACACGGGGTAGTCTGCCGAGGAGATACGTCCCCACACTCGGGCGTTCTCTTTTAACCATCCTTCTGGGACTTCCAGGCGCACTGCATCCGCGAAGAATTCGNCAGCGCTAGCTTATTAAAAGAATTAAGAGTTCCTTGCCTATGATTTTATTCGAGATCTTTGCACATTCGATTGTCGTGTGATCAAATAACTATTAATTTTGTCATTGTGGTTTCGTACCACTTCTTTCCAAAACTACCCGGAAAACTACTCCAGCCTCCGCTTTTGTTACCGTCATGCAGCTCTAGCATTCTACCAAACAACGGCAAACCGTGCCCTACCGATACCTACAGCAAGCCAACCAAGCAAGAGGAAAATACAGAGGAACGGTAGCAGCATCCGGCAGCAGTTCGCTGGTGCCGGTAAACACGGCAATACCGATAGCAGAAGGCACACAAGTAGCTCAATCAAAACACCCAGAACCCACAATTCCGTGTGTCCCGAAGAAGCGCCCAGAACAAGCAGCGATCGCCCTTTGCCTCTACTTTCCCTCTCCGAAGAAGTAATGCTCCGGGGCTTAGGATTTTCTTGTGGGTTTTCTTCGTTCTCCATCTTCCGCAGTCCAGGGTCCCCTTGAGCGTTGATGTCATCTCCATCGGGCCGTGAAGTAGCTTCCTCGGAGGGCAGCTCCTCTTCTTGCACATGTTGGTCGTTACGCTCATCCATCTGTGAATCAGGACTTTTCTGATCCTCTTCGTCTCTCCCCGAATCAAGTTGTCCAGTGGTGATAGACTGCCTGTCATCTACAGTCGCTTCCTCCTTCGCTGTATAATTTGCCTCACTCATTTCACGGCTCCGAGACACCACAGTCTGCTCGGCTTGTGCATCCCGAGTCGCAGAAGAGACTCCTTCATCTTTTCCATCAGACCGCGTCTTGCGGCATAATCTACCTTCACCTCCTTCATGGGTTCTTGTCGTTATATTTTTTTTTTCATCGTTTGTCGTGTGAAGATCTGTTCGTCCTACATTTCTTGTACGATTCACTTCATCACCTGCTCCATCACCATCTTTAATCGTCCGTTTGATGCCTTCCACGACATGGTCATCTCGCTCGTCAGCGGCTGATTGGAACGATGCAGGTGCGTCTGCCGCCTCGTTGTCCGCTTCACGCTCCAAAGTGGAGACTTCGGGAACTTCAGATGATGCTGCTGCTCCTTGACATACACCAGTTGTGCTCTCCTCTCGGACAGAGCCGCTGAGAAACGGAATCCGATTGAGTTGCAAACCCAATTTACCCCAGAGGCCAACTGCAGCACTTGTCCCTGTTGCACTCGTGTTACTATCTCCAGTCGCGTGGGCATCGATGTCAGCCTCCACTGAGTCGGCTCCTGACGCTGCGGGGGCGGCTCTTCCGCCAACTCCAACACTGGCGGCCACGGCTGCCTCCACGCTCCGTGTCGATAAAGCGTGATTTGTCAGTACCTGGAAAGAAGGGCATGTGTTGAGCAGTATATGACCTCTAGTGTGAAGCAGTGTCGTAGTATGGGTATGGATAGCATTACCATACTATCCCATTATCAGAGGAAAAAGAAAAAGCCGTAGTTATGACCTACCTAATCGCTACCACCTGGATGTGAATTCTTTATCCTGAAGATTATCTAAGTACATCTACCTCCATATAAGAATTCAATACACAGAGTACCTCCGATGTCGCCCGAGAGAGTGCGGCTTCGACTGCACCCTCTGAGACCTCGTCAAGGAAAGCATGGGACAGGAGCTCCTCGTCATGACTGCGTCCACTGCTGCCAACGAAGGGATAAGTTTGATTGCTGCGCACGTTCAGCATCTGTTGCTGGTCCGAAGACGTTACTGTGGAAGGGGAGCACAACAGCGCTTCATCGCCAGTCGAAACTCGTCTGTCCCTTCGTTGCATAATTGTACCAGAAGAAGTCGCCCGCGGTTCTTCGAGGGTATTAGAGCTTCTTGCATCAACATTGATAGCCTCCAATGATGTAGCGGGTTCACCCATCGTGAGGTCACACGATGCAGGGACGGAATTGCTAGTACTACCTTCGTCTTGTGTACCTCCACGTGCAGGTCGCATCAAGGGATCGTCTCGATTTGCGGCATCCGGCAAAAAAGTTGCTTCTGCATCGACATTTATGACAATCGGCTCAGCATCAGGTGTTCTTGCTATTGCAGAGAGAGGTTGCTCGGTTGATGTACTACGGAGAGTGGCATCGACGTTCTCCGCAGTCTTGTTACTTTCTGGAGTTGCCGCAGAGTCGTGACGCACTTCATGATGTTGTGAACCTCCACTTTGACACGATGAAGATAGCGAGCCAATTCCAGATCGGCGTGCTCGTCCTCGATGATCGATTAGAGAGTCGTCAAGCGGTATCGATCGTTCCTTAAAACCGCCAGCGGAACGACAATTACTAGGCGGCGAAGATGAAGCGCGATCTTGTTTCAGTTGACCCCCTGCACTACTAGTACACCCATGCGGCAGAGTGGTTACATTTCCTCGCCTTTCTCTCAGAAAGCCAGCCGCCCGAGAACTGTTGTCGTCCTCTGTCCGCGTGTAGAAATCTTCATGCGCCGCCGATTCTGAAAATTTCCAACCCAAACAACCGGCTAAAAATTTGTCCAAGACCACACCACGGTACAGTTTCTCAACAACGAGAAGGTGCGTTCGCTGCCACAATATACCACCAATGCGCGCGAAGATACTTCGTGGCTCTTCTCCCACGCCCAGTGAAATGCCCAAAACAGCAGTATCCGTTTCCTCAGTATCCGGTGAACTCATTACAGGGCCTTCTGCGTCGCCACCGAGCTCATCATTCCTCGCATGAGCAGTCCCTTGCTCTTCTGACGAGTTGTAGGCGTGCTCCGAAGATGCTGCAAAAGTCGAGTCGTCGGCAGAAGTTCTTGAGGACAAAGGTCCGCCGCCAATAAGGAACACGCGGACGCGATGCAGGAAACCTGACACGGTGAGCCAATCACGACTTGCGCAAGACGCTAGCAAATTGACCAAACCAGCTTGAGTCTGGTAGTGGTAGAATAAGTCCGCAGTGATCACATCTGGCCCACGACCGTGCGGAGAGGATCCCCCACTGTGGGGGCTCATTCCTGGTGTTCCCCCACCTCCGTCCCCCGCATCTGGAGATTGCCAATCAGTCGCCTCCCCAGATGAAATGCGCCTCGACGTCGTGTCGATACGATTCCCCCCCATGCTTCCTGCAACATCATCCACGGCTTCTAAGCCGCGTCCGTCCTCGCCGGTGGTGCTTCCTTGATTGCGGTCTTGGTGGAAGTTGTTGCCACCACCGCCGTTGTAAACGCCGGCTGTGGCATTTAAGGACCGTCCTCCGATCCCTGCGTCTATTTCTATGGGCACGTCAGATGGGGTGACGTGAATGCTTTCACTGTTCCAGTACTGAATGGATGGTTGGCCATGGGCATCCGCGTCGGGAGAATCTATGTCTGGAGGGAGATCCACATCCACGCGCTCGCGCCTTCGTCGTTCATATCGAGGATCCGCGGCACTGCTTATGTGAATGTCCCCGGCTGCCGTGGAGGACGATATCACGGTAGTTGTACACGTTTTCACTGGCGGCAGCTGGCGCGAACTAGTCCGGCCGCTGGCACGCCCTCCTCCTGCAGCTGCTGCTACGTGGCTGTCTTGCTCGACCGAACTACCACTGCCTATCGACTCGGCGCGACTGCTGCGAGTGGAGTACATCTGCACGCTTCCGGTATGTCCTACCCAAGGTCCTCCAGCTGTTTGAAAAGCGCCTCCGCTGGTCTGTGCATGGGGTGCCGACAACTGGCCGGCGTGGTGCTGCGACCTCGCTGACGAGGCGTGATACGCCGACGTCGACCCGTGATGCGTCATGCTGTGGCTTACAGACGGGGGCTGCGACGACCCTTGCATTGAGGGTGCGCGCGATCCCATCCTAGACCCAGCGTCGCTGCGTGGCTGGATCGGGAGGGTCAAAGGCGTTGTTGTCGTCGAGGAAGGCGTCCCCGACCGCGACGTCGCACGCCCGGTACTACTCCCGCGCCCCGGTGTTATTGCCGCTTGCTCCCTTGCACGTCCCGTTCCTCCTCCTCCTGCAGTTAAGGCTGCCCCTCCGGACGACGAGTGACTGGAATTTACTGGTCGTGCAGGACTGCTGGCAGGATTTGGGCTACTGTTGTCTCCTGTGGAAATTACGATGCCAGCCGAAGCAGTGGGTATCGAAGGTAGGTTGGGTCGGTTTGGATTACGTGCTGGTCGGGATAGCGGTCTAGAATCATCTTGAGAATTCGACCTCTCAACATTGATGTTGTCGTCCGTTTCCGCCTCGCGCACCTCACCTTCCAGCGCAGCAGCACTTTGTTCTACAACGTTCCGTCCACCTTGACTGGATACTTCTCTTATGACAGGGATAGATGTGGTTGCGTCAACGTGGCTGTCAACAGCATTGTCCGACGGAGCATGTGCAACAGCAGCTGAAGATTCAGGGGAGACGATTGACGTGCTAGTCGTGGTCGTTGACGTCTGAACTCCCGGAGGTGGGCGCGTAGCCTGTCTAGCCGCGTTTGAATCAAAACCGCCTGAAGGAGCCACGGCTCGTGCCGCGCCTCCGGCTCTTGGTGATCGCTCGATGTAATCTACATCGGGATTCCACATCACACGGATCGGGCTGTTGCGGGTCGAAGCAGGCGCACTCCCAACACCGCTGATAGGACTTTGGAAGGCGGGCGAGCCGTCCATTTGACTTCGCGAGGACCCCGGCGTTTGACCTGTCTGCGGCACTGCCAACAGCGAAGCTTTGATCGCACTGCGCAGTTGCGGCGCAGGAACGGAGTGGTGTCTCGCGACCGCTCTTCCCCCCGACGATCCTAGGTGGGCAGACGGAGCAGCCATCGTACTAGCACCCGTTACCTCCTGTTGCGCCTCCGATGCCTGTGAGTCCCGTCTCACTTCCGGTGCGTCTGCGTCACCGTCTTGCGGCTCCAACTGCAAACTCTCCCAACTAACCATATTTGCGCTTGCGCACCTGTCGACCTGCACTTGCCACGACTCTAATTCGCGGATCATGGGTTCACTTATTCCACGTTTTACAGTTGGACCGCCTCTCTCTTCACCGCCCACATCTATTTGTCCAACGATAGTACCAGACCGAGAAGCTGGGTCGGAGACTCGCGCCGCTGTTGCGGTAATATTGATCGCAAAACGTTCATCTTCTTGTGGCGAAGGAGAGCCGCCAAAAGCAGGTGGAAGGGTTTGAGGTGGCGGCGTGAACTGTCTGGTGCCCGGTCGAGTAAGACGACGGCCCGACATGCTAGTCGTGCGGTGAAGCACCGAGAGCGGGCTAAGAGGAGTAGCGCACCCTTGTTGCCCACCACCGCTCTGAAAGGGTGTGCCAGCATTAGGACAATCCGGCATGCGGCTGCTGGGCCGCTCTCGGTCAAGATCAAGAACGCGACGCCGGTTACCAAAAATGAGTTCGGCCGGCCGCAGAAAGAAACTCGAGACAAGAAATTCTTCCCGTGTCATCGAGACAAGGTCTTTACTCGCTGTCCAAGTCGACAAGACAGAAGCAAGAGGGCCCACGCTATTATGTAACTCGTCATCAATAGGCCTATCTGCTCGATCAAGATTCAGAGCAGCGTCCACAGCTTCCCTTCTGTCTATCTCTAAAATTGCCGAGAAGTCCAGGTGGATCAGCATCGGTTCCCAGAGCGTCAATAGGAACACCACAGAACCAACAAAAAGCAACGAAATCGTGCAGCAGGCCCATGGACTGCCCCGTCGTTCTTGGCCTCCCTTCATTGACGATCGCGTCGACGCTCGCGCGTCTCCAGAAATAACGCTGCTCTGGGAACAATTATCGGCTGTAATGTCGCTGCCCGATTCGGGTCCTGTCATTCCTACACTTTCTTTCACCCAACCTCTGCTGGCAACGTGCGGGGTCCTGCCTCGGCTTCGTCCCTTCTCTAAGCTAGTCCTTCGCTGGGCCTTTCTGGCAACGAGCGGATTGGAGTTCTGAGACCGGTGATGCGACGTTGACAACAACGAACTGGTCTCGTCCATCGTACCTCGACCGCCCACGAAGCGACCCTCGTCTGTGCTTGATGACTGGTCATCGCCGGCACCAACCGCTCTGGCCATTACTCGACTGCTTCCGGCTACTCTGCTATGGCGACTGGACGTTTGGAACATAGTGGAGCCGCGGTCCTGTGTTGTCAAGCGCGCAAAAAAAGACTGTCCATTTCGTTTATTTCCTGTTCGTTGTGCACTTTCGTTTCCGCTTTGCTCTTGATTATAACTCGCGGAACCACTGGACGAGGGATGCCAAGCGGACCTTGTAGTGTGATCGCGCAAGAGCTTCTTCCGGTCAGCTCTACTACTATCTTTTCTTCTTCGCCGAGACGCACGAGCGTCAAGGATTCGTTTTGCGCCGGAGGGCGACGACAGGTCCGAAAGAAACGTCGTGGGCAGCTTCGGCGCATGCTTCATGCTGCTGCTTCTTCGAGAAGCAAAAGTCCGCGTGCCATCGTTCATCTTTGAGGATCCATTGCCAGGCCAACCGCGGTGATCCACTACTGGAAAATATTGTTGCCTCGAGAACCGATCGGCAAAAGAGAGTGACACCGATGCTCTATCGTCTGCATCCTCCTCTATACACATACTAAGCTTCCTCTGCCCCTTATCTTCGGTGAACATCAACACGTCTGTACCATCTGCCTCTCGCTCATACACGTCATTCATCTCGGACCTATCTGCACCCGTGCCACGACCAACGCCTGCATTCGTATACATCACGCCAAGGAGCACGCCAATAGCGACCACTGACAGAAGAGAGTTTAGAAACACAGGTACTAATGACAACCCTAGCCAAGTCTCGAACTGTACGACTTCTCCGAGCAGGTCTGGCCGGCGGGAGAGCGTCGACATCAGGGAATCCCCATCGACATCATCCACCACCTTATCCAGGGACAGCATCATGCGGTCTCCGAACGCATCGGCGCCAAACAACCAGTCGCGGACACGCCATCTCTGCAGTGCTCCTAAAGCGTGGAACAGGAACAAAAAACTTTGTGTGGCCCACCACGCCCGTCGTAGCTCCTGCAAACGCTGGCTCACGAGCTGCGAACGCAATTCATCTTGTTCAGTCTCTAGTACTCCTTTTCGGGGAACATACAGCGACGACCTTCTACCAGAGACCTCAGGAGCCACAACTGGAGAGCCTCCAGATGGAGGGGCGGCAAGTGCCGTTTCGACACCACTCTTCTCGACCTTCCGCTGCTTGTTATGGCCTACAGCCGCACTTCCGCTGTTGTTGTATTCGGTAATCGCGTTCTTGTCAAAAAATATTGTTCCGCCAAGCCCGGACGCGTTTCCTTGCGGAGTTATAGCACTTGCCGATGGACTCCTCCTGCCATCACCGAGTCTCGACAAACTACCAAGCCCGCCAAAACTTGCACACGGCGCTCGGAGCAGACGCGACTGTCTGCCTCCTTCAACTACAGCTTGATGTTCTTGTGGTCCGAGTGTGATCCGAGTGCTACGCCTATTTGGACTGCGTCTATCTGCTAGAGACACACCGCTGCGACGAAGAGCGACAAGCAGATTCGTTGTCTGCCTCTGATTCAACTGGCCAGGCGTTCGAAATCGACCCGCAACCATCAACGACGGCAGCACGAGCAACCCTCCGAGAAAAAGATACGCAATCGCATAGAAGTTCGCCAAATACTTTAAAGTGGCCTTGTTGCATTGCTAACATGAGTCCACAATAGGATACAAGCTAACTCAACCATTTCATAACACTTTCAAAAAATACTAAAGGACTACAGGAGCAGCCAATGAGGTGAAGAGAGCAACTTACAGAACACTTTATGACCAAACCTCTCCAGCCCTCATAAAGATCTCCACTTAAGTACAGGAACACCAAAAGAAACTCTGAAAACGCAAAGCGTAAATGTAATTTTTTAATGCTGACCCTTTTTACATAGGTCACCACACGCTTACATAGCTAAACCAGTGACCTTACGACTATTACTGAGAGTGACCCTATTAACTGCTTAGAGGCGAGCTAGATGTTGATAGCTCTGAAGACAATTTTGGAAATCTTCTAGAGAGGCAAAGGGATCTATTATTTAAGATCCTAAAGCAGATAGAAATCACTCGGGCAACCTGAAAACAGGCACGCCAACTGCCATAGAAAAGTGATTGCTTGACAAACACTAATTTTGCCATGGAAAATTCGAAGCGTGACTGAGAAAAGAACAGGGGAGGGTGCAGCGGTCAGTTCTGCTCACGATCCGTAAAAGGATTAAAAGACTTAAACCTTCAATATTGCAGAAGGATAAGCTTGCTATCGTTCCTTACCCTAGAGATCTTGATTATGAGGATGATCTGAGTTCAGTCCTTAAAGTGAAGAGCCAATAATTCTGCATATCGCAAAGCTTCTTATTTTGTACATAAGACTTTAACATTTCTCCCATAAAGTAGTTGTCGCTACTTCTCCGAAACTGAGGCCACTTCCGATCCGCGCAATGCGCGCCTTTGAGCCGGGCGGATTCGATAATGTCGCACTGCGACTCATTCGAGCGGGTGCGCCAAAACTTCCTATTCCAGCGATATCCCTTCTTCGCGGCCCCACGTTAGCATCAGCTAGGCCACCACCTCCTTCCGCGCTGCGCCCATTTTGCGAACTCATCTGTTCGGAGCTACCGTCGGCTGGATAAAGCGGCTCGGCTTCAGCTTTGCAAGGAAACTCGACGAAGCCCAGCCACGGACGAGGAAAGGACCCATCCGGAAACCCATAAAAAGCGCCTGTGTTAGAAGCTTCCGCGGACTTGACCCCGTAAACAAGTGCGAGATCGTCTGCTTCCGGTAGGGTGTTCCACCAGCGCACCCAACGATAAAACGTGTGAAACCGACCTTCACCCGTAGCGTCCACGGTTCCTCTAGCGAAGATTCGCCCGGAAACGTCTTGCAATACAAGCTGTCGGCCATCGAAAACAACCTGCAGCGTCACCAATTTTTGGACATGCGGCAATTTCTGTTTTTGCACCAGTGACGGGGACCCCGACACGGCGCCGCTTCCGCCACGGCTCTGCAGCGCTGCAGTCCGCTGTGACCCACGCGATACCCCGGACGCTCGTGCAGTGGACCCCCAACCCGTCGCGGCACTTTGATCACGAGCCAGCTGTTTTGGGGAGCCAAACAGCTGGCTTGTAGACCGGTAACTGAGATGCGCCGGCTGCGAACTGCGCATACTGGTTTTCCGTTGCAAGGCCGGCGCAGCTGCAGGTGTCCCTCCGAAGCGTGCGAACGCAGCGCCGGAGGTCGATCGTGCCAGTGAGGCCGGTGTGCCTAGGAGGCCTCCATCCTGCTCATTTTCACGCGTTTTGTTCGGCCTGCTACTGCTTGACGTAGCCGCCCATTGTAGCAAATGATGCTGACTCGGCGGACCACTATAGGTGAACGCGCGTGCCTGCGCGCGACGCATCAAATCTCCAACCTCGGGGCTGCTGCGTGTCTTCAGAAACGTAGAGGATGGGCTCCGCGAAACTCGTCGGCCACCGAAGTGGCGGGTGGAGACGTCACCAGGAGGCGGTTGCATCGACCGCGCCGTTCTAACGCTCGCACCGCTACTGACCGTTTGTACCATGGTGCTCGGCATGCGCCGTTGCTTTCGCGGCGGTGCGTAATCGGGCCGATCGAGACTCGCGCACGAGAATTCGTACAAGTAACTACTCTTA